ACGGTCCAATTACTCAGAGATCCTGGTCTCTGATTTATTGCGCCGAGCTTTTTGGCTTGTTGCACCATCTGCCCTAACTATACTGTGTCCATCACCATTCAGTAGAAGTAACGTGTTTAAAAATGAATTGTAAAATTGGTTAAATAATGGTTTCGCTTCATATGTCTAGTATATTGAAACTGTAATATTTCAAAGCCATTTAAGAAATATTGTGAAGTAAGAAAGGATGATAATTATTGTATGTGAATATTGATATTGAATTATATTGTCAAGAATATTTTGAACAGGTTCTATTTAATGTCAGAGATATTTAGAAAAATATTTTCAGTATGGTAATTATTTACAAAAAGGTGCACTTCAATGTAGATGACCTTGAAATATATTGTTGTGGTTATTTGAACTATGCTATGAGTTTTTAAATAACTTTGCTATTGAACAACTTTGCTATGTATACAAATATCTTCATGAATTTTTATGATCTCATGTAATCTAATACAGTCTGTGATCTAATGTAATCTAATTCAACTTGACTTGACTAGTCAAACCTAATCAAATGCAGCCTAACTAATGTAGTCTAAACCTGACATAACTAAGTTAATCTATCCAAGTTAATCTACCAATTTTTTGATATAATTAGAGAGAAAGCAGGAAAGGAATAAACGTAGTTCAATGTCTTTCTAAATGTAATAACGTATTAATTCGAGGCGTGCTACTGTAGCTCTTACTCAGTAACAACCTACGTATCATGGATTAATGAGTCATTTGCTCTGTGTTTGCGCAGAAGAAGCAGCAGCAGTGGATGGACGAGAACAAAATATACCTGATGCACCATCCCATATACAGGTAAGACCGCTGCTACCATGGGAACGTTTTTCTTCTTACTTTTTGTTCCAGCAAGATTCTGTAGCTCCCTTAATTACATCTTCTATCTTAGAATAGTCAGTTAGAATCTTGAAATTAAAGTTTCTTTGCTTTGCGATTATATTTAATCATAATTATCGTTTATTTTCTGCTATGTAGTACTGTTCCATTAATGAAGGACTCTCGCTATATTGCCAAGGATGAGGATGTAGGAGAATGAAATTTTTGTGAAAATATGGATTAAATTATGTGGAGTAAATTATGGATTTGGTTATTCATGGATGAAGGATGACACAACCTGTGGAAATAAAAATATGTTGTTATAATGAGTAGGAATTGTAACACCCTATTGTAACTTATACATAATACTTGTGATAGTTAAACACATATAAAATGTAGCATATAGCGATTGTAACTTATAGCGATTGTCGCGTGTTATAATTCAGCACATGTAGCTATTGTAACGTACAGTCATTGTAACGCGCAGTGATTATAACGTGAGGATATTGTAATGTACGATTCCACAATGTGGATTCTAACGTGTGATTACTATACATTGTAGTTGAATTCATAGCGATTATAACATGCAGTGATTCACGCGTTGCAATTCTAACACGTAGTGATTTAACACGTTGCAATTCTAACACGCAGTGATTTAACACGTTGCAATTCTAACAAGTAGTGATTTAACGCATAGCAATTATAACACGTGACAATCTGACACGTGGTGATTATAGTGGTTTGACACGGAGGTATTTCAGGTGGTAATTATAACATGTAGCAATTTAACATTTTACTGATGTTAGCAGTTCAACGAATGATATATTTATTCATACAACGATGTTGGTGGCAATATAACGAGTGTCCATGTATTAGAATTTTAATAGCTTCTTTATTTTTATAATAGAGATAAGTGAATTAGAGTAAGAATGAAGTTTTACAAATAATTATTAGATTTGATATTTTAGTGTTTGAGATTAAAGATCACCATTTTGTCATTCTAATATTTCATATTTTGTAATAATTATTATACTGTATATTTTGTAATAATATTATTATTATTATATTGTAAAATAATACTATACTATTACTAGTACACATGTATGTATACAGCAATAGTATTTTATTATTTTACAATGTTACTATTTAATTAATCCTATAAACTTGCTCACAGTAATTTTCTTTACTGTTGCAGGATATTCTACGTCTCCCACGATAGCCACGACTTAAAGATTTTTAGCTATATTGCGCGCGATGGAAGCAGTAACACTTTCAAGTGCAACGTTTTCAAATCTAGTAAAAAGGTAAGCAACTTTTCCATTAATTTTTAATCATTCTCATCAAACTTCGAACCTACTGTAAAACAATGCGCAATGGTTTTATAAATCCCATAGCGCACTTTCGATCTCGTATTTTCCAGCGGAGGATCACTTTTGCGAAAGTTTGTTTTGAAACGAAATACAGCTTGTCTTTTGATGCAGAAGAGTACTCGTGTATACAAATTGTGACGCGATGCGAGAAGCTCTAAGCTTAGACGGTTCTCTACGGACCTTCTGACCGACTCTATTTTTTTCTCTTTTATCTTGCGATCGTTTTTTTTTTGTGCTCTGCGCGCGACGTCTCGCCGAAATTATTTTAACGACCTCTTGCCACTGTAAACACGCGACAAAACGATCGACCATTCAGTTTCGGTAACCTAACCTAACCAACGAGTCGAAATACAATACTTTTTATTTATAAAAAATTTGTAACAGTTGTGGTACATAAAAGTCTATGAAATGTTTATTATTTTTTAAGACAAAAATTGTATATTATATAAATAATATATAAAGATAGTGTTTTTTTAACAAGTATTGCATATTCATTGTATGAATTATACATATCAATTTTTTGTTTGAATATTCTTTATATTAAGAAAAATTTTATACGCTTAATTGTTGGTAGATCATGAGAACTTTTTATACAAAATTTGTGACAAAGGAAAAATGCGTTGCATAGTAAATGGAACGAATTAATGTTCTAAGTAGTGTAGATCAATATATGGTTGGACTAATGGTGTAAGTAGTATAGGTCAACGTCCAATGGAAATAGTGAATTTATATTTTGTAATTAACTATTGCAAATTAAGAATAACCATACACAAGAAAAATTATTAACAAAACTACACAAAAATTCATAAAAACCATAATATTATTGACAAAATTAAAAATTAATAATGATCAACTGTTTTTAATTCTGAAATTAAGTCCAAAAAGAATTTTTAAAAGCTATATATCTTATTTGTTTAAACCGCCGTTTTAATATCGCAGAAATAACGCGAATCATTTATATTATTCTAGAAAAGATACATGGATTTCAAAGGGATTTTAAATCACGATTTGGAAACATTTTCGACGTCGAAAGTTCAAGGTGTGTGTACATTGTACACGCGTTGTAAAGTTTTCACGCAAAGCACAATTTGTCATTTAGAAAATAAACGTCGATGCCTCGGAGACTTCAAAGTGATCCGACTTTCGAGTAGCTTCTCGTTTCGAGCGTGTTTTACTCTAAAAATAAACTATTCCAAGAATGAATTAAGCTCTGTATATCTTCCCTTACTTTGACGGGAAACTTTTCTGGCTTTTGTCCGATATAGTCAATCGTTTGATTTTTCCTTCGTTAGGGGAACTTTGCGTTTATTTTCAAGACTTCCTCAATTGGAGTGACTATTTTAGAAATGTGAAGACGAAGCTCTGCGTTTCTGGGATTTCTAGGTTTCCGAATTTCTGGGTTTCCCGAATTTCAATATTATCGAATCTCTACGTTTTCCGAATTTCTACGCCCCCGAATTTCTACGTCCCCAAATTCTCACGTCTCCGAATTTCTACGCCCCCGAATTTCTACGCCCCCGAATTTCCACGTCCCCGAATTCCTACGCTCTCAAATTCCAACGCCCCCGAATTTCTACGCCCCCGAATTTCCACGTCCCCGAATTCCTACGCTCTCAAATTCCAACGCCCCCGAATTTCTACGCCCCCGAATTTCCACGTCCCCGAATTCCCACGTCCCCGAGTTCCTACGCTCCCGAATTCCAACGCCCCCGAATTTCTACGCCCCCGAATTCCTACGTCCCCAAATTCCCAAGTCCCCGAATCTCTATATTTCCCAAATTCCCACGCCCCCGAATTCCTATGCTCCCGAATTCCTACGTCCCCGAATCTCTACGTTCCCGAATTCTACGCCCCCGAATTCCTACGTCCCCAAATCTCTACGCCTCCGACTTCCTACGTCCCTGAATCTCTACGCCCCCGAATTCCCAACGTTCCTCCATCTCTACATCTCCCGAATCCCTACAACCCCGAACCCCTAATTTCCCAAATCCCTCTCCCCAAATTCCTACACCCCCGAAATCCCATATTTCCCAAATCCCCAAACCCCTAAATCTCCACTCTCTGAAACTTCCACAAATAATTTCCCAACTCCCCAAATTCCCAAAATTGCCTTCCCACCCAAATACCTAAATCCTCAAGCTAACACGAGTTCTCGAGTTGTTAAATTTTTGAAATTGCCGTGAGTCAGTGAATTGGTAACGGTGCTTATCACTGCAAGTGAAACGAAGGAAACGGGTCTGCGAGAATTGCTCGACCGAATTACCGGTCTCGTCCCGGTGAAGGGTGCTCGAAACGGAACACCGGAACGCAAAGAGACGCGCCCGGTGAATTTCAAGCGTTGCTTTCCGCGTTCTGAAAGCACTAGCCCCCTCGTGCCGGGCCACTTTAAGCTCTTCCGTGCCTCCTCTCCTTTCGAGTTCCGAAACGAGCCGAGACTCGCTCGTCATTCGACAAAACGCGCAGACACTGGTCAGCTGTGTCGACAGACACTGGAAAGCGGAGAACAAACGTGCGATACGCGTCAGGCTGGCCGGCTTACGTGAACGTTCTTCGTTCGCGTAATGAGAAGCAATCGTGGCGGAGGTCACCGTGGGTGGAGAACGAATTTCATGAAAAGTGTCGGATGAACGAACGCGAAGAGAAACGGGAATGTGCTGAAGAATGTGACAAATGCACGCTTCAAATAGTTTCGCATGGTTCTTCGGTTTTTTGTGGGTAGTGTAATTCTATGAAGAGGTGAAGTTTTCGAGCGAAATACCGGTACTGTGTAATTGTCGAATATAATTCAACGCGTGGACTGTTCACTTTTTATTTCAAGTTAGAAACGATATAATTTGCTGATACTAATGTAGGTTGTAATAATCTAGTTTTGGCGGATGAAAATTGTAAAATGTTCATGGTGCGAAATAGTATATGACGCATCAGGTGCGTCTTCAATTTCGTAATATACGTATGACGCACCCGGTGTGTCTTCAATTTCATAGTCTACATATGACGTACTCGGTGCGTTTTCAATTTCATAGTGTACATATGACGCACCCCGTGCGTCTTCAATTTCATAGTGTATGTATGACACACCCAGTGCGTCTTCAATTTCATAGTGTACGTATGACGCACCCCGTGCGTCTTCAATTTCATAGTGTACGTATGACGCACCCAGTGTGTCATCAATTTCATAGTATACATGACGCACCCGGTGCGTCATCAATTTCATAGCATACATGACAAACTCGACGCGTCTTCAATTTCATAATGTACATGTGACGCACCCAGTGTGTCATCAGTTTCATAGTATACATGACGCACCTTATGCGTCATCCATTTCATACCATATATGATACAGTCGGTGCGTCTTCAATTTTACAATATATATATATGACGCACTCAGTGTGTCTTCAATTTTATAGTATATATATATATGACGCATCTGGTGTGTCATGAATTTCATAGGATATATATGACACACCCACTGCGTCATCAAATTTCATAGTATACATATGACGCATACGATGCGTTTTCATACAACAGACAACACCCGACATTGACAGATAATTTGTACGCACGCATTTTCGATTTCATCGAACAACGTAGGACGCAGATCGTGTATCACGTTACTGACTACTGTAGGACGCACATGGTATTTTATTAATTCTATTGAATAATGTAGGACACATGTGGTGCATTGTCGATTTACATTGCCTAATGTGAAACCTATAGATCAGTTCATATTTAGTGTAATATGCACGTGGTGTTCGTTTGTATTGCTTAATGTAAGACGCATAAGGTGCGTCGTTGATTGTATTCTGTAATGTAGGACGCATACGGTGCGTCGGCTATTTGTATTCCCTAAGACGAGACGTGTACAATGCGCTTATAATTTCCATTGAGAAATGTGAGACATGTACGACGCATCATCGGTTTGTGTTGTCTGATGTAGGACGCATACGGTGCGTCATCGAGTATTGTGTAACACATACCGTATATCACTAAGTCTATTGCTTAATATAAAATGCATGTAATACGGCATTAGTTATATTGTCTTATGTTAAACGCATAATGTGCGTCACTTAGGTATATTGACCAATATAAGACGCACATGGTGCGTCAATTGGAAACATTGTCTAATATAAGACGCATATAGTGCGTCAATTAGATAAATTGTTTAATATAAGACGCACGTAGTGCGTCAATTAGAAACATTGTCTAATATAAGACGCACGTAGTGCGTCAATTAGATACATTGCCTAATATAAGACGCACGTAGTGCGTCAATAAGATACATTCTTTAATATGACACACATAGTGCGTCAATTATATACATTGGCTAATATAAGACGCACATAGTGCGTCCATTAAATACATTGTCTAATATAAGACGCATATGGTGCGTCAATTACATACATTGTCTAATATAAGACGCACATAGTGCGTCCATTAAATACGTTGTCTAATATAAGACGCACATAGTGCGTCAATTACATACATTGTCTAATATAAAACGCAAATAGTGCGTCAATTACATATATTGTCTAATATAAGACGCACATAGTGCGTCAATTAGATACATTGTCTAATATAAGACGCACGTGGTGCGTCAATGAGATACATTGTTTAATATAAAACATATGCTGTACATCATAATTATATTGTCTAATACAAGACGCACATGTTGCGTCACATAGTTACATTGTCTAATGTAAGACGCACATGGTGCGTCCATTAAATACATTGTCTAATATAAGAGGCACATAGTGCGTGCATTAAATACATTGTCTAATATAAAACGCACATAGTGCGTCAATTACATACATTGTCTAATATAAAACGCAAATAGTGCGTCAATTACATATATTGTCTAATATAAGACGCACATAGTGCGTCCATTAAATACATTGTCTAATATAAGACGCACATAGTGCGTCAATTACATACATTGTTTAATATAAGACGCACGTAGTGCGTCAATGAGATACATCGTTTAATATAAAACGTATGCTGTACATCATATAATTATATTGTCTAATACAAGACGCACATGTTGCGTCACATAGTTACATTGTCTAATGTAAGACGCACATGGTGCGTCCATTAGATACATTGTTTAATATAAGACGCACATAGTAGGTCAATTAGATAGATTGTCTAATACAAGACGCACAAGGTGCGTCCATAAGGTAGACGCACCTTGTGCGTGTCAATTAGAAAGATATCCGTACCACTAAATATATTCCGCCACAGACGAAAGAAGAACACTAAAGAACTGTAAAGAAGGCTAAAGATAGGAATGTTTCTATAGGATACATTACGCCGTGGAGATCGTAGCACGCCCACGAGTGACGTCGAGAGCAGGGCCGGCGTATCGAGGCCGAGAATCGGGACTTTCGTCATTAGCTGGTGTTTCGGGACGATCGGTACGGAAATGCCATTCCGAACGGGAGAATATTAATGCGCTTATAAATAAACCGGAGGAAAAATCCAGCGAGTGGAGGTGGCGTCGCGACGCTTCTGCTCCGCGTCGCTTCGAATCGCAGCGTCCATCAGACGCAACACGCTTTAGTTCCGCTCCACCTGGCCGAGTATTTCGAGTATAGAACACGCGCTCGCACGGTTTCACGCTTTTCTTCGGGGACACGTGATTCCTTCGTGATACGAGAGAACAACCTTAATTCACTGGGATTCAATATACGGGAATTACTTCAATTAATTTTTGATGTGATCGGGAGTCTTCAGGTGTATAGTTTGTGGCTGTGGAAGTTTGGAGGACTTGAGGTGGTTGAACAAAGAGGATGTTCGATGAAGCTCCGTATAATTAGGGTTTTGTATGTTAGAGAAGTTAACTGGAGAACTGGTTGGGGGTTGTAGCTCGGTACATGTTAAAAGATACAGCTTCATATTAACTCTTGGAAGACGAATATCCATAGCTAACATAGTACATATGATCACATTACAACATAATAATACTGTTGATGATCACTATTAATTTACATGAAATTGGAAATATATTTTCACCTGTACTTGCACGCACAGTAAGAAGAATACATGAAAATACAGTACAGACTGGGTCAATAAACCCTAGAATTCAATTAACAAGTTAATGGAAACTGTGAAGGAACAACAAAAATGAAAGAATGAAGAACCAAAATGAAAGTTATCGAACAAGTAAGATGCAAACTCACGATACACGGAAATCGAGGTAATATTAAATTGACCTCCCAAGAAAAAGTAGAATGTAAACTAACCAAGAAAATCGAGGAGGTTTTACCGCACGTGCCTTCGAAGTTCAATAAACGCACCTAACACGTGAACAGCGACGAACGCTACAGCGCAAGAATCTTACAAAACTGTCCTCGCAACGTTCCAAAAAAATTAACAAACGAACGTGACTTGATCGCAGAAATGATAAATGAAATGCCGAGTAATCGATGCAACGCCATTTCACGGTAAAATTTGTCATTGTCTCGAGTGTCTCGTTTTTCCGCTCTTATCTCAATGGGAGAACTAACAGCGTGCTTTTCATTGAAAACCCTTGACGGTTCGCTAAGATCTTAGGGTAACGAGGTCACAGAGAACTCACTCTTTCTGTCGGTGAATCGAATCCTAACATACCTCTTTCTGGCTGGCAAATATTTACAGAGAGCTTTCAGGAAATGAAGTTTTCGTAGTGTGCCTCTGATTTCTCGCGATTTCTGTTTTTGTTTCACGGTTGCCTGAAACAATACGCTACTTTTAAGTAACCATATTTTTCTTCCTTTTTTTCTACTTTTTATAAAACTCTGCGCAATCTGATATTTCGCTTTTGTATCAAATTCTTGACGCACCGGGTGTGTCATGTATACACAATCAAATTTATGACGCACCGGATGTGTCATATGTACACTATGAAATTGATGACGCACCGGGTATGTCATATATACATACTATGAAATCGATGACGCACCCTGTGCGTCATATAGACTATGAAATTGATGACGCACCGGGTGTGACATATGCATTATTAAATTGATGACGCACCGGGTGTGTCATACATTATTAAATTGATGACGCACCGGGTGTGTCATATATACATTATAAAATTGATGACGCACCGGGTGTGTCATACATTATTAAATTGATGACGCACCGGGTGTGTCATATATACATTATAAAATTGATGACGCACCATGTGTGTCTTTTATACATTATAAAATTGATGACGCACCGGGTGTGTCATATATACATTATAAAATTGATGACGCACCATGTGCGTCATATGTACAATACGAAGTTGAAGACGCACCGAGTACGTCATATGTATACTATGAAATTGATGACGCACCTGATGCGTCATATATGATATTTGTAGCAAGATGCATATGATAATACGAATTCTTAAGAATACATTTAAATGTACAGATTTAAACTTTCAAATTGTTATCTTGCATTTGAAAATTTATTTTTATGGTACCTCGTATTTTCAAATCAAACGATTTCAGTTATCTGTTCTGTATCAATCTTTGAACCGCACATTTAATCTTTTAAATTACCTCGTTCTATTAATACAATAACGTGTAACATCAAATGAGTCGATACGTTTAATCATCAGATTTAATATTAACTACGTCGAGATAATTTATGACTCGACGTATTTGTATTAAACATCATTTGCATCGTGAAACATATCAAGTAGCGAAACTTATTAAGCTTATCAGATATTAAAAATCTGTTTCCAGTGTTCATACAGAAGTCGTTGACATTGAAATCGTAATCGACGAGCAATGACTGTCCTAATAGCCAAGGGGCTTGACAAAATGAGAAAGGAATGATGAATTACGGCTAGACGCTTGTAATGACGAAAAAGAACATGCATGATCGTAAACGCGATCGCGTGTAGTCGAACGAGAAAAATTCGCGTTATCAAGCCGCTAGTTAATCACCGACGAGCGTGTTTATACCCATTACGCACGCTCGCTAATCAAAGTGACCAACTATATCCTCGTTATCACTGATGGTCTGGGTCAAGTTCGAGATTTATGAACAGGAGCTCAGATTCATTGATGATGATGCATTAATCTACTCTTCCACTTCTTTTTGATCCACCGTTGAAGTTCTGAATGAAGTTCTGAGGTAATAGATGAGGTTCAGCTTTAGATTATGAGCTGAGTATACAGATGAGATGTTAGATGAGATCTTGGAGTTCTAGATTAAGTTCTGAGGATCTAGGTAAGATCTTAGATGAGACTTTGAAGTTCTAGATTAAGTCTTAGGGTCTTAGATTAAGTGGCAAAGTTTTGAATGAAGTTATGAGGTTCTGGATGAGGTTCTGAAGGTTTAGATTCAGTTCTGAGGTTCTAGATAAGGTTTCAGATGGACTTCTGAGGTCCTAGATTAAGTTCTAAGATTCTAGGTTAAGTGCTATAGGCTTGAATGAAGTTCTGAGGTTCTAGATGAGGTTTCAGATGGACTTCTGAGGTCCTAGATTAAGTTCTAAGACTCTAGGTTAAGTGCTATAGGCTTGAATGAAGTTCTGAGGTTCTAGATGAGGTTTTGAAGCTTTAGATTCAGTTCTGAGGTTCTAGATGAAGTTCTGAAGTTTTAGATTCAGTTCTGAAGTCCTAGATGAGGTTTCAGATGAGCTTCTGAAGTCTTAGATTAAGTTCTAAGGCTCTAGATTAAGTGCCCAAAGTCTTGAATGAAGTTCTGAGGTTCTAGATGAGGTTCTGTAGTTTTAGATTCAGTTCTGAGGTCCTAGATGAGGTTTCAGATGAGCTTCTGAAGTCTTAGATTAAGTTCTAAGGCTTTAGATTAAGTGCCCAAAGCCTTAAATGAAGTTCTGAGGTTCTAAATGATGTTCTGAAGTTTTAGATTCAGTTCTGAGGTCCTAGATGAGGTTTCAGATAAGATCTTCAAATCCTAGATTTAGTCCCAAGATTCTAGATTGATTGCTGAAGTCCTAGATTAAGTCCTGAGATCCTACATGACATCTTAAAGTCCTAAATTAAGTCCTAAGATCCTACATGAGATTGCAGATGAGGTCCTGATATCCTACATTAAATCCTAAGGTCCTAGATTAAGTCCTAATTCCTAAATTAAGTCTTCAGATCCTCGATGAGATCTTAATGTTCCAAATTAAGTTCTAAGCTCCTAAATAAGATCTTAAACGAATTCCTGAAGTCCTAGAATAAGTCCTGATAGATAAGTCCTCCCAGATGAGATTCCTGATGAGGTTCCACGTCAGCTTCTGATCTTCCACCTAATCTCCCGAGCTCCATTTCTTCCCCTGTCAAACATTATTTCAGTATCAGTATTTTACCACACAAATCACTTAAATTTCTAATTTTAAATGTTAATTTCGTGTTACCAGCTAATCACTTGTAGTCACTTGTACCTGCTTCAGAAACACGCGGTGAACACGATGTTCGTGGCCGAAAGAATCGATATTTACGGGTTGTAGTGTTCCCGGTCGATTCCAATTATAAACAGCCGCCGGTGGACCGACTGGCAAACTCCCCGATAAATCTTGCTCGCTTTAGAAACTATTACGGATCCGCGTGGTCGTTTACGACCGAGCTTCGTGCAACGAGCGCAAACGTTTATTTGTTCCGAGGCGTACGTGAACAAGCGGTGTTCGTAACATCGTGTCTCTCCTCGCCGATGAGGAATTAATCCTGAATCCATAAATCTTCCTTCTATAGAGAGGATTGCTTTACTTCTTTGTCGTATTGGATACTCTTTTTGAATAACCTGAAACAATACCTTTTTTTATTTACCTGTGTACACTTAGGAATTTATGTATTTTTATGGGATTGTTACAAGGTTTAGTTCTTTGATGGGGCTTTTTTGATGTGTATTTTGAAGTAATGAATTTTGTGTATGTGTACATATGTACATGTATATGCACATGTTGTTTTATTGTTACACATGTACATACATATGTACATTCATATGTGTACGTATACAATATACATGCATATGTACATGTAAATATACATACAATACAACAATATGTATGCACATATTATTTCATTGTTACATACATACATACATATGTATATACAATATGCATGTACATATACATGTAAATATACATACATACAACTTGTATATACAAATATGAATATACAATATGTATATGTATATACAGTATGTACATATTATGTATACATATATATCTACAAGTTTATGTACATATACATACATGTGTTTAAGGATGACATTAAAGTGGTACATTTAAAATGTCCAACATTGAAAACAGAACAACAAATTTCATGACATAAAAGTATTATAAAACAGCACTTATGTTACATCAATTTGAAGCTTGAAGTCCATTAAAAATGTCTGCATAAACATTTTGTTATTATTTTTACTATAAAATGTCTGACAAACCTTCCATTACTATTCTTCATATAAAAACCTTGATTCTTAAATAACCTCTTATATTTTCCAATAATTAGTAAGTCTGTATTAAGAACATATATAAAGACTTTATGTAGTCATCTTCAGCAGGGTTCAAGCTTTAAATCCATGCATCACAAGAACAGTTTCCTGATACTTTTATGTCATCACTTTTCCAGCAACCTAAAAAAACAAACATAATCTGAAATAATTGCAGAACTCATAAGAACAAATAAAAATGTGAAAGATCAAACCCACAATGTTAAAGTAGCGAGTGCAAAACTTGTGCCACAATGTTGAAGAATTCGAAGCAAATTAATTCTGCGGATGCTTCCGTATCGCCCGCTTCCGGTCCAGCGAGTCCCTGCACGGATTCCACCCCGAAGCCAAGAAAGAAGCTGTCGTTCAAGGAACCTGAAATATTGAGCTATCTGAAATTGAGGAAACCCTTTGGGAAACCGAAACCACCGCCCCTGCAACTGGCTCGATCGACCAGCAGCGTTGATTTCAGTTTCGACGAGAACCCCTTCGAGGAGGAGAACGATGACCTCGAAGAACTCGAGGTATAAAGGGGCCACTATGTGTATCGCAGAAATAACATAGTCTATGGGGTGTACGTTCCCTGACACTTGATTGGACAGTGGTAAAATTGCTCCCCTATGGAGGGTGAAATAAATTACACACCTCTTGTATTACCACTTTTGTATATACCATTAGCACATTTGGTATAACTTTGTTGAAGATTGGTTTGTTTGAATAACTTTTAGATGAGGCAATCGGGTTTAATGGCTATTGTGTAATACATTCATAAGATATGAATCTTGTACACGATGTAGATTTTTATGTTGAAGGTGTTATATGTGGGGTGAGACAGGACAGGTGGTCGCGTGCAATTTATTGACAGATATCCCTTAGGGGAAGTGCAAAGGTAGAAGTGTCTTGCACCTTATTTATGCACAATGTAGCTAACTATTTATTTATGAGTGAAGACAGGAATTTTCCTTAGCTTTTTCTTCATTTTCTGTTGCAAATGTTTATGAATTTTTAGATGTACTTTTCAGGTTTCAATATTGCTCAATTTTAGAGTTGTAAATTTACATTTGCAGATTTTTATGTTTACCAATTTTGTATTGTTAAGTTTCTGTATTTATTAGTTTCTACATTTCTGAATTTGCAAGTCTTCAAGTTTCTAAATTTTCAACTTCTGCATTCTCAAATTCCCAAAAATTCCTATTTCCAACTCCCCTATTACCATATTCCCAAATTTCCTATTCTCAGATTTATTAATTTCCAAATTTTCACCTTTCTGAATTCCCAAATCCATTGATACCTAAATTTCCAAGCTCCCAAATTTCTAAATTCTCAAGTTCCCTCATTTCCAACTCCTGCATTCTCAAATTCCCAAAACCCCCTACTTCCAACTCCCCTATCATTAAATCCCTAAATCTCCTACTCTCAGCTCTCTAAATTTCCAAATTTCCATCTTCCTGAATCCTCAAATCCACTGACACCTTACTTTCCAACCTCCTTTTCTAAATTTCCAAGCTCTCAAATTTCTAAATTCCCAAGTTCCCACATTTCCAACTCCTGCATTTTCCAATTCCCAAAACCCTCAACTTCCAACTCCCCTATCATTAAATCCCTAAATCTCCTACATTTCCAACTCCCCTATTACCATATTCCCAAATTTCCTATTCTCAGATTTATTAATTTCCAAATTTTCACCTTTCTGAATTCCCAAATCCATTGATACCTAAATTTCCAAGCTCCCAAATTTCTAAATTCCCAAGTTCCCTCATTTCCAACTCCTGCATTCTCAAATTCCCAAAACCCTCTACTTCCAACTCCCCTATCATCAAATCCCTAAATCTCCTACTCTCAGCCCTCTAAATTTCCAAATTTCCATCCTCCTGAATTCTCAAATCCAAATCTTCCTAAATTTCCAAGTCCCCAAATTTCCAAATCCCTACATCCATAAATCCTCATTTTCTCATCTTACAATATCCAAATCCTAAGTCTTAAATCCCAAGTCTGTTATATCCCACATTACATTAATCTGCGCCATAAAATTTTCTGCACCCAGTGGTACCATCTGTCCTGTCTTGTGTAACGCCGGTAGCAAACGCGTTTTACAATTGAAAGAGCAATACGCTTAATTCGTTTGTAGCAAGTAAATCGCGTATAATTCTTGGAACGATCGTGTGGGTGGGTAACGTGGGTGGCAGGGTTGAGATTTTGTAGTCGTTTAACGAGAATGGTAGAGCTCGAATGGTGATTTCGGTGCTTGAAGCTGAACGTTTGATTATTTTGAATACATCTTCCGTTTGGATACTTGGAAACTCTGTTATTAGAATTTTCTTAGGATGCCTCTGGGTCTTCGATATTAAACCTGAAAACAAAAAATCATTTTTATTTGTTAAGAACATTTTATCTTGGTACGTTCGAAGTTTGACGAATATCTAATAATTTATCTAGTTTTTAATTTTAATTTAATTTTTCTAGTTTTTGTATAGTAATCATTTATTGAGGGAAAATGGGATAATGATACTATTATTATTATTACTTTTGCTAAAAGAAATGAATGTGAAAGATCAGATTTATCTTCTTAATAATAGCTTAATAATTAGTTTGTAAAAATTAACTTGAGTAAACTTATAAAAGTTGCTACAAATACTTGTAACAATTATTTGCAAATTTTATGATAATTATTTCTTAAGCAATCATTATCTCATTTCCCTTAAATTCAAATTTTGTATATACACTTACACCGGTACGTTCAATTGAAAAAAAGAGTTGGATTTCGTTAGAGTCAAGCGATGAGGGTGGTCAGAACGGTAGGACAAGCTTTCGAGGTGTGCCATAAATTAAGTATAAACAACGCCACGGAAGACCGGGACAGAGGAGACAAAGAACGGGAGAGGGATCACGGTGAGAATCATCGTGACGTTTACGAGGACCAAGACGAAATACCGAACGACCAGTCGCAGCCGTCGCCGTCTTCTGTGCACAAAGGTTTAGTACCTAGCTTCTCTGTTACACGACTATTATATTGCACAGTGTCGTTAACCTCTTTGAAATCCTGCGGACTTGTGGTAGAAATTCTTGGCAACTCCATGTTTCATAAATTTCCTACAAAATTTTCTCTTTAATCTTTGCTGTGTTATATAATGCTTGAAATATTACATATTCTTACCTTCTTAATATACAGAAAGTATACAAGGCTGTACTTAAAATACATCTAAAATTAAAGCTGAATAGGGGTTGTGTAGATAGCAATTCTTCAAAATGACTTCTTTGTTAATATACCTCTTTGTTAATATATTTCAAATTAAAACTGAACAGTAGCAGGGTTGAGATTTTGTAGTCGTTTAACGAGAATGGTAGAGCTCGAATGGTGATTTCGGTGCTTGAAGCTGAACGTTTGATTATTTTGAATACATCTTCCGTTTGGATACTTGGAAACTCTGTTATTAGAATTTTCTTAGGATGCCTCTGGGTCTTCGATATTAAACCTGAAAACAAAAAATCATTTTTATTTGTTAAGAACATTTTATCTTGGTACGTTCGAAGTTTGACGAATATCTAATAATTTATCTAGTTTTTAATTTTAATTTAATTTTTCTAGTTTTTGTATAGTAATCATTTATTGAGGGAAAATGGGATAATGATACTATTATTATTATTACTTTTGCTAAAAGAAATGAATGTGAAAGATCAGATTTATCTTCTTAATAATAGCTTAATAATTAGTTTGTAAAAATTAACTTGAGTAAACTTATAAAAGTTGCTACAAATACTTGTAACAATTATTTGCAAATTTTATGATAATTATTTCTTAAGCAATCATTATCTCATTTCCCTTAAATTCAAATTTTGTATATACACTTACACCGGTACGTTCAATTGAAAAAAAGAGTTGGATTTCGTTAGAGTCAAGCGATGAGGGTGGTCAGAACGGTAGGACAAGCTTTCGAGGTGTGCCATAAATTAAGTATAAACAACGCCACGGAAGACCGGGACAGAGGAGACAAAGAACGGGAGAGGGATCACGGTGAGAATCATCGTGACGTTTACGAGGACCAAGACGAAATACCGAACGACCAGTCGCAGCCGTCGCCGTCTTCTGTGCACAAAGGTTTAGTACCTAGCTTCTCTGTTACACGACTATTATATTGCACAGTGTCGTTAACCTCTTTGAAATCCTGCGGACTTGTGGTAGAAATTCTTGGCAACTCCATGTTTCATAAATTTCCTACAAAATTTTCTCTTTAATCTTTGCTGTGTTATATAATGCTTGAAATATTACATATTCTTACCTTCTTAATATACAGAAAGTATACAAGGCTGTACTTAAAATACATCTAAAATTAAAGCTGAATAGGGGTTGTGTAGATAGCAATTCTTCAAAATGACTTCTTTGTTAATATACCTCTTTGTTAATATATTTCAAATTAAAACTGAACAGTAGTTGCATAGATAACAATTCTTCACATGACTTCTTTGTTAATATACCTCAATTAATCAACCTCAGTTAATATACCTCTTTGTTAATATATCTCAAATTAAAGCTGAACAGTGGTTGCATAGATAACAATTCTTCACATGACTTCTTTGTTAATATACCTCAAGGTCATTGAAGTCTGCAGTGTTCTTTTCTATACATATAATTATCCAGAAAATAATTTAATATATGTATAAGAGAATTAAGTGGAACATCCTGTATAACATTTTAAAATATGTTTCAGATATATCGTTGTTAGGTGATACGGAAGATTCGGTGCCTGAACAGACAACCGTTCCATGTCTCCTCAGGTCACATGAGGTTCCAGCGACCACCGCGTCTACCTCGCCGATTAGACAATCGCCATCGGTAAAATTATTTAAATTATATTAAACGAAATGTCTCATAGAAATCTATCCATGTCTCTGTAGTTGTATCAAGTGTATCCTATATTTTTGTATAGTTTAATCCTTTCAGGCCTCAGATTTCAAATATCTATAAATCTTCAGTATCTCTATATCTTCACTTAAGAATTATGTACACCGTGACATGAATTTATGGACAAAATGTTGTAGGGCATGGTGACCTCCGATTGTGGAGGATTACTGGTAGGAGGAGAGTTAACTGCTTTGAAGCATGAGATTCAGCTGTTGCGAGAACGATTAGAGCAACAGAGCCAACAAACCAGAGCCGCCGTTGCCCATGCGCGACTTCTTCAGGATCAGCTTGCGGCTGAAACGGCAGCCCGCGTCGAAGCTCAAGTAAGTCGTGATACTTGTCATTTTGATTATAGATATCCACATCTTACATCAATATAAATCTTGGAGACATCTGCAAATTAAGTTCATTGGTTACAAATTCTAAATAATGAGCTAGATAGATACTAATATACCAGTTATCATTATTGAACTTATGTCTACCAACAGGTGTATATAGATAACCAAATAAACCTAACCTAACCTAACCAAATACCTCTACTATATAAAGTAGATAAGTATAAGTTTAAGTATTATAATTAGTATATAGTACCATGTAGTTTAAGATCTATAAGTACTATATAAGTATAAGTCTCCATAATTACTAATACTAATACTATCTCCTTATCCTTCTTCACAGACCAGGACACACCAACTGCTGATGCAAAACAAGGAACTACTGGAACACATAGGTGCACTGGTTGGTCATCTACGAGAACAAGAACGCATCTCCAGCAGCCATGTCAGCTCACAGTCTCAAATGCCTGGCACAGCAACGATGCAGCAAACCACCACCGTTCCTGACTTGTCGAACCTCGGCCAGGTAACGCTCTATCGAATACCATGACACGAGTGTTCACCAGCCAGCAAGCAGTATGCCTGGAAACATAGCATTTCAATTAACATTTTATATATTTTTTACGTTCCCCATGTTTTTGTACCACCTTTTGTAATATCACCATTTTTTATAAACTTCTTAATAAAATGATTTGTGTATGCACTTTTTATGTTTTGCATCCATCTTCGTTGAGTGAATTAAACTAATTGCAATGGTGTAACTAGGGTGGATACTATCAAAATATTAATTAAATAAAATTGAAGAACTTGGACCACCTAGTTACACCAGTGACTTACAATTGTTTTTGTCTAATACAGAATTTGATGTGACTGTGTATGCTCTCCGTTTGTTTTTACATTTGTTTCATTATCTGTGCAGGTTGATTGCGTATTTTGTTTGCAGACAAGACCCGACAAGCTTTCGTGTGCTCGAAAGTACTTGCCAATTTGAAATTCAAAATTCATTGAATAACGTGAGAATATTTCTTGTTCAACTATCGTGATTATGTGTCAAGTTCCTAGAATCGGTTAAGCTTTAAAATTTGTTAAGCAACTTCGTACACATAACGAGTTTGATGTAGGTTTCACGAAGAATTTTTAATCGTTCCGAGGAAACTATACCAGCGGTCAAACTCTGAAAACTCTATCGCTTATGAGTGACGTGTTGCGCTCTGAATTGGCCGACAGGAAGATAACTATTTAATGCTGTCATTAAACCTAAATCGCTAATCCAATAATCGTGCTAAGCGCCGGTGTGACGATGTTATGTAACAGGTCTTCGCACGGGACTTTGGACTTTGTGCTACCAACAAATGCTAGGTAACGTTGCCAATTTTAAACCACTATGCAGCATGTAACCAGGACCTCATTCTATAAGTTTAAGTTTCTTTATGTTCAAAATTCAAATTATAATAATTTGTTATATTAATCCTGTTTCATCTTTTTGAACTATGTCTTTTTCCATCTTTTGAATTATGTTGCCAAACATTTTCAGTTCAAGGCTCTTGGTATAAGGAGATAGCAAAGTTTGATAAATTCTCTGTAGTAACATAGTTTGAATATTACTGATTCAGATTCTCCCACGTAACGCATACTTGAAGTGCACGATCTCGCATACTTTCAAGTTTCTAATATTAATTATGTGTCTACAGTGTCAGCGAACAGGCGGACAAAGTTCACCGTGGGAACTGGATCCACCTTCTCCATATTGCCCTTACGCACCAGACTCGCTGTATCCTGGGAACCTGAACACAATAGGAATTCAAGGAAACAGTACGGCGGATCAACTGCAGTTTCAGACGCAGCTTCTGGAGAGACTGCATAATATAAGTCCATATCAGCCTCAGAGGTCGCCGTACAATACGCCTTCTCCTTATGCGATGGGTCCCAACCTTCTTCTGCCTCCTAGTAGTAGACCATCTGTAAGTATATTTATGATTAAATTCTCTCCTACGTATTACTCCATTTTACCTTATATTACTCATATTTTATCTTACTTATAAGGTACTAAAGCCCTTCTCTTTAACTTACAGAATTCGGCTCAACTGTCTCCAAACTCCATGTCGCTAAGAGTCTCTCAACCCAACAGTTTCTCGTCGTCTCCTGTAATGACGCATAAAGTAGATAACTACTGCGTAAATCTGGATGGTGTAGACTCAAAGTCAACGTTCATAAAACCTCTACCATGTTCCGGTGAGAAGAACAATACTCACCTGGCCCAGGAAGCAAAGGGTAAGCAGGATCGAATGAACCTACATGATGAAATACCACCAATCGTGCTGGATCCTCCACCTCAGGGTAAACGTTCGGAAGTTACGGCTAAGAAAGCGCAGGCTAAAGAGAATTCGAACGGGCAGGGAACGAATAATAAGAGCCAACTGAAGCAGAAGAATCTGGCAACTATTTTGAGAACATCTGGACCACCTCCGTCGCGGACTACCAGCGCGCGTTTGCCTTCGAGGAGTGATCTGATGTCTGAGGTGCAAAGGACTACGTGGGCACGTCACACGACCAAGTGAAGAGACCTGCAAATAGATTTTCAAAATCTGAATATTCTTGACAGATGGTTTCTTAAATTTTATACTATTGAGTTAAACTTTGGGACTGCATAATTTCTAAGACCTGATATAGTTTGTTATAAAATTAATTAAAATATTGTAGGCGAGATGAAATATTGTCGGTGCTATATTTTCTTCATTTTGAGTTCATGGAATGATTGGTAATCAGTATGTCTTTGGTTATCAGAATAGATGGTTAATTTTTAGACAATTTTTGAATATGTACGAGTTTTTATTTAGTGAATGAAGAAACTTTTTAAGTGTCTATATTGTTATTGAATAGTAAAGCGAATTGTAAAATATTTAGTATCTTTTAAACTGGCGATCTCGTGCCAAAGTAGAGCTATTTTAAATAAACTTCTGAATTGAGAAACTTGTGATCAACGTGTGACCAATGATTGTATATAAAAAACGTGTTATTCTTGTACATACTAAATTTCAATTATTTTACATGACAAACGATTGTGTCGTTATAAAAACAAAGATACAACTTTTAGACTAGTCTCTGTAAGTTTTATTCAATGTTTTTTATGATCTTAAAACAAGGAAGAGAACCTTTCATATACAATTTCAAGAACAAGTGTATTCAATTGGGAGAACAGATACAATCTTTGTATAAAATCTGTCAATCTCAAAAATTGTTCATAGAAAACATATTAAAGTTACAAGTGAAACAAAGGCTAGAATAGCTGACATAAAAATAGGATGTAAAATTAATGATGGTCTGTTCAAATATTAACATGACCTATAAATAAAATATTCTGTAAAAAAATTGTGTCTAATTGAATTTTACAATGAAGAACCATTTATAATGACGTTTTTGCGTTGGCGGGGTAGCCACCACTATTAATGGCGTGCAACCGAATGCGTGTTACTACATTATATCAGTCATAACGTAATCAAGTTACGAGGTTCATTATTCTGAATGTGCTCGTAGTTTTCTACCTTCCTATCAGTATATTGGTAGAGCGTGAAAAGACCAGAACAATTTAGCTCCATCAAAAGAGACTTTAAAAATTATTTAACTCCTTCGGTGTGAATTTTCAAATTTAATATAAATTTTCAAATTATCAAAATTGTAAATTGCAGAGATAAATGTAATAATACTGTTCATATTTTTATTATTAAACTGAGGGTGAATTGTAACAATTTTTCTCTGATTACGTGGAAATTGAAGAGGTGAAGAAAAAAGTGATTTCTCTGCAATTTCCGGCGGAGTCCCCGTAAAAAATTCAATCAGTTCATCGAAAAAAGATTTAATCGAATAGATAATTAAATGTAAAGTAGTGCTTTCTGTTGTGTTAAATAAAAAACATGAATGAAGAGACAGAACATAAATCTGAAGGAAAAGTATTTGGAATTTTGAAGTCGAGCGACACTGGACCTCAGTCCAAGGCGACAGTATTATTATCGCCTCAGAAGGTAACATTTATTTTTATTATAATTCATATATTATAAAAATGAAATATTGTAATAAAAAAATTTTAATTTAATCTAAGGTTTACATTTTATAATATAATTTTTAAAAACACTAGATCTATACAACAAACATTTAATTATAAAAAATTAGCTTTTCTACCAATTATCTGTAACTAAAACCTTATTTAACGCTAGCTGAATTAATGCTGATTACCTCGCAAAGGTAAAGCTCCTGTATTCCCAGTGGTTCCCTTATCTCCATTTTGTTACACGCTGCGATGACCTCATTTAGCACTGTTTTAACATTTTGCTTTCTAAAAAGTGCAAGCAGCTTCGTATAATTATTTCGTGTGCGTTTAATCAGCAAATGTATAGACAACAAAAAGCATCGCGTGAGCAGCAAAAACTGTAACAGAGTTCGATTAGTTCCCAGAAAGTTTATTAATCACTGATACGCACCTAATGTTAATTAACGAATTATTCATACGAAACAACATTCCTCGTCTTCGATGAGTCATTTTTATTAACATGAAATTTCACTTTGTCTTTCGTTACATCAAAACATCGTCCATGGCCACTAAAAAAAGGATATAAAACCATGTTACTTTATTTGCACTATAAACTTAAATACCGCAATTTTTATTCAAACAAAACATGTTAAAGCATGATTCATATTTCAAAGGAGTGTTATAAAAATGAACGACAACGATTATGTTTCCGTGACTTTACAATCACGTTATAAGTTTCCTCTAAATAGACAACGCATTATGAGAGGGTGAAGGAGTGATTTTCGTGAGCTCCTAAAACTTGCGTGTAACACGAGTGTGGCCAGAGTTTGGAAGAAAAATGATTATACGAGGTGGGGTCTCGTGAAAAATGAGAGGTGTACGATGGCTCTTCAGGGTGCGGCACGTACACGACCTCGAGCTTCTAGTTCATCTACATCACTCTGGTGTCAAACTTTCAAAACTAATAAAATAGACTTACTTGTATTTTGTTATACAGTATAACTATTATGGAATATTCTATCAACTTATTACAATTTGTTTTTTCAAGTTGAAAAATACAAGTAAATTTCTTTAAACATAAATACAAGTAATTCTAGATAACAAATTTTTACTTTTTCATTAAATTATTATCTTCTTCATTAAGTGTACAGAGTAAAATATATACACACTTCATTACTATTTATATTTTAATAAATTAGACATTTAACCTTAAAATTATACATGTATGTTCAAAATGACTACCATAAGTATCAAGGCCATTGTATAATATATTCAATATATTACCCATATGAACATGATATGAATTTTTAAAGTGTGTATATACTTCATTACAATAAATACACAATTTCTCTAAGTAAAAGATAACTATCAAGGCCATTGTATAATATATTCAATACATTACCCATATGAACATGATATGAACTTTTAAAGTGTGTATATACTTCATTACAATAAATACACAATTTCCCTAAGTAAAAGATAACTACCAAGGCCATTGTACAATATACTCAATATATTACCTATATGAACATGATATGAACTTTTAAAGTGTGTATATACTTCATTACAATAAATACACAATTTCCCCAAGTAAAAGATAACTACCAAGGTCATTGTATAACATACTCAATATATTACCTTCATACATAATATGAACGTTTAAAGTATGTATATACTTCATTACAATAAACCTATAATTTCCCAAAGTAAAAGATACCTATTGCCATAAACTGAATCTATGTTACATCAACCAAGCAACAATATTTTCTCCAGTTAAATTAAACCATCACTCTAACGTCGTGTAAGTTACACGGTAAGAAAACGATCGGATCGTAAAGCGAGGTATCCATTTACCGTGTGATATACGAGCTTTCGTGATTTCGAAGATTTGTGTCGTCCACGAAAACACGATGTCTCTGATATCGAGTGAAACAACCATTAAAACGAGCTTCGTACAGGCGCGGTTTTACTAGGGGACGACCATCGGACCTTGTTCTCTATCGACATGATAACAGTTGCTTCCAATCCATCGACGTTGATTCTTCAGATTCTTATTGTCAGTGTCTTTTTACGATGCATTTAATCATTATTAATCTTCATTAAATGTGTTCGAGTTCTTCATTTAGCTTTGCAATCTTTCTTCTTGTAAAAGGTAGGTGCAGCTTTCTTGTGTTAGCAATAATTTCTTTTACATCTTCTTCTTTTAGTACATATAGAAGACATGTTGCATCTTCTTCTTTTATTAGTACATATAAAAGACATCTTACATCTTCTTTTCTAATACATCAATTGTCTCTGACAATTTTCATTATTTATAATCATTGAAGTCCTCTTCAACTGATACCTGAAAACAGATTTAACTTAACAAAAGAAGAGATGGTTCTACTAATTGCTATTCTATTAATGTCAAGTAAATTAGATTTGTTTGAAATAATATCACCAGCAAAACATCTGTCTATGAAACTGAATTGACAGACTACAAAAACCAATGCTGAACTCTCTTTTAAAGCTCATTTTATTTTCTGAGTACAAAGAAGAATTACCTCTATCTATTACACATTGATCAATAACCATCTTCCATAAAAGACAGACACTGTTCCAGAGGTTCAGTATTCAATAAAAATGGCACCACTGAAATTAAGTCCAGCCTTCTCGTTCCATGTAGCGTGACGATGGATGATGTACGAGGAAAATTCATGCACCTAATTGACTGGCTTCACCTTGTGCTGTAGGTGGAACCTTCTTCCCCACAACCGTCGGTCGACCGACTGTCAGTTACTTTTGCCGGTGTTGAAGACAACCTTCAGGATAATCAGAAGGATATTCCAAAAAGTTTGCAGCAGACGGAAAGCAGAGTCGACGTCAAGAACGCTTCTAATATGCAAAGAATATCTATAGCTGGTTTGTATTATAGTTCATTGTTATTGGACAATGCTCTCTGAGTACAATAGCTTGAACTTTTTTGTAGAGAAGAATAAAATGTTCTTTGTTGGAGGTTGATTAAATGTTCTTTGGTTGAGGTTCATTAAATGTTCCTCATTTGAAATTCATTAAATGTTTTTTTGAACCTAAACGCTTTTCTTTCAAGTTTGACCAAATGTTCTTGGAATTAGATTGAAATAACTTTTGGGTGAATTTCAGAGGAGGAAGCGGATGAAGATGATTATTCAGCGTCAGCTTGTGCGATCATGCAGCGACGGAGTTCAAGTCGACGGCAAAGTAGACGAAAACGTCGACCGTCGTCACCTTTCAGCGTCGAAGCTGAAGCTTCTCTTCGGAGAAGGTCGTCCATTTACACCGTCAGCTCTGGAGAGTTAGTATTATATGGAGAGTCAACTTAATAGTCAATATTTTAGTAACAGTATACTATAGCATCCTAATATTTTTTAATACTCTGCCTCAATATTCAAAGCTCTTCAATGTTGAGATACTCTTCAGTATAATTAAATATTTCTCAGTGCTCTTAAATATTTTATCTGTTCAATATTCCTTAATTTTATCAGAAGATATTGAAACATGTATTTATAAATAATGTCTCTATTACAAAGAACTGCAATCTCCATGGAAGAAAGCGGAAGCCAGGAACTAATATTTGAGAAGCTGAAGCTGCACAAAGAAGTTTTGAGCGGAGTCAAACAGCAACCATGGCCTCTTCGTCGAAAAATCAAACTGGTACGACAAGCGAAGTCGTACGTGAGGAGGCACGAAGGTGTTCTTCAGGAAAGGCTGGCCCAAACTCGGAGCACCAAAGACGCCATTGCGCGCATTTCATTATTCATCACAAAGGCAAGAATTATACACATAATGATTCACAGGAAACCTGAAAGTATAATGTGTTGTGAATTGAATCATTCTAAACATTAACCCTAACATAATACTTGATATATAAGTGATATTATAACTAAATTATGTTTTTCTGGTTTAATCACAGAAATGGCAATACTGTCGAAGAGAGATAGTAAATCTTCAAACATGGTTGATCCCCTGGGAACTTCGAATCAAGGAGATCGAGTCACATTTTGGTTCCGCGGTGGCTTCGTATTTCACATTTCTTCGTTGGTTGTTTTGGATCAATCTTGTTATGGCGGTCATTATAGTAACTTTCGTGGCTATTCCAGAGGTAGAACAAATTATTATCTTCGTTATGATTCTACAGAATTAATATCATAGTCAGCATAGTGATCACTTTGTCAAAATAAAAGTGCAAGAAGTAAAGAGAGTCACATGTTTATCTTCTTTTATATTCTTCATTTATCTTGTATTTCTTTTTATATCTTTTTCATCTTTTATTCTGATATAGTGATCACATTGTCAAAATAAGAGTGCAAGAAGTAAAGAGAGTCACATGTTTATCTTCTTTTATATTCTTCATTTATCTTGTATTTCTTTTTATATCTTTTTCATCCTTTATTCTGATATAGTGATCACTTTGTCACAATAAAAGTGCAAGAAGTAAAGAGAGTCACATGTTTACCTTCTTTTATATTCTTCATTTATCTTGTATTTCTTTTTATATCTTTTTCATCTTTTATTCTGATATAGTGATCACATTGTCAAAATAAGAGTGCAAGAAGTAAAGAGAGTCACATATTTATCTTCTTTTATATTCTTCATTTATCTTGTATTTCCTTTTATATCTTTTTCATCCTTTATTCTGATATAGTGATCACTTTGTCAAAATAAGAGTGCAAGAAGTAAAGAGAGTCACATGTTTATCTTCTTTTATATTCTTCATTTATCTTGTATTTCTTTTTATATCTTTTTCATCCTTTATTCTGATATGATGATCACATTGTCAAAATAAAAGTGCAAGAAGTAAAGAGAGTCACATATTTATCTTCTTTTATATTCTTCATTTGTATTGTATTTTTTTTTATATCCCTTTCTTCTTTTACTCCTATGCTAATATTTTCTTATAACAGATGTTAGCAGCAGATCCCGCAGCTGCCGGAGAAAGAAAAATCATGCTCAAAGAAGAAGAGATCAAATCAAAGCACCTGCTAACTCTATGGGAGTTTGAAGGGATTTTAAAGTACTCTCCCTTCTTCTACGGGTGGTACACTAATCAAGACTCTCGCAGCGGCTACAGATTGCCTTTGGCATACTTTGTCACGAATTTAGTCGTCTATGTCTACAGCTTCGTCGCCATACTGCGCAAGTAAATGATTCAACACACCTGAAACGCGAAGAAGAGATCTGAAACTGTACGATATTTACAGAATGGCAGAAAATTCTCGTTTAAGCAAACTCACGGAGAAGGAGGACGAGTACGTATTTTCATGGAAGCTTTTCACAGGATGGGATTTCATGATCGGTAATACGGAAACTGCGCATAATCGGATGGCCAGCATCGTCCTTGGATTCAAAGAAGCACTGTTGGAGGAGGCTGAAAAGGAAAAAGATGAAAGGAAGTGAGATTACATTGAAATACTGTGGAACTTTTTCTTATCGGAAGCATTTACTTTCAAATTATGGCGCAGGGTTAAACCCCTGACCCAGATCTACCTTAAATTCTGCTCTTAATGGATTCATTCTTTACATCCACAATTTTATAATTTCCTCAGGCTTATTCGTGTAACTTATTGTAATATATTTCAGTTGGAAAATTATATCCATGAGGATCTTCGTGAATGTTTCTGTAATCTTATTGCTGGTTTTATCCGCTTATGCCGTGGTAGAAGTGGTTGCTCGAAGCGCAGAGGAACTTGAACAGGCCAGTTGGTGGAGACAGAATGAGATTACCGTTGTGATGTCTCTGATCACGTATCTCTTTCCAACGTTTTTTGAGATATTAGGTTTGTTGGAGAACTATCATCCCAGAAAGCAGTTACGTTTACAACTTGCACGGTGAGTGGATCTTCTTTATTTATATTTGGAAACATGGAGATATGAGGATCCAGAAATCTAAGAATCTGAGGATCTAGTTATACATAAGAATTTGAAAATTCAAAGATCTACAAACCTAAGCATAATTAGGTTTAGCATAATTATGCAGCCGAAGCATTTTGTGTAATCAACCTTTACTTCTTCAACATTGTGATACATTTGTTGCAGAATAATGGTCCTGAATTTATTGAATCTCTACTCCCTGATCTTTGCATTGTTTGGAAGAATAAATTCAATGGTTAGTTAACTATCTGTGACTGTATATTCACCACTGATCTCTGAGAGTATTTTTATTACAGAAAGAGGATCTGCGAGATCTTCAACCAACTATCAAGAACTGCTCTTACAAGCCAATAGCGTGCAGTGACGATATGGCAAATTCTCGAAAATTAGCAACCTTAGCTTCTCTGAGTTTAATTATGGTAGCGGGTAATGTTACTGGGATGCAGAATCAGAGTGAGATTTCTGAAACAAGTATGTCTTGAATATGTCTCAAACAATTTACAATTTTTTTCATGAGACAGCCTCTTTTTATTCATTCATGGAGTTTCATAGTTTTTATAGTTTTTACAGTTTCATAGCTTTTATAGTTTTCATAGTTTCATAGTTCTTATAGTTTTCATAGTTTCATAGCTTTTCTAGTTTTCATAGTTCTTATAGTTTTCATAGTTTCATAGCTTTTATAGTTTTCATAGTTTCATAGTTTTTATAGTTTTCATAATTTCATAGTTTTTATAGTTTTCATAGTTTCATAGTTTTTATAGTTTTCATAATTTCATAGTTTTTATAGTTTTTATAGTTTCATAGTTTTTATAGTATGTAAAGTTTCACACTTCTTCTATTTTCATGGATAGAAACTTTATGTATTATGGAAACATCACAAATATATAACATCTCTAAATTAGTGTTCCATTAATTTAGCACTGCCACCGTTCTTCCTGGTGCCGAACAATCTCTACTTGAATCCAATACTCGACGACAAATCACTGGAAGAGATATACAACGTCGGGGACTATCCACCCTTGGATTACATCTACGACAATTATGAACGAGAAGACATTAAAAATAAAACGTCAAATTCGACTGAAATTATCACTGAAACTTTTAATCTTACCTCAAACATGTTTCAACAAAATGATACTTTCAACACCACTGATGAGGAATTCATAACCTTCTCTTCCCATTCAACTGAAACCAGGATTCCTTTTTTAGAAAATTCTACTTACAGTGAGAAGACATTTTACGAAACGAATGATACGAGTGAGGTAACTCGTGATTTTGGTACAATCATAGATACATCTACTGAATTAGATACATTCAGTACATTGACCATGTCTGATAATAGTACAGAATCAAGTGAAACCTCAGGATACTCTGAATCTATCAATGATACTATTTATGAGGTAACTACTGCTGATAGTTCCTCAGCCAGCAAATTGAGTACATTGACCATGTCTGATACAAGTACAGAATCAAGTGTAACCTCAGTATACACTGAATCTACCAATGATATTTATGAAATATCTACTACAGATAGTTCCTCAGCCAGCAAAAGAGTGATTCCCTTATCTGAGAATAATTATATTGTCAAGTGCTTTGAACAAGTATGCACAACGACAACTCAAAATACAAGTACGTAGAAGAAAATTTAGCACGTAGAAAGTGTAGATAACTTAGATAATGTGTAGTTCATTTATAAAAAGCTGAAGATTAAACTCTGTTCTGTATCACAGCTGCTTCATCAAAATTATTAGATTTGAAGACTCGGAAGAAGCTTCGTAAATTATGCTGGGAGACGATGTTCGGTCAAGAACTAGCCAAGCTCACAGTTATGGATTTGGTAAATTTCCTAAGAACGTTGTCAATGTTCTCTTCATTTTAACATCATTGTTTCAGGTGCTTAGTGTAATGGCCACGCTCAGTATAGATTTTCTTCGCGCAGTCTTCGTGCGTTACATGAACAGCTTCTGGTGTTGGGACCTTGAAAAACAGTTTCCTCAGTATGGAGACTTCAAAATTGCTGAGAACATACTTCACCTGGTGAACAATCAAGGGATGATTTGGATGGGAATGTTCTTTAGCCCTGGTTTGATAGTTTTGAACTTATTGAAGCTTGGGATTCTTATGTACTTGAGGTCCTGGGCTGTCCTCACGTGCAACGTGCCTCATGAAGTCATTTTTAGAGCTTCCAGGTAATAAATCATTTCATTCTTCTTTGAACAATTAATTCTTCATGATTACTTCATTACTTCATTCTACTGAAATTATTAATAACAATGAAAGTTACTATTACTTGTTTCAGGTCTAACAATTTTTATTTTGCCCTACTGTTAACAATGTTATTTCTATGCGTGTTACCTGTTGGTTATGCGATTGTTTGGGTGGAACCATCTTGGCATTGTGGACCATTTTCTGGTTACAAGAAAATTTATCATTTGGCTACAAAACAACTCACGGATTCTCTTCCAGAACCAATTCAGAGGTCTCTATTTCTTTTAACATTTATTTGACATTGTATGATAGCGTTTTTCTTGCAGATGTCTGGATTACATTGCTTCACCCGGTATTGTAATTCCACTGATTGTTCTGATGACTCTTATTATTTATTATATGGTGTCACTGACTGGGTCGTTGAGAGAAGCCAATAATGATTTAAAGGTATCAGTTCTGATACTCAGTAATAATGTGAAAATATTGTCACACTATTTTTGTAAAACATGGTATTAACTTTTTAAAAGAACCTTGATTCCAATAAGTAACTCTTGAATCTTCATACTAAAGTTTGCATTGTTATGACTTCACTCATTAACATGTCATAAAGATTTAGTGTCTGATTAACTATTACTTTTCTTTAAGATACAATTGCGTCACGAGCGCACAGAAGAGCGTCGTAAATTATTCAAGATAGTTAAGAAGAGAGAAGAACTAACCGATACGTCGTTTTTAAAATGGAAGAAAATGTTACCGGTCTTATCCAAAAGATCAACTAAAACTGATACTTCCAAAGGTATTCTCTAATATGATTTCATATGCAAAATGTGTTCTATAGAAAATCTTGATAATAGGTGAACCAGAAGTCTTGGTCACCATGGAGAATTCTGCTGAGGATGTGGACAGGAAACGTTCAATTTCAGAAGTTGTTGAATTGATGGACATGGGACAGGAAATACCACAGGATCACACACAGAATATTCCTGAAAATAGTAATACAAAAGGATCAAGTAACAGGTACAGAAACATATTTAATTTAATTATCAGTGTGTATGAGGAAGTAAAAAATGTGGAACATGAAACAACGTACCTAAATATTCACCTCTTATATAAATACTTGATATTTAAATATATTGTGATTAATTATGTGAATAGGATGACAAAGGTTCTTCAGGACTCTCGGGAATCGCAGACCACCGACGCCATGATACCAGAGATCCGCATAAACGGGGCAGAAGGAAAGTCAGTGAGTTCTCAGTCGGTTTCTAAGGAAAATGCAAATCAGACAAAATAAAAAATATCAAAAAGAACATGATTACTATTTCATCCTTCACGTTTTAATATTAAAATTTATTCGTTATTTTGTATGAAGATTTGACAAAATGGTCCTCGCATCTATTTCTACGGTATAAGTTACTAGTCGTAATTATATCTTGTTAGACGATAATTTTGAGGTAAGAAGTCCAAGACATTATCGAGCTTTCACTCATCGTCATTTGCTCATATTATAAATACGTACACGTACAAACACTCACAACACGTTCATTTAATTTCACTTATAAATTACAACCTAAAATACTGACGACCCACGTGGAATTGCACGCAGAGTGACCCGTTATTCGATCGCAATCATTATGGTATTTCACTCGTTTCATGGATAAGTTTCCTTTAAATGTGTTCCATGCATTATTAATATTTCCCGCTATGAACAGAAATCTATTTCTTCCTCGTTAGACACGAATTAATGATATGTAAATGTCGCACGTGATTTACTTTTTCGTTTTATCCGATCTTTAAATGCGGTTACGTTCGAGATTCCTTATAAATATTTAAAAAGTACTTACATGATAATATAACGCTTAGAGTACAATAAATATTCAGAACACATCGTGACGGTTATTATCCATTATGATCTTCGCGTCATTCTTTAATGTCTATTCTTTTAAATATGATTCGATCGAAGAGAACGATCACTCGTCCTTCTTTTCAAGGATCACAATGATCTTTCCTTCGAGAACCATCCACTGATCTACTCATACAACCGAGAGACTAGTTTATGCACGCTTCAGGCTTTTGCCTCCGGTAGCTAAATTATAACTCATTAGTTCTCTGTTAGATTTTAAGTGTTAGATCCATGCAATAATTGTTTAACCCTTCTCCTCAAATTTAGCAAAGAATTTCGAACGTTTGACAAATGAAGTTCAAATACAAACTTTTCGCCTAAAGCGTCCGCATGAAAATCTAAGACTACAGGGTTAATCGTAAATAATATCTAACTCGTAGAAAACACAACCATCAAATTGAAAGTTTGGTTCGCTGTAAGACTCGTGAACTTAAAACACTCCGTCATCCATCGTCAAAGAAGAATAGCGAAGGTACGAGACATCCTCGTCCATATCAGATAAAAACTGTCATCGTTCGTTCAGATTCGGATTGTAGATCGGTCTGCTGCTCAAGAAACTGTTTCCGCTGGTTGGACTGGTTCTCACTTGCATGTATTTAGGCCTTTTGTGTCTGGTGCTCCAGTGCAGGTAGGTATACCAACCGGCTACCACGGCTCCCAGAGCGTTGCAAGTGGACGAGAAGATCAGGAGGATCGTAAGAATGCTTTCGACTTCGGGACAGTTCAGATCCATGTACCTGACCGCTGCTTCCGTTGAATTCGAAGTGTCCTCACGTGGTCTGCACACGCAGGCAGCGTGCAGAACGCGCGCTGGGTTGCATTCCAAACCCATCAGGCGCACCAGGTGTATCGCTGAGAATACGCACGCAATGGAGCAGGTCACCGTTGCCAAAATTGCCAGGGACACGCTTATTACCTGCGGAGAAAGGAACAAAGCGTTAGTATAAGGCAGCTTGTGTGATGGTAGGATTTCAAGAGTGAAACTAAAATATGCACAGTAGTTTCACATTTATAGTTCTGTCTGAACTAAGCTAAATCTACTGAACCTTTCATAATTATATTATAGTGGAGTATGTGTTAGACTGAATGTACATAGGAATTACATTATAATGACCTATGGTAGCTTTTGTAGCAAGGTCCAGAGCCATATAACAAGCTTATTAAATCTTAGATCTACTATTAGTAGGTCTAGGCATTAATATTAAATCTTAGACCTACTATTAATAGGTCTAAGCATTAATATTAAATCTTAGACTTACTATTAATAGGTCTAAGCATCAATATTAAATCTTAGACTTACTATTAATAGGTGTAAGCATTGATATTAAATCTTAGACCTACTATTAATAGGTCTAAGCATTAATACTAAATCTTAGACCTACTATTAATAGGTCTAAGCATTAATACTAAATCTTAAACCTACTATTAACAGGTGTAAGCATTAATATTAAATCTTAAACCTACTATTAACAGGTGTAAGCATTAATATTAAATCTAAGACCTACTGTTTGTCATTGGAAAGGTAATCCCTTCCTCCCTATTTCTACAATGTTCCTTAATACATTCCTTGATACATATACAACATCTCATATCTAATATAATATCTTATATCTGATATATATATATATATATATATCATGTTATTATATTTATAACTTCTTAACACAATGATAATCACCTTCGTCGACGTGAGACAGAATCCAGGACTCATCCCAGGGTATTCCTTCTTGAAACAACAGAGCAAGCAAACTCCGAAGCTCCCCGATAGTAATAACTGTAAACGAAAGAAGGAAGATAAATGAGCTATTTGCTGTACGCTTTTCCAGGAAAATGATTCACGATACCCACCGGCATACCACTCCAGTAGGGGTTATCCGCAACGGGCAGATGAGGTGCCCAAAGCAATAACCACAAGGAAAGCGAAGTCACCGCGACACCAATAATCGTTTGCAGAGCTGCTAGACATCTTCCCAGCCGCCAGTGGTAGACTAATGGAGGGAGGAACTTTTGTGGTCCTGAAAACAATGTACTTGCTATCACATCTGTTTACATAGAAGCAAAGTTCATTAATTTATAATCATTCTACATTACAGATCATATTCTTAACATTTTTAATAAGAGTGACGCTTTACTGATTTTGTCTAGAAAATATATTAAGTGAAAGAATAGGCTGTCTCAGTGAAGTGTTTGTATATCACATAATCAAAATGAACATAGACTAAGATAATATTATTTTAAGATTATAAATATATCACATAATCAAAATGAATATAGACTAAGATAATGTTATTTTAAAATTGTAAATATTTAAAATGACCTTCAACAATATTGCTAACATTTTCATATTTCATATTTGTTGAAACTATTCTAATATTCTTTATGATCAAATATCTTATTCTGTCCCTCAAGTCAGGATCTGTAGTCAGTTTCAGTTTTTACATGAAGAGAACAATCGTAAACGGTACTACTACAAAACGAAATAAGTTCAGATTTTCTCCGAAGCAGCCACGCTTCTTTTTGTCCGTCGCGAGTGATGCTATCTATGTGTTCTTGCGACACACATTTTCCCATAGCTTTGAAGGCTCGATCAACAGTCGATACGACTGATTCCGAGAAACGAATGTAGGGCCGAAAGAAAGGAGAGTTTCCGAACGAAACGACCTCGCTGTCCCTCCTTACAAGGTATCTTAACCGGACGATCGGACGTGTCGTCCTTGCCGTATAGGACTGTCAGGAAACTCGCCCACTAGGATCGTTTGCACAAGATTTGCAACGGGTTGCGAGTTCCTCGCGAATACGAGGAAAAAAGGTGAGGTTGATGCTCGCCCACTGTTCACGTTGATAATACTAAAAGTGGATCAGCCGCGAGTTCATTGGAACCTTGCGAAATTAGTGAGAGGCAGTGATAGAAAAAAATTATGATTACCATTTTTCAAGTAGGTATACGATAGTTATGGCTTATGCTGTTGAGACACGTGGATGTAAATCGTGTTCAACAGGAAAATATGAAAACATATATTGAATGTGCACAACTGAAGGTGCACAATAATTTGAAGACTTGAAGATTCAAAGACTTGGAAATATAAAAGAGACTCGGAATAAAACTAGACAGGATGTTAAAATTTGAAGCTGTGAGAAGAAAAACGTTGATGAGACTGTTCTTCCGCCTTCCATTTCCGTTGTTTACGCATTCGGTACTCGCGTTGGTTCAAACGAATTCTTAGAAGAATGCTGGAAAACCTGGTCACGAAAGAAGGGGAAATAATTCCTGCGGCTTAAGAGCGTGAACCAGAGGTTCCTCCGTCCTGAAGAGAATAACAATCAGAAGAGTAATCTTCTTGAGCTCCGCCTTAATCCTTGTTCGCTGACCTCTGCATAACAGGGTGCATTCATCGATACCTACAAAATATTTCAAAAATGAAAATCTGCTTTATCTCCAGCACTAAGTATGATTAAAAAGAAGTAGCTAGGAAAATTCTTAGGTATCATACTTAGAACGAGTTTTGCTGGTTTGAATAGAATTTGAAATTGTAATGACTGTATTGTAATAATGAATACAAATTTAGTTGTGTACTTAGATCTACAATGCTTCCCTTCGAAGGAAATTCTTTCGTTCAGTTTGCAGGATATTAGTCGACGCTGGTGGAATATTAACGTGCGAGCGTCGTGGCAAAAAAGAAATATCAAGTTTACGACGGGACAACGTCGCATTCTGATTCGTCGCGCTATAATCGATACCGGGTCTATTTTGCACGGGGTCTGCATACAGAACAAATCCTAACTGTACCGGACGTACGCAATAGCAAGAATAAACTTGCCACTTTTGGTCAGATTGGAGTACACAGACGTTCGACGTTACACGTGTTTTCAACTACGATTACACATATACGATTTGTCACATTATATATACAATTATAAACTATGTACATGTCTCATTAATAACAAATGAAAGAAGTCAACAATTATTAAAGGCATGTACATTTGCTTAAAAAATATCAATAAATAAATCTTTGAAATGAATTACATGTTTCGACTTTCTATATACAAATCTTTTAACATTGTCTTCTTTGACCTCTACATATGCAAGAAGATTCTTAACCCATTAATATATAATTCAGGTTAAAGATAATATTTGAAGACAACACTCTATAAAATAACTCTAAATGTAATCAAGTTATTCTACTCTAAATAATTATATACCTCAAGTATATAAATAGTAGAAATAAATATTTGTACCATAAAGTGCAAGTATGAGTATTAATGGGTTAAGACCTCCACATATGTAAGAAGATTCTTAACCCATTAATATATAATACAGGTTAAAGATAATATTTGAAGACAACACTCTATAAAATAACTTTAAATGTAACCAAGTTATTGTACTCTAAATAATTATATATCTCAAGAATACAAATAGTAAAAACAAATATTTGTATAATAAAGTGCTTGATTATTAATGAATTAAGAACCTCCGACAAATGAATGTCATTAAGATGGTCTCGTTCTCAGACGATAAGTCGTTTAACACTTAATATGTGAAATTCTTTTTTAAATGAGCTGCATACTAAATGCGTGCCAGTTATCGCTATTTCATACGTGAAATGATTCGCACGGTATAAGAATGCGGGTCTTGAATGCGTGTCATTCCCATTGTGTACTTTCCTCGCACGTGTATGAGTGATGCTCAAATAGAAGAGAAGAGAATGCCACTGCTAGGGTAAAACGTGCAGGGGTCAAATTAAGATGTTCATCTAGCAGCACTCAGAACTCCAGCTTTGTTGAAACTCATCCAACTTCGCAACTAGTCTCCAAACATTTCAGGGTGCAACTGCACTTCTTGGAAGCATTAACTCGATTTTTAAGTGAGGCATTGAGACAGTAATGTATTCATAATGAACACGTAGATGCATATGCAAGACCGGTATTATAATTAGTTGATAGCCGGACTCGAAAACGGAAATTCCCAACGCACCTCCTATAAAAGAACATTAAGTTAATACTAGTTTCTGTGAGAGATGTAATTCATTGACGTAACTAGATAAGGACCATTGAATTTCCGTTCTAGATAGAAATTCTAGTTACACCAATGACCGTATTACAGATAAAATCGTATTATAAATATGTGCTATCTGGTACGCTGGATATTCAACAAATCGAACAAAATGTTTTTTACAAACTCGCCTAACTACGTAAAAACCTGAACGTACAAACATACTAGGTGGTACATTTTCATTATCCGATGACCTCGATGCATGGGTAATGACGGAGTACTTGACTTGCGTAAGAAGAAATACGGTACTTGTGCAACTACACCGTAGAAAACTTTTATCGCCTATTATGCTTCTATCCTTGAAAAATCCTTAATTTCCCTGCCAGTGCCGTCGTTAGATTTTATAGCCCCGAGTCCTTTGCACCTGATGCGCAAAGTGCAGATCGCAAAACTTCAAACTTCGCAAATAGCTTCAATTTACTGATCACATTTTATGCAACATGATAATACCTTACTTGTACTGTAATCAATAATCGCCAGAAAAGGTATAATATTTACAATCCTGCGTTCTTTTTCAACGTGAAACTGACACAACGCTGCAATCGTATTCCTTTTGAAAGCGAATATCATATGACTCCAGTTACGTAAACTGCAGCCAGGAATTGGCTAATTGAAATTGAGCAAGGGTCATAACACCAGAGAAATCTTTTCCCTATAACAAAATATTGGGAATGAATGAAAACGTGTCTACGGCGCCAAGATTAAAACGTGTTCTAAAAAGATCACATGGTGTATATCCGGCTTGCTGCTTCCGCTGTGCAGAGATGCACGTGTAACCACTTTAAACCAGCACGGTGGTCAACGAACCAAAAAACGTTCAATTTGGGTCACCTGCCTTGTGTGAGTTTATTCAAAATTTTTTGGTAATTAGTTTACCGAATTTGCACATTTTTAGGAGTCAATTCATACATGTTTTAATCTATAAATTTCTATATTTGTAGATATAGAAGTTATATTATTCTATTGCTTCTCAAGTTATATTATTTCACACTCTTCTATTTATCAGTGATCAATGACCCCAAGAGAAGACGAGTTAACAAAAAGAGCAACACCTGAACGTTGAATCTCCTGTTCTGGATGTACCGTCTAAGTACAGATGACAAGGTAGTTAAGGTGTTAAGCTGTTGCCAGATAAATAACCAGGAGTATTGAAAAAAAGAAAGAAAAAGGACGGAAGAAAAGTTGACCTGTTCTGGGCTGGTTGCATTCCTAACTTTAATTATCCGGTTGAACCTACCTTCCTTCAATTTGTCCTTCAAAGAAAATGATACTTCCAGGCAGATTTGGTTGCAAATGATTCAGCAAGAAACTATTTCTGAAAACCTAAACTTCGACCGAAAGAAGGGTCTCTAAATTATCGCCAGATAAGATAGGAGAAACGAGCAATTGAACCTCGGGAAATTTCGATTTCGAAAGAGCTTACGAATTTGTAATACAAGGTTGACTTTCATAAAGGAGATAATGCAGGAGAAACGCATCGAACACGACATAAATTATTAATCGGTTGCAGAAACATTGTATGCTGCCATGGAACGAACGCTCATTGCACCGTGAAAGGCCGTTCGGTGATATTCGATGACGTCCTCGTTCCGTTCCTCTGATTCCGTTGATCGTGGCGCTTTGTTAACGTAAAACCGTCCACAGTAAACAGCGATGGCTAACACGAGTATCCATTAAAGAAGTCAAGGGTGCATAAAGAGAACTTGAGAGTTGTTAGAGATATTAGGGAGAGGTTAGGAGCTAAGGAAAATCTGGGACCTAGCTTAAGATCTGAGAGAAGAGCGACCTAGAAAGATCCTAAGAACCTGGAGTCTAAATAAAGACTAGGACCTAAGTATAATTTGGGACATAGAGAGAGATCCTGAAACCTAGTTGAAGTCTAAAATCCAAATAGGACCTAGGAGTATAAAATCTAGGTAACCTAAGAAGGCTATAACCTAAGACTTACTGGAAACCTAAATAAAGACTAGGACCTACGTGTAATTTGGGACATAAAAAGAAATCCTGAAACCTAGCTGAAGCCTAGAATTCAAATAGGACCTAGGAGTATAAAATCTAGGTAACCTAAGAAGGCTATAACCTAAGACTTACTGGAAACCTAAATAAAGACTAGGACCTACGTGTAATTTGGGACATAAAAAGAGATCCTGAAACCTAGTTGAAGTCTAAAATCCAAATAGGACCTAGGAGTATAAAATCTAGGTAACCTAAGAAGGCTATAACCTAAGACTTACTGAAAACCTAAATAAACCTAAACCTTACTGAAAATCTAAGGCCAAGGGAAATGTGGGAAAACCCTAAGGAACCTATGGTGACTGGAACATCTTCCACTTCAAGCAACCAGATAACAAAATTCTTGCAAGTGTCTCTTCATTTTCTCATCCAGCTATAACCTAAGACTTACTGGAATAAGACTTACTGGAAACCTAAATAAAGACTAGGACCTATGTGTAATTTGGGACATAAAAAGAGATCCTGAAACCTAGTTGAAGTCTAAAATCCAAATAGGACCTAGGAGTATAAAATCTAGGTAACCTAAGAAGGCTATAACCTAAGACTTACTGGAAACCTAAATAAAGACTAGGACCTATGTGTAATTTGGGACATAAAAAGAGATCCTGAAACCTAGTTGAAGTCTAAAATCCAAATAGGACCTAGGAGTATAAAATCTAGGTAACCTAAGAAGGCTATAACCTAAGACTTACTGAAAACCTAAATAAACCTAAACCTTACTGAAAATCTAAGGCCAAGGGAAATGTGGGAAAACCCTAAGGAACCTATGGTGACTGGAACATCTTCCACTTCAAGCAACCAGATAACAAAATTCTTGCAAGTGTCTCTTCATTTTCTCATCCATGTACCAACTTCTTGTGAGCTCAGTCGATTATCACTGGTATAAGGGATTACATTTTTAGAGGTGTTTAAGGTACCGAGAAAAATTAACAAGTAATTTATGCATAAAGCAAGGAAAGTGCACTTACGATGGCCACTCCTGTGCAGCACAATCATCCTGCTGTGCCTGAGGGAATTCCTCGTGGGTGTGTGTCGGCCGGCGATTTGAGAGGCTGCCAGATTAACGGGAACCGTAGTTGACAAACAGTTGGCCATCGATGGAGCTCGACCGAGTTCCTTCTCCTTGTCTGATCGATAGATTTTCCCGATGTTCCCCGTCGAAACCGCGCCTATCATGATAAATTGCGGTCATTAGATAATGGGGTAATGATCATAGATGAAAGTAATTTAGAAAACTCAGAATAAGATTTACGACGAAAGAGATATTAGAGCAATTAACACAACTAGAAAAACTGGAATAATTAGTTAACTTATTCTTGGTAATTATTTATGAAAAGGAAAGCGCTTCAATAATTTTTTAATGTATTGTCATAATGTATTGTATGAAAGTATTGGTTAATTTTCTTTCTTTGATAAACAATTATTATCATTTGCATTTAATAGGGCTTAACCCAAATCGGGTTTTAATTCATCCCTTTAACGAGCATACCCGAGTTAACAATAATAACCCGCTTCCACTTTCGATCAGGTATTACAAAATATGATAATGACTCGGAATAATTAGCATACCGACTGCCTTGAGGGTCACCAGTGACCCAGATAGTACATTTAATATATTCAAGTAACAATGGCCAAGCAGAGATACATAAAATAATAGTAACAGCTCCAGTAATCGACGCGATAATGTACAATACTATATTTTTACCGCAGAAATTACGGCATTAAGTAAACGTGGTTTTGAAACTCCGTAAAATGAATCATCATCTTTTTTCGTTCATCCTACATGATCGGCTGAAGTAATATACCTCGGTAGATCCTCGGTACATAATTAGAAAGCGCGCGAAATTTTCAGCATGGCTTTGTTTTCCCGCGATATTTACAACAGTTGGTTGGTGCACGAATAAAATGAAATTCGAGAAAGTTTGCACGAATACCAGTCCTAGCAAACTGACGACCGAATTTCACCCGAGACCGTTCTATTTTCGGCCGAACTTTCCTAGGATAGTGCATTGGTACATCCAATTTCGTCTCGCGCCAACAATAATGTCGGCCACTTTAATTAACTAAAGTGAAGAAAAAAGAAAGCAGAATGTCATAACGGTGTCTGTACCGACTCTCTTCGTTATCGATAGTTACATCAATTAAAATAGTCTGCAGCAGGTGCATCCGAAATTATCTTGAACAAACTAGATTATTGAGTGAACCGTTGATCGCACTGACCAGAGACCCTGGTGCCCTGGATCTTCGACACGTTGCCAACACTGACTGCGTTGCTCACTCTATTGTTGTTGTTGTTGTTGTTGTTGGCCGCAGTCATCGACGGATTATCGCGGACCTGATTTAAATTGTCGGCGCTTAAGGCGGAAGTCACGCAAGGTGTCACCATTGGCACGTCCTAAAGAAACAGATACCACTTTAGATAGCTCCAAGTTGATTGCAAAACTGAGTTATAATTTCTAAAGAGTTAGAGATGCTGAGGAAGCTACTCTAACTTATCAATGCATAATCGTTTAAAATATTAAACATATTATGTCTACTATTATAATATTATCTTACATCATATTATAATATTATATTATGTCATATTATATTATTATATTGTAATAATATTGTATTATATTGTAATAATATAATATTATATTGTAATATTATAATATCATACACATCTGCAATATTATAAAATAAAAAAATATTTACAAAAGCTTTTAAAATGAAATTAGTATAAAATGTGTTAACTAGAATGTTAACACACTCGATTCTGACTGAAAAGTTCTTTAGTTGATCGTCTATACCTTACACGGGTTACCCGTAACACGAATTCGATGACAATATAAGAACGTAAACAATGACACGTGGTACGAAATGAACCCTAACCTTGAAATTGTCATAAAAGCTAACAGGACGGCTCCTTGGCGCATACTGAATCTCATCGTCGGGCTGCATCATGCTGTTACCATTGTACGTTGTAGAGTTCAAGGGCTGCGCGCGCATCTCGCCAGGCATCCTGCTCTTTTTCTTCTTTTTTCCACTTCCGGCGACTGCGAAGTCACGATGAAAATCATGAAAAGAATCTTTCCGCGTTCTCCTCAAGGACGTCTTTAATCTCGTGTTTCTTTTATGATTAATTAACCCTCAGACCATTCGGACTATTTACTGTCTTAGACTATTTCTATCTTTGTAGAAAGTTATAATCATGAAAACTAATTGATCCGTTAAATCTTTGAAATAATGTTTAAACCAGATAATGGTCCTTATAAAAATTAAACCGCAAAGGAATTATAATTTTTGTGAACTCTTATAGCATCGTTTACATTCCGCACCTGAATTTACATGTCAACTCATATCAAGGTTTCACTTTCACGATGAACGGAGAAACTACACGACCCTCTGATCTTCGACCACAGATCTTCAACTTCCCGGAAACACACCTGCACCTTGTCGTGGTTGTGTGTATGACTCACGGTAGCTGATTCGCACTTTAAAAGGGGAATTTCTCTTAATCTGCCTCTACGTGTCGTAAGTCACGCGTCGAATTCCCCAATGATCCAGGGCAAGGATAATATATATAGGTAATCGGCATTCGTCGATTTCTCTGATGTTCCATTCACGTGAGCGGTCACGTGCGCACGCTATCCGTCACCCCGTAAAGATCTGAAAAATGCAGGAAAATCGTCAACGTGGGAATATCTCTGCCATTTTCCGATCGAAACGATTTGTATCAATTACTCGAACGAAGCGTTACTGCATCAATAAATTATTAACAGTAGAATTTCTTAAAGGTCTGAGACTCGGTTAAAGACGTGGCGATATAATACGTGGTAAGATAATATGTGATTATATAACATGCAGTAATACACTATTGGTAATATGTTCAGTGAACTGAACAAAGTTACGTTGTACACTCAAATGCAACATAGACTTTTTTAACGCAAATGTACATCTGAAATTTTTTACTTTCACTTTCTCAGATCCCTAAATCATCACACTTAACGAGTGAGAAGTCTCCATTCTCCTTAATTGCTATATTTTCCCTAAGAATGCCTAAGAAATCTGACTAAAAAAAATTTCGTTATCATCAGTGTACATGATGACCGCAACCCTCGTAAAATTATGATTCGCTCGAAATTACAAGGCGAGGGAACGTCACACCTCGTTGAACAGAAAATGTTTTCTCAGGAGCTGCATAGACCCTTTAAGAAAAAAGTTGGTGTTTTCCCACGGGAACCGCAGTACTTGCTAGGAGCAACGCCTGTCGTGGTTGATTCGATTTGCTGATCTCGTGAGACAAGGAATCGATCAATTAAATATCCATTCCATGGATCGCACGTAATACAAATCTAAGTGAGTAGCTTCGGGAACAAAATCTGGAGCCGAGATGTTTCGTAACATTTCAGAGCCGAGATTAAAATGAACGTATCGCGTATGCAGGAAGTTATGCGAAGAATTAGGTGTACCTTTGTGAAATCCTATGCAATAGAAAACAATGTTACGATCTTCTTTAAATACGTAAAAAATAGCAGTTACGAAACTTACGATCGCGTTACAGAATGTTAATTTATCCGGTGGGTTTGTATCAGCAGGATGTACAGATAACAATTCTTTATAAGTTTCACTCAATGCTACATGCATTTCCTTCCATTTTTAAGGCCACAGATTTCAATCTCTAACGCAAGGCGGAACAAATAGTATTAAAGTGTTAATTAACATTAATTATAAACGACTTGTCTACATCGTAAATCTTATTTTTAAGATTCGTATTATCATTAATTAATATTATTAACTTTTCGATTATATTTTCGGGAATCTGTGCCTTGAATTTCGCGCTTCTTACATTCCAAAATTAAGAGCTTCGTACCCTGAAAAATTATTCATTAGTATCAGGTAAAATAAGAGCCTGTTCGCATGAATAAAATAGTAAGATAATAATAGGTGTCGTAATACATATGATACAATGTAAATCGCAAACACGTGACAACAGAGCCATAAAAAAAATTAATGTTATAGTAACTGAAAGACTGAAGTAGTACCACAATGGTAATATTATTGATTATGATTAAGTACCTCGATCAATCGTCGATGCTTACAATGACAGATTGCATCAGGCGATTTTTCTCTCTGGCATTCGATTGTGAGCGGGACTTTACTTTCACAGTCACGAGATACTAAGTTAATACCGAGCGTAGTTACGCAACATGGTACGCAACGCAATGAAACCGTGGCGCGTCGAGGGCTCTGTACAATGATGTGACCTACCTATGGCCGGGCCAGTGTTCGGGTTACGGCTGGAAATAAGTCATTTCTCCATTAACTCCCTTTATGCGCTGCTCACAGTCACGTCACCATGACCGGCGAGTTTACTGAACTCTTTACAACATTCACGGATACCTAGAAATTGTGGACATACTCCTGTTTCATCTTTCATCGTGAATTCATAAGTATCATATTAACGCAATTTCGTTTCTTTTTCACGTACCTTTACTTCTGTGGGCTAGGGAAGATTCAAATACCATATTTGGGCGGGAGCGAGAACGAGATACGTACAAATTTAGGTTTTAGAAATACAAATTTAGAAATACAAATTCAGATTTTACAAATTTAGAATTTAGGTTTTATTTGACCTATCGGAAATTTCACGACTCAGAAATTTGATAAACACTCGAAAATATGGATATCTGATAAAATAGTAATAAAGACGAAGTCACAAAGTAACTAACTCATTTGACACTGACAGCTCACTCACACCCAAAAATGTAACATAAAATGTATAATCACTTCATTCAGGAAGATTTTATACCTCTCCTGAAAGAGAAAAGGGGGACACCACCTCCAACACTTCTGTTTAAATTGCGTATGGAAACTTGCACGGATGAGTTAACCTTAAAACAAAAGAATTCGTAATGATTCTACTATTTGAGTGAAGTCACTATTGTCTATTTCTAGCCGTACGTCTGCTTCGCTTCAACCTAACATCATGGCTCTTTTTTATAGCAAATCATGTAATCGTATAGCTTGCCTCATATGTTTTTCTAAATAATGACGTGGCTTCAGCATTCGCACTTGCAATTGTAGGAAATAGAACGAACAAAGCTGGAATAATCATTAGACGAGATAAGTACGTTCTTCGAGCATCGAGAGAAGGGGGCATCACTCAAATTTTTCATTACCAAAGACATGCACCATATTTTTCAGTGTCAAAATTTCCATACGAAAATTCTGAAAATCAAATGTTACATTTTGAAAGTTTATTTTATGATTTGTACTTTAAGTTGAATATATGAATAAGTACCAAAACCTTTTTGTATCTGGGGCACCTCAAGTTATTAATTCGATACTGAGGATGTACGTGTTGCGTTCTATTTGTGCATTACGCGGTACCGCAAACGTAACTGCCAAAATTTAGCGTTGCCAACTACAAGAAAGATCGAAAATTTATAAAATTACATAATAAGAATCAACAAAAGATAACATCACTTATTCGGACTTACTGAGGATAAATTCATTTACTAAGGATTCTAACAATGTTAAAAGATTCCATAGATGTGTCTCGAATAAAAAAAGTATTAATTCTTAAACCGGAAGTTTATAAAGTCAAAAGTTACCACTTTGACAACTGCAACGAGACAAATATTACTGATGTTTTCTATAATTTTATAAATGCAAATGTTTATTGTATTCTTAATTTTTATTTGTAAATAAACTTTTTAGACTGAGTTTTTATGTTTACACTTCCTCTTTAATAATACTGGCAGCATGCGCATATGTTTACTGAGTTGCTAACATTAATTATTACGATCCTTTGTATAAGCCACTTAAGAGCGCGATTATTATGATCCCATGTTGAAGTATAATTCGTTCGTGGCAGAATATTTTAAAGGGAAGAATTTTGCATATTTGACGAAATCAGCAAAAAATATGATCGTGAAATAAAAATTACTTTATCGTTCGTGTTGTGTTAAAACGAAAACGACACTTAACCTCGGTGATGCAATTTCTGACGTCTTAACTCTCGTAATTATGAAGAATAAAAAGAGTTCTTTGCAAATTATAATATGCGACCGAGGAAAATTTATATATCATTAATTCTGCACTTATACACAATTATGCTTTTGTTTTACGACACTGGAACATTTGCATATTTCTTCAGGTGCGTTGGTGACTCTGCAGAAAAATCTTTTATATCCGAGGAATTTTCCTAAGAGATAGTACCGAATAACTATAAACCTACTTTAGAATTAAATAAATGTCTAATACAACCGCTTAAAGTTTGTTGCACCGGCTTACCGATTCGCATCTGTTTACATCCTGTATAGTGCAGTGTTTTCCGCGCTTTTTTTCGTTTCCGGTTTTTGACAGTTACAACCCTGCCATCTATAGATAATTTCTTGAACTATATTAGTGTCTTTAGGGAAACATAGGGTGAGATACAAGTTCGGAGATATAAGTAGAAAGAAGATAGAAAAGCTGAAGAAACCGGTATGGTTTTAATCGTAAATACTGTGTGTCACCGATCTTTCGAACGAATTCTTGATATTTATGAGGAAGTCTGTAAAGAGGTATGTATAAAGGAGTATGTACATATAATGTCAACAGCAAATTGATGGACAATAATTGGAAGGTTATTAATTCTACACTTTGACGGAATTTAAATTTGACAGTCGATGAAGTATAAGATGAAATTAAAATTACTTTGACAAAATTATTTTTCTTAGATCCTCCTAAACGGGCTACAAAGAATGGAAATCAGAAACCCGGTATTATCTTTCGAAACGTTGTAAAAATTCGACGGTCAGCATTATAGAAAAAGAAATTTGAACGTTCGCAAATAATTCGCCGCGTTCCAGGCAACAATTTATCGCGGACGAGAAACGTACAGCACGTGTGACCCGCGAGTTGTTCTAATTAAATTCTCCAGTTACAAACCGTTCTCAGGGTTCATGAACGAATGTAAGCCCCTTATCGAGAGCTCGAACAACGATATCAAGCTGCTCATGACGTTATTATATCACGTCTTTCATTCGAAATGGCCATTAAAAGAGTCAATACAGAGCGAGGACTTTTGAATGCCGTCTACGGAGAATCCGGACATTTGACTCTCGAATTCAAGGGACTTTTAAACGACGCTTTCGTAACTCTTTCTTTTCACTTTTTCGAAGATCGTGTTTGCGCAACGTCCGTGTTCATCGATTTTACGGAAACGGTTAATGATTTCAGATCTCGACGCTCAGGTAACTGAAATCTTCCCAACCTTCCTTACACGAATTATGAAGATAAATTGAACAGTGGTAATGATAATTATGCTCAGATTGACAGATGACAGATTAATTGACAATCGCAGATTAATTTAGATTTAATTTTTGCAGAAATTAGGTATTCAAAGGAAGTCCATTTTCTCGTGGAGAATTTACGAGTGTACACGAAGATACGTCGGTACGTAATGGTCTTTTTCATACCTTTATTGCCGCGGTGTTATCAAACGGGACAAATATTTTCTCGTTTGGAACAAGTGTACAGCTGCTTGTTCGGTGTTCGTTTACTTCTCTATGATAAACTTTGCGTACTTTTAACTCATTTGCATCATTGAACAATGTTTAATTAACATGTAATGCTTGCGTTCGAAAATAAATATTTATACTATTACAATTATTATTTGTACTGTTATGAATACTATGAATTATTATTACGAATTACTTAATCAGTGAATAATTGTAGCGAAAATTTAGAAACTTAAAAATTTACGAATTTAGGAATTTTAAAACTTAAAAATTTATAAGTTCGTGAACTTGTAAACTGACATTGCGTTCTATCGTCGCCGAAGAGAAGTCTCTGTTGCATTTTATGCGCTTCTCACGCAAACGGCAGTAATTCTCTGTGTCACGTATTATATCACCAGTAATTGCAACCCAACGAAAGTGAATTAAGAGAAGTTTCGAACTAAAACCTACCTGAGATCGTTTAATCTGTCCAGTAAGAACGTAATCTTCTTCCGCAGATTTTCCTCAAGGACCACGGATTCCCAAGATTTATTATGCTGCTCGAACAACCAGCCGACACTGCTTCGGGTAAAATACAATAAAAATTCACTGAACGTGCGAGGTTACATAATTTACGGAAACACTGATCAATTGCACACGATTCTTGAATTCTTCGAGCATCATCGTTGATAAAATAGCGACGACGCACACCTTTCTTCTCTGGAATTTACGGCACTTAAACACTCTGCTCGTCGAATTATATTGGCAATTCAATTCGTACGTTGTTTCAATCTACTCATATAGAATTATTTATTTACATATCAATTTATGATTGCACAGAATTCTTTGGTACATTATACAATTCTTTTGCGAAATTGTAACGTACAATTTAGGACTGTACATGAATTCAATTGCCAATATTACAACATAATCTTTTTAAAAATGAAAACAAGTATTTTTTTAAATGATTTGTTTTTAAAATTTTGATCACTAGTACAACAGCTTTGAACTTTTATTTTCTTATACTATGAACAATAGTAATAATAGTAACAACAACTAATAAATAAATAAAAGAGCAAGTTTGTTTGATGAATTAAAAAAAGAACTGTTCAAATCACACTGCTGAAAAAACTAACAAAACTGAACTAAAACATTCGATCATTCATCTTAAATTATCGACTTGAATTGCTCGCCAAAAAATAAACGAATTCGAACAAAAAATTACAGGTAAAAATGAGGCGGAAGAACGCTGGGTCGAAAAATCGGTGAAGTGAAGAGGAGCGTATTCTTGAAGCCACAAACGAAATCGAGCGTAAAATAAACAGCGATAAAAGAGTTAAAAAGATGAAAAGAACGTAATGTTTCTCCGGTGGTGTCGCGGTGACAACTGAAGCCTCCGGTTTGGCGCGTCTCGACGAGCCTCTGGAGACCCCACCAAAGTGTTCACCAAAGTCGAGAGGCACCAGGTGTCAGCGGGTTTCAAACCGAACGAATCCCGGCTGCAGGTGATCATCGTCTGCACGACCAGACAAAACGTTCTGCTTTTGCGTGAATAAATCGTTTGCGATATCATCAGTGACTCTCATCGTGCAATTAAAATGTACATTAGGTAATTCAACTGTCGTGACTCAGGAAATTATTAATTCGTTCTTTTGCGTTCTAGACATTTTTACTGTGTCAATAATTGCCAATTATTGGAGGTTAGGTTAGGTTTTAGCTTGGTTAGGTTTAGGTAGTTTTACATAGTGCAATTATTTTTTAATTGTGAGAAATGTTTGAGGGAATGTTAATGGCAAATTTTGTTGGGCTGCTTATGGGATTTTCAAGTCTTTCTCTTGTGATTTTAGAAGGTTAGGAAGAATTTCAAAGTTAGAAACTTGTAAAACTTGAAAATTCCAAAATCCTAATCTTCTAAAATTCCTATTTCTCAATTTTCTAATTTTCAAGTACCTCAATCTTCCAATCCCATAATGTCAGTCTCACAATTCTAAAATCTCAATCTCTGAATCACACAATTTTCTAAACTTCAAAAATTTAAATCCTATCATCTCACAATTTCCAAAATCTTAATCTCACAATCTGACAATCTTGCAGAATTCCAAAATCTCAATCTCAATATCCCAAAATCTTTTTAAACTCCAAAATAACAAAACCCTATTTTCAAAATAACAAAGCCTTAAAAATTGAAAGTCCTTGACCCCACTAAACCAAATAGTATTACTTTTAAAACCGTGAGTACCACTGCCTCCTCACTTTCACGTCGTTCGGCGTTTCAGAAGGAGACTCGATGAAGGAAGTTGTCATAGCGAGAAAAAGGGTGAAAGAAGAAGGGGAATCGGTCATGCCTACCGGTTGACGTTTACCTTGAGCGATTTCTTACAGGCTTATTATCCGTTTTTTCCTCCCCGGCTCTTCTTTTTTCTTTCCAGTTCAACGCCGTTCATGGTGTCTCATACATCCATGAATAAAAAAAACTGTGTTACAAGATGTTTCAGAGTTCCATCAAAGATTAACTACTCATCTTCTAATTCAAAAATCTTACAAAAATTCTTAAAAACCATCTCTCAAAAAATTCTTCAAAATCACTTCTCAAAAAATTCTTAAAAATCACCTATTAAAAAATTCTCCAAAAAAATTAGAGAAATCTCTCCCCACACCAGTGGTTACAATATTTTCTGTAGAGCTTAGCTATCAGATTTACTTTCGGTGGATGTTCTAACCGGTGCAACGTTAAGAACGAAACGGAATTTCGCCGATGCTTCTTTTGTGGCCGTCGAGTTAGACGATTTCGAGAGACCGGTTTCATCCGCAGGTATTCGTGAACTTGTCGGTCGCTTTCGCGCTCGAACGAGCTCTAACCACAGGAATAGCAGCCCGACACGGTTTATTACATTCCTTTCGGTCGAAAATTAATCGTAATTTATTCGGAACCGGTCGTAGGTGGTGCGCGTCATTAAGCCGGCGGAAATGATCGTGAATGAATGAACGGCGTCGTGTGGGTGGCTTACTGCTCATTACCAACAACTACGAATGCTAAATGTTTCTCGCGTATTTGCTTGTATTTGATGCAATTGTTACTAGATGTAGAAGAACTATTGTACTAGATGTGGAAGACTTCTATTGTTATAGTTAGGATGATTTATATATTTTCTTTTTGAGGAAGGTTAGGAAAAGGGGATGGGGATCGTGGATAGAAAAGTCAAGGTTTATTTTCTGGATTTCTAAATTTGTTTATGTAGAGATTTCAAGGTTTATGAATTTTTATATTTTCTAATTCCTGTGCTTGCAAATTTCTGTGGAATTAATTTATAAGTTTGTGAATTTTTACATTTGCAAATTGTTAGATTTACAAATCTTCTAGGCAGCAAATTTCTACATCCACAAATTTCTACACTCCCAAATTTCTACACCCCCAAATTCCTACACCCCCAAATTTCTACACCCCCTAATTTCTACATTCCCAAATTCCTAGATTCCCACATTTCTACGCTCCCAAATTTCTACACCCCCCAATTTCTACGCGTATTTGCTTGTATTTGATGCAATTGTTACTAGATGTAGAAGAACTATTGTACTAGATGTGGAAGACTTCTATTGTTATAGTTAGGATGATTTATATATTTTCTTTTTGAGGAAGGTTAGGAAAAGGGGATGGGGATCGTGGATAGAAAAGTCAAGGTTTATTTTCTGGATTTCTAAATTTGTTTATGTAGAGATTTCAAGGTTTATGAATTTTTATATTTTCTAATTCCTGTGCTTGCAAATTTCTGTGGAATTAATTTATAAGTTTGTGAATTTTTACATTTGCAAATTGTTAGATTTACAAATCTTCTAGGCAGCAAATTTCTACATCCACAAATTTCTACACTCCCAAATTTCTACACCCCCTAATTTCTACTCCCCTAAATTCCTAGATTCCCAAATTTCTATGCTCCCAAATTTCTACACCCCCAAATTCCTACATTCCCAAATTCCTACACTCTAAATTTTCAAATTCCTACACTTCCAAATTTCTACAAATCCAAATTCTCACGCACCCAAATTTCTACGCTTCCAAATTCCTACGCCCCCAAATTTCTATATCCCCAAATTACTACACTCCCAAATTTCTACACTTCCAAATTTCCACACTCCCCAATTCCTAAATCTCCAAATTCCCATACTCCCAAATTCCTACACCCCCAAATTTCTACACTCCCAAATTCCTACACTCCCAAATTTCTACACCCCCTAATTTCTACTCCCCTAAATTCCTAGATTCCCAAATTTCTATGCTCCCAAATTTCTACACCCCCCAATTCCTAGATTCCCAAATTTCTACACCCCCAAATTTCTACATCCCCCAATTCCTACACTCCCAAATTCCTACACCCCCAAATTTCTACACCCCCAAATTTCCACACCCCCAAATTTCCACACCCCCAAATCTCCAAAGTCTACCCCCACAAATCCCCAAATCTCCACCTCAACTTCTCAAACCCCAAATTGCACTCTACATCACACAGTCCAAAATATCACAAGAACCAGAAAATAAATTCTCGAAAGAACTCCAAACGATTTATCCTATTATCATCACAAAGAGCTAACAATGATCAGTGATACAATCACGGAAAAGATCAATCGATTTGCGGTTATCTCGCGTGACACTCGTTCTGAACTCTGCGGTTTACATCTTCGCAATACTTTGTAATAACATGATTGGAGTCGCTCGATGGATCGCCGATTAATTAGTACAAGCATCTAATTACAGTGCATTCGCAGAAAAAAGATGATCGATATTTATAAAAACGTAAGTTATTAATCACCTAAAGGTTAATGTCAATCAATCGATACACACCCTCTTTTCTTGACTTTTATTTAAATATGCATCGCATAAATTACTTCTTTATTTCATGAAAAATACCGATGTCAACCCATGAGTTGGTGCGAAAAGATGCCTAGCGAATGAAGCTTGTATTTTGCGAAATATTAATTTGACACTGGATGGAATTTGATAGCGGTAACGTGATTTTTATTATTGCGACTCGACGTTTTTGTCGAACGCAAATTCGACTCTAAACGGCGCAATATTTGACTGTAGAACCTAACCAGTCGAAACGACTGATTTCAGGCTTCACATTGTACCGATGTCAACCCATGCGTTGGCGCGAAGAGGCTGACCCAAGTGTTTAGAAGAGCCACGGCTCCTGTTGGTCAGAATAGGAAAATGGACGCCTGGACTCCCGCGTATTTTTGGCGGTAGTACTATTGGCTCGAGCGGTCGCACACCAATCAGGCCAAAAACAGTGACAGTCGGCAAACGTCTCAAGAGCGAGCGAGATATCGCGAATCGCATTCAACAGTTGTTATTGTCATTATTCTTATTTGCCGAAATGTAACGCTGAAAACTTCTTTTACTTCGAGTCGATCACGCGCCAACTCCTGGGTTGACATCTGTACTCCACGCGTTAGCGGATAAAATGTGAGCCAAGAAATATATGCGCATACATTTTGCGTTTTAATTTCTGATTCATGCGAATCAATGCATGGACATGCCTCGCTGTGACATCAACATTACAATGAGACGGGATGAGCTGGCGTTCAGGAATTCGACTGAGATAAAACAGGACTGCAGAAAGGGTTGAATCCCTTGCGTGCTCTATCTCGACCGATATTGTTTGGACAAGATGCTTTGCATGGACACAGTGTTTCTGCGAATGTAAATTAGATGCTGTTTAATTAGAAAACACGGACGTATCAAACCACACCCAGAAGGTGAACAATGAGCAAACATGAGGAGAAGGGACGCATTCCTGGTGCACGCGTGCAGACGCACTGGAAATGCTCATCGAATGACACTTCTACCTTTACATCTGATTTGCAAAATTTTTCAATTTTGTGCTAAAAAAAAGTTGTACAAATTTAGTAATTTACTGTTAGACGTTGTGAAGGTTATAAAAATATATAAATGTTATATTTGTATAACTTTTGTTGCAATTAGCACGTTCCTGGGTTTCTAAATTTAGTTTGTAAAATTTGGATTTGTAAAATACCAAACTTGTGAATTCTTCAATATGCAAATTTCTGTTCTTAAATTCTTAAATTCTCAAACTTCTAAATTCTTAAATTTCAGTTGAACCTGCCATAGTACAGGGTGTCGACATCATTAGTAAGCTCATAGAATCTCTCTGCAGACAAACCTGTAAATTATGCTAACATAGTTGAAGCATAGACAGTAATTTTCTGTGCTAATGAACTTCGTGTTGAGAAAAGTGTCTTTTCTCGATTTCTTCATGCGCATAAATAAAATGTCTGGAGATCTGCATTTAAATGATATACTTAAAAGAATAGTAAATATAAAAGAATATTTAATCTTGACAAGAAATAACGACTTACCGATCGTGCGAAAGGAATTAGCGGTTTTGTGACGCCATCTATGAGTACTGCAATGAATTTAGTACTTACAATGCACGCTTGTTTAATCCACGCCCGTTTAATGCACGCCGACAAACCCGAAATGCATTTAACCGCCAAAGTGCATTTAGCGAGCGTGTCTTCATTCGAAGAAGAATATTACTTTACCTAACGTTGCAATCTCGATAAAAATTCGAATATATCGATGTACGTTAATTTTTGCTGAATCGTCGATAAGTATGATTTTTTAAAAATTTCCTATAAATCTTTCAATTTATTGCGCTGTCAATAAATTTAATTACAATTCGACTTGTCCTAATAAAATACACATTGACTTTTTCCATCTATAAAATAATTTGTGTCAAATATCAATACTGGGAATATGTTCCCCTTGGCTGCCATTTTCCCTAGAAGTTTCGCTTCAACTAGTAATACAAACATACAGTATTTAGTGATTATACGTTTGCATCGATAGAAATGTTTGCATCCGTAGTTGTTTACTGCTTTCTTACAGTTTGCAGTATTATTTATGAACATTAATGTTTACGATAAAAATAACCACAAAAGCAATGTAAGCTATAAATCATGCATGTACATTTCTGACAACCAAGTGGTAAATAAACAATTAATACACAATTTTCTTTTTGATTACACACTTCAAAATAGATGACTAGCACAGAGGAAGTTAAAATAGAATTTAAGAGAAAGTCCAGGAAATCTTTAAGGAAACGACATGTTTCGTCTGATGAAGATGATAATGAAAATGAAGAAACGTCGATTAGGTAAATAACCCTAACTAGGTACCTACATAGGTTCTGCATTATTATAAGTAAATTGCAAATAGTTATTTTTGTTGTCAAGAGAAAAAGTGGAAGAGATGAAAATTATACAGAAGCTTCGTGAGCGTCCAAAAGGAGTGAATGTTGTTGGATTAGCTCTTGGAGAAAATGTAACACCCGATGTGATGACAGTAAGTTTTGTAGTTTCAATCAAAGTAACTATGTAGTTACTATTTAGTTTCATCTAAAGCATTGTAGAAGTTGTTCCTTTAAAAAGAATCTTTCTTTTAGTCAGATCCATTTAACGTGAAAACTGGAGGAATGGTGAACATGGCTGCGTTAAAAAATACTAAACTTAAGCAAAATGATGCTTATGAAACAGGTATAGGTACACAATTTAATGCTGAAACAAACAAAAGAGATGAAGACGAAGAAATGTATGCAAAGGATATCTTCTTTAATATATAAAATATATTAATAAACTGTTAGTAACAAATTTGCTATAATTCTTATAGGGTGAAGTATATAGAAGAAGAATTATCAAAAAGAAAAAGCAAAAATGAAGACAAAACAGAAAATGGATCCAGCAATGATAAAGGATCCTATTGTTCACCAGAGGAAGCAGCATTACAAGCAGTACCTGAACATTTAAGACAAAGTTCTGCTCATAGAAGTGAAGAAATGCTTTCTAATCAAATGTTGTCTGGTATTCCAGAAGTAGATCTTGGAATCGAGTATGACCTTTTATGTTTTTTCTTCTAATGTGTGAGAGTTCATTTTTGTCAGTGATCAACTTTTTATATTTTTCAGAGCAAAAATCCGTAATATCGAAGCAACGGAAGAAGCTAAGTTGAAATTGCTTTGGGACAGACACAGGAAGAAAGATGGTCCTTCACAATTTGTACCGACAAATATGGCTGTGAATTTTGTACAACACAACAGATGTATGTTGTGTACTTAATGTTTTTATGAACGTTGTTTAACTTATATGCTTTATAAAAACATTATTCTTTTAGTTAATATAGAGGATGCAGACTTTCAAAAGTCTAAGCAAGATTCTGATGATAGAAAGAAAGTAACAGCTCCCAGGGATGATTTTAAAGGAAAACGAAAAGATAACGGAGAAAAAGCAACCGATGATTACCACTACGAGCGATTTAAAAAACAATTTAGACGATTTTAAAAATAGTTGTAACCTTGAAATAAGAATTTATGTATCTTTTTGCAATATATAATCAAATATATATAATATGTAAAATATGTATGTAAAATAAATTTTCATTTATTGTTAATAACTGCTTCAAATGATTAGTCATCAACAATTTAAATATATATGTTTAAATGGGTGTTTATCATGGGCGGATTTAGTCTTCAACAAATTGTAGACAAAATATCCGCCGGTGACATGTATTGTAAACTTGCCATAAGCTTTTATACGATCTTTGAGACTTATGACGGTACGTAGCGCCGTCAATTAGTGGAAGGGGGTGTACGTCGAAATTCGATCCCTTTAAATTTTCAGCAACTATTGTTTTTCCTTGTATACACTTGTAACTATGAGTTGCGGATTTGTTACTTGCGGTCCAAACGAGGCCCTTGTAGTGTCAGGTAATTATATTTTTAGTACAGTGCATTTATTTTTAATACGTCTCAATTAAATTGACATGGGAGGAGTAGTTTACTAATTAATTGATTCGTAGTATTTAATCCGCAGTAGAGATAGAAGTTTGATTACTCGTAATGCAGTCAATTACGTTTAATTAATTTCATATATTTAACGTCAAAATATGTTAATTCACCCTTAAATCTCACCCTTGAATAAAATATTTGTTGGCTCTTCTTTTTAAGGATGCTGTTACAGCAAACCTCTCCTAGTACCTGGTGGCCGGGTTTTTGTATGGCCAATTGTCCAGCAAGTGCAAAAGTAAGTAAATTGGCAACTAAATAATTATCTTCATAATGTACCTATATGCAACTATTGATCAAACACTATCTTTACACTTTACATTCTTTAGAATTTCATTGAACACCATGACGTTACAAGTAGAGAGTCCAACTGTTTATACATGCCAAGGCGTACCAATATCTGTAACAGGAATTGCACAGGTACAGATTCAATATCAACTTATAGTATACAAGATAATAATTTAACAATAAATTTGTTTGTGACATTTGTGCATACATTTAAAGGTAAAAATACAAGGACAAAATGAAGAAATGCTTTCTACAGCATGTGAACAATTTCTTGGAAAATCTGAAGATGAAATTCATAATATTGCACTCGTTACATTAGAAGGACATCAACGAGCAATAATGGGAAGCATGACTGTAGAGGTATAATAAACATTACATTATTAGATTTTATAAATTAAATATAAATATTAAATGTCTCTAACTTACTTTGCTTATGTATCACAGGAAATATACAAAGATCGTAAAAAGTTCAGTAAAGAAGTATTTGAAGTAGCAAGCAGTGATCTAGTCAATATGGGCATTACAGTTGTGTCCTATACATTAAAAGATATTCGAGATGAGGAAGTAAGTTCATCTTTTTTTCATTAAAAAGTATTTATTTTGTATTCAAAAACTTAAGAAGAAATTGATAGAAGAAAGTATGATTCAAACAGTTGAAAATGCTAGAATATAATATGTGTTTTTGAAATCTTTTTAATAGTAATCTGTTATCAGAGTATACACTCTCAAAAGTCCCCCTTTAAGTGGTTGTATATTTATAAGTACTTTTTATTAATATGAGTTAATCTAGTCCAATCTTGTATATCGTAAATATTGAATACATTTTTGTTTTGCTACTTGCAGGGGGCAAAGGTACGTTCAAATTTTGTTTTATCACTACGTATAACGCCAATGCACTGCTCTCCAGATGATATTAGTACAAATCATTACTGTTCAATTAATAAGGGATTTAGAGCATATATCAAGTGTTCGCTTTGATGGTAGCACAAATTTTCTACGCATTTGTAAATCTGTTATTTAAATATATGTGATATTTTTTTATTGTATGCTGTCTTTGTGCAATTCAGGCCTATATAAGTGCTAAAATTACTGTTATCATTCAAAACTTTTAACAAAAGCAATGTTATTCTTAGTTATATCATGTTAAATTATATCTATCAATTATTTGTAGGGATATCTTAAAGCTCTTGGAATGGCACGAACTGCTGAAGTGAAACGAGATGCAAGAATCGGAGAAGCAGAAGCTCGTCGCGATGCTCAGATTCGTGAAGCTATCGCGGAAGAACAAAGAATGGCTGCACGTTTTCTTAACGATACCGAAATTGCAAAAGCGCAACGAGATTTCGAACTAAAGAAAGCTGCTTATGACGTTGAAGTGCAAACTAAGGTAGATTTTCCGTTTCCATATCTGTTGAAATAAAAAATAAATTTATTTATCATGTTTCCTCTTCGTAGAAAGCAGAAGCAGAAATGGCATTCGAATTACAAGCTGCAAAAACCAAACAAAGAATTATGGAAGAACAAATGCAAGTAAAAGTAATTGAACGCAGTCAAGAAATAGCCGTACAAGAACAAGAAATGTTAAGACGCGAAAGAGAATTAGATGCAACTGTACGACGTCCAGCTGATGCCGAAAAATACAGGTAATCTAAAAACAAAAGTAAAAAATTGATGTTAATAAATGTTATATTTTCAGGCTAGAAAAAATGGCTGAAGCCAACAAATTGCGTTTAGTAATGGAAGCTGAAGCAGAAGCAGAAGCTATCAAAATTCGCGGTGATGCAGAAGCTTTTGCTATTGAAGCAAAAGCTAAAGCAGATACAGTACAAATGGCAAGGAAAGCTGCTGCATGGGATGAGTATAAGAGCGCTGCTATGATTGATATGATGCTTGATACGCTTCCGAAGGTAATTTTCACATTTCAATATTAATTGCATGAACATTTAACAATCAATATTTTACTTAAATTTGCCTAGACACAAATATCAAAAATTTCTTATTCATTACAGGTTGCAGCTGAAGTCGCAGCACCATTGTCACAAGCAAAGAAGATAACAATGGTTTCAAGTGGAACTGGAACTGTTGGAGCAGAGAAATTAACAGAAGAGGTCTTTAACATTGTAACACGTGTACCGGAACTGGTTAAGAATTTAACAGGAGTAGATATTGCAAAGGTAAACTTTCCTACAGAAATTAGTATTTCAAAAACGCGATATATGGAAACTTATTATATTTGTTTATTTTCAGTCTGTCCATGCTGCTTAAACAAACAATACACGAATTTTAAATACTTCCTGACCACATCCATGATTGTATGAAATATTTAATGAATCTTTGATATATCATTTATTTTAATATGCTGTTGCATATTAGAACTAATCTGTTTTAATTTTAATAATGTTTATTTGGATAAAAAGTTCAGTACTTTCACTGCCAATTACTTAATGATGACAAGTTGATATTAATTAGTGCCAATTTTAAATGTTTTAAAAATAGAAATTACTTCATATAAATATTTGGAAATAGATTATAATAATGAATATGTCCGCACAATATTCATATTCCATCATTTACAAGATGCGCAATAGATGTCTTGAGTAAATGTCTTGAGATACAGAGGCAGTGAATGTGTATTTTATTTGACTAACATTGAATGCTAAATCTAATATATTTTTATTTATATTTATATTTATATCAGTTGAAGTTGTAATAAAATTTTACTTTTATTATATTTTTTTTTAATAAGTCTTATATGCACTTAGAAGAGAAAAAATGCAAATATATCTTTTTGAATCTCGTATTGACCAAAGATGGTCCAGTTTTGTCCATACATATGTAACTTTGCCACTATGTGCCGAAACATTCCTCTAACATGCTATATGTACCTTTCAAATGTATTGACATAATTAACAGTATGAGCATTTTAGAAACGGAAATGCTACTCTGATATTCATTCAATGTGGTTTGACGTTAAACAATTTTGTTTAGTCTTTAAACTGAAATATCTTCACTTAAACATTTAGTTATATTTCCTACAGTTTAAAATCTACTAATGTATTTTACGTCGATTTTAGCTAGAATTTACTGTGATCTGAAACTCTTTATACAAAAAAAAAACTAGTCATAGTTCTTGAAATACATTTGAGAGCTTTGATGACAAAATTTGTATGACCAATTTAACGCCTTAAATTAATGAAAAAGATTCGATTTTATGTAAAGCGATTAAACGTTAAAATCAAAATCGCTGCGTACTAATTTACCTACCCCAAGTTAAAAACAAAAACAGAAAACAATAGAAGATATAAATTAAAACGTTACAAAGACAGTTGTTGTCGGATGTGGGTTAACGTTTATTTACATAAATTTTTTTCGTTATTTTCAGTGTGTTAGAATAGTTTTACATGAAAGTGAAAAGATGAATACAAGTTGTTTATGAAAGTTGTGAACAGTATTATTTTTCATCCAAATTAGTTTTATCTTAATATATTTCAATTTATTCCCAAAGACGTGTATGTCTTGAAAACATGGATGCATACAAATCGTTTTTAGTAGATTTTTTAGCCGGTGGAATATCTGCTGCTGTTTCAAAAACTGCAGTTGCACCGTTAGAAAGAGTGAAGTTATTACTTCAGGTACAACATACTTCAAAACAAATAAGACCTGAAGACCGATATAAGGGTATATGTTTTACTTTTAATTAAACTAGTGTTCTTAATACTCTATATTTGTATTTCAAATCTATATTATTGCAGGTATGGTGGACGCGTTTATACGTATACCTAGAGAAACTGGTTTCCTTAGTTACTGGAGAGGCAATCTAGCTAATGTAATTCGATATTTTCCAACACAAGCTTTAAATTTTGCGTTTAAAGACAAATTCAAAGTTTTATTCTTGGAAGGTGTTCCAAAAGATGCATTTTGGAAACAATTTGCTGGAAATTTGGCATCTGGTGGTGCTGCTGGAGCAACATCTCTTTTATTTGTTTATCCACTTGATTTCGCACGTACAAGGTATTACCTCTCTGTAACTTTACACAACATTAAATAGTTTAATATCAAATATTTTTTACAGATTAGCAGCAGATATCGGAAAAGGTGACAAACGAGAATTTAAAGGTTTAGGTGACTGTTTGGTAAAAATATTTAAGACAGATGGTTTAATGGGATTGTATCGTGGTTTCAACGTAAGTGTTCAGGGGATCGTTATTTATAGAGCAGCATATTTTGGTTTTTACGACACTACTAAAGGCATGCTTCCAGATCCAAAGAACACTCCACTACACATTAACTTTTTAATTGCCCAAGTAAACTCATGTTTTATCAAATAAAGATTCTTAATCCACGTGTGTTTCTTAACATGTAATATTGTTTACAGGTAGTAACAACAATAGCTGGAATTGTATCGTATCCTTTTGATACTGTTAGAAGACGCATGATGATGCAATCGGGGCGCAGTAAAGCGGAAGTAATGTATAAAAACACATTGGACTGTTGGGTAAAAACAGCCAAAGCAGAAGGTGTTGGGGCTTTTTTTAAAGGGTCACTTTCAAATATTCTTAGAGGTACTGGAGGAGCATTAGTTTTAACATTGTATGATATAATTAAAGAAACGATTGATAACGCGCTCAAAACAACAAATTCAAAACCTTCGGAATAATATTTTTAAATTTATTGTAATTCTAAAATAACTTGTAGGATCAAATAAAATTTAGTGACAACTATTAATTTTTCTGCAAATTCAAGCATGATTCATTGTGTATTAAAATTCTTCGATTTGCTGCAACAATTTATGAATTTATGAACATTCTACCTGTTATTTTAATTTGATTTTAAACAAATATTTCATCAAAAATATATACACACTTACTAAGAAAAATAACACATTTTTGATACTTTATTATTTTATACACTAAATCTGACGAATTTTAAGATACATACCTGGTACAACATTAATATATCAGCTGTGACCTGATTTGCTGGCATTTACAAATCTTGTTAATCCGTTATATATGTATACTGTATAATTAAATTTGGTGTTAGATTCATATGTAACGTATTAAGAAAAGAATTAGGTATAAAACTTCAAATGCCTACAAACAAATGCCACAGCCTTATATCGCTATTTATTATAGTTGACTTTTGTTTAGAAACAAAGCTGTACAATTTAATTAAGCATAGTGTGTCTGTCATAAATGTTACGTCGTTGTTCCCGAACTTGACGTTTCCATTTGTCTTGCTGATGACCAACACGGTTTAGTACATTACCCCTTTCACCCATAGGATGAGATGTTCCAGGTCCTATCGATGAATCATCCTATAGAAACAAAAATTATGTAATGCAAAAGTTATATTAAATACTGCATATATTATGCATAAATTACATGAACATACCTCTACATTATTGTGTTCATGATAACCAATATTGGTGGAAGTTTTATGCATTGTTTTATTCAATAATGGATCCAAACAGATTAGGAATAACATGTAAATCACTAAAAGAGATATAACCCAAATAACAAGAATTACCACTATCTGCAAACAATTAATTATTCCATTATCTGCTTTACTAATAAAAACAATAATAAAATAAGTAACTAACTTTAATAATAGTGGTATTCCTATTTTCATACTTGCAACCACATCTTGAACAAAAAATTTCTTCTTTGCCTTTTAACTGATCTCCTACCTTTGGTAAGACAACCCCTTCGCAATTACTGTGAATTAAAATTCAAATGAAATTACATGGTATTAAATTAGGTCCACAGATGGTACACACGTGGGATTAAGTTCTATATATTAAAACGGAATTGAGATTACCATTGAGAAGGTGGAACATTTATGATGTACGTTTTTCGTACTAATGATGATTGCGCTGTATTCACAACGGATGAAACATTAGGACAAATGCATTTACATCGTTTATCATCGTATTGTGCCTACAACGATTAATGAAAATTATACGTTAGAAAAATTCAATTTCAATATTTTATAAACTGATATTCTAACCTCAGATTGTGACAAACATAACAATGTGATTACGATCACGAGGATAATGTGCTTCAACATTATACAGTTACACGTTGCATCCAGAACCTACTTCTTTTCTAATGCTTTCAGGTGTATTTAATTCGTAAGCATGCAAATGTTTTCGCAAACAAAAGAAATTCCATCAACTTTCGCCGTTTCCAAACACAACTCTAAACTGTCAAGCAGGTCAAGTTAAACTAAACTGCAGCTAACCAACCAATAGATGGCACAAAGTGCGTTCTCCTTGTTAAATACGTCATTCAATCATACAATGGATAATATAATCCTGTTTGAGATATAGCAGCGTCGTAAAACTTTCCAAAAAAAGCACAGTTCATTTATCGAATGTTCTCTGTTAGAAAAACGGGCCGTTAGGAAATACTGTCAAGAAGTAGACTACATATTTAGACTTTTTAAAAACTTTACCTTACTTAATTAATAAGTCTTCATTAAAATCACTATTATATAGGCATAAATGTGAGATTTTATATTAAATTTAAGCATTTTAGACTTTATTGTAAAGCTGAATCATATGTAGGCAAATATATGTAGGTAAATGTTAAAGTGTCGACAAGCGTACGATTATATAAAGCTTCAATAACAGACTGATTATCGGAGTTACGTTTTTTAATAAACAACGATAATATGTTTTGTATTACAACGTTACTCTGATTGCATGATTTTGACGTTATACGTTATATGCATATCGCCGTTTTGAACATGGCCGCGGTGGAGTGTGAGTCGAAAGACGAGGCAAGTCCAGCGGACTTGTCACAAACGCCGGTATTTTCGGAAGAAACGGTTAAAAAATTCGAAGAACATGAAACGTCAGGTGTACCGCTAAAATCTTCATGGACATTTTGGTTGGGAAGGTATGGGTATTCTTTTAGTTTCAACTTGTCATTTCAAATTGAGTATGATATATCAATTTTCTTTTTTTATCTTACCCGTCTATGAAACGTCAGAAATATACAAATTACGTTTTTCATTGATGTCATTGAATTATTGTAGATTGTAATATGAATTTTCATTTACATGGTTACTATTATTATAATTTGAGTGTTATCTTCTATTGATTAGTTATCTTGTAAAGTTAATGTAATAAAGTCATCCTGAAAAAGTTGAACTCTTGTTTGCTCATAGTGCGTATAGAAAGTTCTAAAGAGTTGGTAAAATTGACAGAGCTATTTCTGCAACAACTGTTGAAGAATATAAACAAAATTTATTGAAGATTTATACTGTCAACACTATACAAGGATTTTGGGCTGTCTTTAACAATATACCTAGTGTTAGCGCTATACAGGTGAGTTGTTATATACCTATACCATAACATGTGTGTAAATGTGTATGTGAAATATATGTATATATATATTCATTTACTTCTATTACAGGTCAGATATAATTACCATTTGATGAGAGATGAAAGATACCCATTATGGGAGGAACCTGTCAATCAAAACGGTGGGACCTGGAGATTAAAGTGCCACAAATCTGATACTGTAAGCTCTATACTTTATATTAGTGCTTAATCTTTTTATTAGTGTCAGCAGTTGAGAAATTTGTACAAATTATACTGTAAATGCTTTTAATATCTATAAAAAAGTTAAATATACTCATGAAAGTTTTTATGCCTCTAGGAAAAAATCTGGAAAGAGGTGGTGCTTGCTGCTATTGGAGAACAGTTTGGTGAATGTGTAGCTGAAGGAGATGAGATTTGTGGAGTAACTGCATCTATAAGGGACAGAGAAGATGTTGTTCATGTAATCAAAGCTTATGCCCATATATTAATGAATCATAAAATATATGGTTTCTTTTCATATGGTTGCTTCTCCTTTTTTAGATCTGGAATACAAATGCTGCTTTGGCATCAAAGGCAACAATTTTAGAAAAAATTCATTCTCTCTTGCCTAATGTGAACTGCACAAAATTTTACAAACGTAAGTTATTAAAATTCTCTTGTTATTCATTATCAATTAGACAGTTAATAAATTGAGTTGTGTATTTATGTCAAGATTATATCATTTTTTACAGCACACCAATCTCATCATGCCTATGGTCGCAGTTAAACACTTTTAAAATATTAATTACCTACCAAAAATAAAGTGTAGGAAAACTACGAAAATTCTTAATTTGTTACTAACTATTCATTAATGTTGTTTCAATATGCAGTTCAAATGATATAAAAATTGTTGATATTTGTAATTTTAAAATATCAAATACATTTTTATATTTACAAATGTGTCTACTTTTTATTATATTTATTTATGATGGTATTATAGAACATTTCATACCTACATAAATATGACGTATACGCGACTAAAAACACATTCATACTAAATAACGGAATACTTATAAAATTTGAATCCAACGCTAACTGTAATATTATAAGTATAGAAAAATTGACATTTGTGATAGCATTATATTATTATTTCCATTTTACTGTTGTGCATGTATATGCTAAAAGGCATGAAATGAAAGAACATTTACCGTACTTTATTACCGTCAAAGGAATACAGAGAAGCGAGCCTATCTTTCACATCATTTTCGGAAACATTTGAATCCGTAATCGTGTATCCATAAAACCGATTCCGTTGTCCGACTAAACGGCGCCAACTTAACATTTTACAACTTTTCAATATTCGTCATATTGACGTCAATACCCTGGGGATTAAGAAGTTTACCTGTATTCGGACTTCATTAAACTAGTTCGAAATCGTATTTAAATTGCGTCCGGCATATAAATATTTTATAGTTTACGTCAACCATTTTCAAAAGATATGCGAATCGATCATTTGTCCCCGTGTGTTCTGTACGAAATATCTATCTCATAATTTTTCGTATTATGCAATAAATATGTACTTTCTTCTCGGTTAAATTTTTATGCAAATTTGTTAAGACTCGCAGTACATACATTACAATATAACGTATGTACACGTTTCGCTTTTATGGTATAAATAGGGCCCAAAAATGGGTAACGCCTGGGACCCCTCGAAGGTTGAATGCGCCAGTGAATAAATCATGTTGGAAGTAAAATGTTAATAAAGTATCTTTCGCTTTTAAAAGATCTCCTGTGGCGATATCAATCATTGAACCTATACAGTTTTTATTTATGTAGAAGGAATTCGTGTAAATATAATAAAAATTCGCATTATTTATAAAGGTAACATTTACAAAAAACATATATATTTCGAAATTATACGTCAGAGTAACAAAGTTTCGATCGAATAAATTTGTTTAACACTTGTCGACTTCAAAGTACAACTAAGGTGATAGCTCCGCGTTACTCGACGTCCTTGCGTATAACCTTGCCAATACGCATATGTCCAAGATTGATAAGGTTACGTTAATTGTGTCAGCAATCTCAAGACGCAACTATAAGATTAGCAATGACTACACCTGCATGTTCTTTTTAGTAAGCATTACTCACTGTTTACAGTTGAGGAGAATGTTCCACATCCATTGGCGTAACTAGATGGTCCAAAAGATAGACAGAAACTATAGCTACGCCAATGGACACAACACATCGACTGCTTTATCATGATTTATTGCACCCATATGCAAAACTAGCCGACACAAGACGGAACTTCACTTCTTATTTGTGACCTACGCTACGGTCACGTACTCTCGACTTTAAACGTATGATAACAGTACAAAACACGTATGTAAATACATAGTATAGAAACCTGTTTAGTGGAAAACTTCCACGCGACTCACGGAATTTGTAACTTTTTTTCACGCATTAGTAAAAATAAAAAAGAAAATAGATTCTTCTCGTACGGTAGATAAATCTTTGTTGTATATGTGCTGACTTGATTCCACGATAATTTATTTCACGGATATTCCTCGACAACCTTCAAAGGCCATCCAAGGAATTCTTGCAAAAAACGTGTAATTGTATCCCGACGATGAGGTTGTAGACGCCCACTTGATAAATTCAGTTTATCCGCCTTAACAAATTGCCATTCCGAAACGACATACCGATTCTTGGGAATTCACAGCCATAATTTGATACTCATTAATCAGTCTTCAACATTGTTCCATAGACCAATAGTTCTGCATTCTTAAGCGGCGCCACAGTTTCGCGCCAATCTGGGCGCCAAAAGTTTTACGCATAATCATCCTGTTCGCTGACACCGTTACCGACAACAAACCGTAACTCAGTTAATACTGCATGCATAATTTGATCATAATCAATACACGTTTGTATTAGTATTTTCAAGTTTGCCGAATATATAATATTTCGTACGGACACGTGAAAAATTTTGTTGTATTGTGCATCGTAACCTTTCTATGAGTTATTGGAGAGCATAATGTTCCTGAAAAAATGTCAGACGACTTAAAAAAAAGTGAATAACTGTTATGAAGTTATAAAAAGTCAAAAAGAAAAAATTATGCTAGCCACGAATTTGGAAATTAAGGAATTTAGAAAATTTTATTAATCCCTGCATTTTATTGAGATGACAAAACTAGTATGAGCCATCACTCAATCATGCCTACCTTAAAAAACAGAATATAATTTCGCCCGATATCTGGCCAGTCTTGTTTATTATTAATGACGAAGCAATTATAATAGTTCCAAGATGTCTGATGATCTCTGTTAAAAAGTATTTCAAAAATTAAGGATCCACTTTCGTATGCGATCACGCAGATGGATTTCAAGGAAACCGTGATACCAAAAACGCCAGCAACGAACTACTTTTTACAATCCGCTTCCGATTTCCTTGCCTGCAACCAAAATGAGTCATGATGATCCGCACATTTTTAAAAATTTGGAGATTCCAAAGATTCATGACGTACGTGATTATATTACACTTATTTATACGACCTACTCTAAAACTAGAAATGCGTATGTGTTTCTAGTATGACGTAAAAACATTTAAAATGATAGCTGTTCATCAGAATTTGTTTGTCAGCGAAAAGCATCCGGCGACTATGACGTCGACCGGAACGGATTCCACACCTTTAGATCTCGGATGACCATCCGATCGTTACGATGGAAAAGAGGAAGTGATTTCCATTCCCTTTTTCATCACAGAACAAATCCGTTTCCTGTTCGTGATCGTCCCACATTTCATTTGGATGCAATTCGTCAATTCAGAACTCTCACATTAGATAGTTTACCGTTTGTCGTAAATAGATCAATGTACAAAGATACAGCCGATTTTTAAACCACGTTTTTAGAACAATTTAACGTGTAATTCAATGGAAATCAAACTGCAAGATGCATTTGTGGGAACTGTTAGCGTTTCATGGTTCACGAACGAAGAAAAACGATGTTTGGCTTGACTGCACAGCTTCATTGTTGAATAAACTATAAAAATAGAATTCTACGTTTTAAGGACGACAAATAAATGTAGGAACAATTTGTAGGAAGATTTCTTAAATGATTTTTAGTCATAAGTAAATTAAGCAACATCGTAATGATGTTAACCTTACCGAAATAAAAACTGTTTCTTTTTTTGCATGAATGGTAATGTCAGAGAAAATATTATGTGTTGACATCATTTAGTACATCATCAGATAAAATGAATGTATAACATTCGAAGAATGCTATCAGTAACGTGTGATCGATTGGAAATCAATCGAAACTTATCATGAGTACCCTTGGCCCAGTTTGTGTAATTTCTGCTCAGCTGATCCGTGAAACGTGTAATGGAAACTTGTAAATTGAAGTCGTAGAAGGTTAACGCCCGTGAGCATCTAGGCATACCTTGCGCACGATTAATTGATTTGGAAAGTAGAACATACTCTTCCAATTACCATGTACGATTTTCCTGAGGTCATTTTATTTAAAGCAAATTCTTCGGCTCAGTAGCGATAAATTTGCCGTTTCGACAGCTGATATATCGATTGAACATACCATAAATTACCATTATCAAAAGAGTCGCTTCTTAACCGTAAAGAGTGAAATCCTTCTTGAAATTTCTTCACATTCTCTTCTATAAAGTATTTCATACTTATTGCAATTATCTTTGCCGACGTATTATAATAATTGAAAATTCTGGTTAGAAGTTCATGTGTATTTGTAGTTCGAGAACCGTTGGTTAAGTCTATTCTTGTAGGATCCGAATGACATAATAGTGGGATGACTACATGCTGACTGTTAAATGTGCAACGAGCCTACAAGATAATCGAGATTACTTGGAATGGTACAAGTGTGGTAACAAACACATGTAGACATTATTAACGTACAAGTGCACGAATAATACAAGGTTCCTCATTCCATTGTGTATACCTGTACCAATACGAATTCATGTGTGAAAACTTGCGGCATTTGCACTGATGGATGTAGTCTTCAAAGGTCCCGAGACGTTACAAAATTCCCGAACTCTATGACTACCACAAAAATAAAAGTATTCAATTTGTATTCCTATACAAACAGAAATTACCGGTTAATAAATGCTAATATAAATTTATTATATAATATAAATATAAGTTCATATTATTGTATGGGGGTCTATAGTGTCCGCACCCTGTGTGTCATCAAATCCGTCACTGCTTTGAATTCTCACGTTGGTCATCGTCATAGAAGAGTCGTCGTCACTGTCCCAACTTGCGACGCACTATAGTTATTTATCCGCAATTATCATTGACCTTCTTTGAATTGCCAATCGTCTGAAATTTTATCTGGTAAAAATTATTTCGAAAACATTCCGGGCACAACGGAACGTGGTATACAACAAATATTTTGGTAAATATACCATAAATATAAAGACGTGTTTATACATTTTAGAATAATAATTGTTGTTCTGCACGAAGGAGTATGTATACTGGTTATCTAAAATGTCGCGAAGGACGTGGTTTCTGAAGGACGTGATTTCTAAGGACTTGTTAGCTCAAAGCGGCCGAGAGAACCGGATGAACAAGATTGGATTCTTTCAAGGCAGATTTCGAACGTGTTTCCCCTCGTGTAATGTTGTACATTTGTTTTCAATTAACTTTTGCACTATGTGTCTATTTACAAAATATTATACTGCTGCAATAAAAATAGATACAATTACATATTGACAAAATTATTATACTATTATACTACTATAATATTACTCTACTATCTTACTATTTCATTTAAACAAACAAGCATTGGCTCACAGCTTGGTCACAGCGTACATATCAGTTTTATGAAGAGGAAAGGTTCAATCAAACACTTTATCAAACGGGTTCAGACTCCTTGTGTTTAAAGATAAGCAAGCTAATGAACTTACATTTCAACATAGTGAAATCTCATAACATGATTAATGGGGTTCAAGAAGTATAAAAGCATCTTTTTATAACGCGAATCTGATCACGTTCTGAAAGACGTAAATACTGTGGAACAAGTGGTGTATTCTGTTCTAAACGTGGAGGAGTGGGGACTCAAACTGCGCATACGTCACTGGCGTAAGAACATATAATCAGGGACGAGAGGAAATCAAGCCAGTTCGCAAACACCATCCGAGAAGAGTGGATCATATCGTAGTTCCATTCATTCATTCATGACCACGTGAATTTTGTTCAATATCATATTGTTAATATTTAATTAATTATGATATATTGTTGTTTTTAATATTCAATATTTGGATCACTTGTAATTGTATCTCCAGTTTGTAAAATTAGTGTTAATGAAAGTCCTGGTTCGACGAGCACTGATTTTACATCAATAATATCTGTGCGTGTCTGAACTAACGGTACGTGCAACCAAGTGTGTTCGTAGAGACTATTAAAAGAAAAGTGAGGAACTAAAAATGAGCAACTCGAGAACTTCTGTGCTCTTTGTTGCGGTCCTAATATTGGGATGCCATACATTATGTGCCACTGCTTCCGCGATACCAATGTGGGAATTCCTTTCGCGAGATGAGAAAGTAAGTATTGTTGAGCATTTAATCATTAAATTTAACATTCATTCTTCATCAGCGTTTTCCGTACATCGTCGTCGAAAAGTTTTTAACAGGGACTTCCTTAGAGACGACTTTCGACGTCATATTTTTATGAAATCTTAATTCTTCTGTAAATAATTATTTTATTTAATAAAGAAATACCTATTTTAAAATTACCAACCTCTTTAACCTTTAAATTTCTAATTTACAAATTTGGAAATGAGGTTGGTCAGTAAGTAGATTTATAAAGATACTTCGCAAGTGATGGTGGGAAAGATGGATCATCATACTTGTGGTAGTGTGCACTGTCTATGCCGGCGGGGAGACATCTCCTCATTCCTGGGTTAATCAAGATTTAAAGTAACTAATACTGTTTATCTCCCTGTATAAAGAACAAATTATATGTTTTGTTTATAAATCAAACTTTGTTATTATTCATGATACTATACTTTCACCGAACAGAATCGACAAGTATATTTGTTGCAAATGCTCTCTTTGTGCACTTGTGCAGTCGTGCGGGATAGCACAAATGCGTCTCGGACGTTGACTTTTCTCATGACATTGTGCCCTTCTTGTTATGTTACATTTCCTATATATATACTTTGTGTTGGTCCTAAATTAAACTTATTAATTAATAATCAATGGTTTTTTGATACATTAACAATAATTTTCTGCATTCTTAATAATAAAAATGGGACCACCTGAAGTGCTTCAACTCATCGTGACGTATTTTAATATTGACCTTAATCCGTCGACATCCTAGGTAATGCTCATTATCGGTGCTTTAAATGTAAAATATTTAGATCACAGGATCTTGAATATACTTAGAAACTTGTTATGAGAAAGAAGATTGAATTTTGTATTCTGGAATGTTGAACATTTTACTTAACACGATTGATGGTTTTTCCAGTGCGTTCTTCGTGTATATTTGCAACGCGGGTTTATACATTTTTGGAACGCTAAAAAATATACTCACTATTTTTTGCAGTAATTGTTCGTTTTCTATTCTGTTATTTCTGTAAAACTTTCTCTTGTTTCGGGAATTCGAAAATTGTACAGTGATCCATCATCGATCGCATTGTCGATCTATGTAGGTCAACACCAAAGTACATGCATTTTCACTTTGTCAACATTGGAACTTACCATGATGCGTAAACAGCGACTCTCTTTTTATAAAGTCAGTGTCCCTCGTTTTTATAATATTGATAAAAAACAATACCGTATTAGGAAATTTCTATTATTACGTTAATAAATTTGGCGGTACTTTTTAGAATAATGAACCTTCGCTAGTTTATGGTCGGCATAAATATGTTAAATTTCGATAGGCGTGTTACAGAAATGTCATTAGAAATTCTAAGATCGATTATTCGCGTAATCGATTAACCCATAGATGGAGCCAAAAGTGTGTAGACATCGATCATTGCGTTTTACGTAGAACACAAACGGGGGCATGTTTCGGCCGGTGGACAGAATTTCTCATGACGAAAAAGAAAAAAGGCGTGTATCGCAATCAGCCCGATACGTGATGTACGACGGGCTGCGACGCGAATATATATTTGTTTGTTATAACTGTCGTGTCCGATATCCCGCGTGTTACACATTGCCGAGTTTCACCGGACGCGCGCAGAATGCATTTGTTTCTACCAAATGGAAAACAGCTTTCGCGATGATCGACACGTTGTAAATGAATAAAAAAAAAAGTTCGCCATTTTTTTATCGCAAATTTTCCGAATATGCTTATGGCAGCGTCGAATCTTATGTTTTTATAATTGGTATAAATATTGTTAAGAAAAAAAGCATTAAATTCGTAGAATTATCGAAGCCATCAGTAGTATATCGATTGTTATCGAACAATTCTAACAATAAAACATGTTTCCTTTCAGATGAGCCACCTGTTCAGAGTGTTTAGTCAACAGGTAGCCACATTCTGTGTTGATTCTTCGATGCCAGATTGTAACAAAAATTTATTAGTTTCCGGCCTTCGGAATTTGGCTAATATGGACGATAATGCCCTCGACAAATTGGATCCGTATCAACGTGACGCGAAAGAAATTAGTAAGTTTTGTACTAGCTTATGCTTAATTAATAATGTGAAATTAATTTCATTCGTGTCAACTATCTATTCTTTAATTATAGTTTGGAGTGCAATGGTAAAGAACGGATATTCATTAAGAGTCGCTCACGAACCTAACGAGTCGTTCTTCACCACCGGTACCGATGCAGTAGGTATGTAATTAGAGTATCAATAAATTAATTTAGAAAAAAATAAATTACGAATACCAGGAAAAAATTACGCAAAATTAACCTAATAACTTACGCTTATTTTATAGCGTATGGTCCAAAACTAACAACGCAAATATCACCGAAATTGACGCGCACAACCATTGATAATTCAGACTAATCTTTTAATTATTAAATGGCTGCTAGTAAGAAATAACAGGTATTGAAGAATCGCTTATATACTGGAATTGAATTACTTACAGTTAAATATAGCATCATACTCTTTTAGCAAAAACATCATCGTCGGCCGCATAAAGTTCATTAATGCAAGAGAAAGTTCTTATCGATAAAAAGAATGGCAGAAACTTACACGAGCGAGACTGCCAGATATTAACGAAGAAAAGCTACCGATAGAGGCAATTAATTTCTGCATTATGATGGAAATCAAGATGCCTTTGAACTCGACAAACGACAAAAAGAAAATAAGTCTTGCTTGATCCGCGTGACCGAAATAGATGAAAAGAAGGCACTGCTGTGAGAAAGTTCGAGGCGCCGGCTCAATCGCGCACGTTCCAGCACAAAATCTTTTCTGTTTTCTTCGACCAAAGTAGATCGCGTTCGATAGTAAAACGCTCGTTTTCAATTCGACCGGTCTCCTTAACTGCACTTTCACCCGATCTTCTGAATAAATCGACCGTTTACGGAAGTTTTTTTCGATAGCTTCAGAAAGGAAAGAATGAATATACAAAGTATCTTTAGTGTTAGTCTGTTACTTTACATGACACTTTTTCTTTGTCATTCATGTAATTTCCTCCTGGTACTCAAATTCCTGTGCGTCCCTTAACAAGTATTTACGGAGAATCATTCAACATCTGACGGAAGTAGGAAGTGGTATCGTAACGGATTGAAAATATTAGACATCGAATTATCATAACACGAAGGTCACGTTTGACTAAAAACGTATGACTTCCGATTCGGTATACGTAACACGAATGCGTTTAGAAGAGGAACGTGCTGAAAATATTTATAATCAATGGTAATTCGAAACGCGGATCCATTACCATGAAATTCATATGTTGTTTCAGCATAAATGCCTAAATATTAATGAATTTTTACTTGTTGGTCTTCTGATTAAACTTTCAGATTTTATTTTTGGCTAATTAATTATGCAATTATATGTACATTCGTTCCATAACAAATTTATATTTGCATTGCGTATGAAAGTTATCGGCATAGATAAGATAAGAACATTAGCGGACGTTATATTATCACCAAGTTGTCTCTCGTGCTCGTCAATGTACCAAAACTCATCACATAATCTACTGAATACTAATTATAAGTATTTCTTTTGTTACAGCCACCAGTGGTAGCGAAACAAACGGCTTAGGTGAAGATACAGTATCGGCGCACGATTATATTCGGCTTCCACAAGAACACACAGGGCCATATTTGATTGGACCTATGGTGATTCGCGTGTATCCGGATGGTCGACCGGTTCCAGAAGATTCTAAGCGTCCTTTACCTCAGGATGAAGACCTCAAAGATTTCAGACACTCGCGTATACCTTCAATTGAAGAAATCGAAGCCAATAAAAGCTCTGTTTATGAAAAATCGAAGGGGACCTCGTTTCCCGTGATCAGAAATCATAGGCAAGCGTACGAGGAATCTCCTTGCCTTCGAAAAGATCATTCTTTATTTAAAAGACGATTGCTTCAAGAGATCGTCGCGAAACGTAAATTACGTTATTAGTTAAGAGTAAAGTCATTTTGAAAACTGACTACTTTCAGTCAGGGAGGAAAAGCTGAAATAGCTTCATGGCAGAATTGCCAGGAACGGCGAAGGATAGAAGCTTTTTTTTTTTTAAGAAAGCCGGAAAAGCTGAATGGAAGATACGTGTATAGTTGATGAAACAGATATAGTGAGGTATTTGGATCATCCAAATAAAGTTGAAATGTTATGGACTTACTATATTTGTCTCGTCAAATATTCAAATTAGCACAAGACTGGTCTTCCACGATGCAGTTGGAATTAATTGTTACAAATGATAGATGAGATAAAATTAGTTCTTATGATAAGTTCATTAGATAGCATTGTTTTTTATAAGTTGTTACTTTAAAGCATTTGCTTGTTCTGAGTTAGTTGAGTGACTGGACAACAGAATGAGTGAAGAGTGATATTTTTTGATCATCAATCATGAATAGAATATTAACGATAATCTTATATAGTTAGCGGTGGTGAGTTTAAAGACTGTGTTTGCAAACAATACTCATTTATTTCAGAAATAATCTTGTTGATCTTTGAAAATATTTAATATAGATAATAATACTTAAAATGTTAGATGACGATTGGTCGGCAATCAAATGTCTTATTTTTGCTATGATAATTCTTAGTTAGAGTACGTTATAAAATTTAAAATTATGCATATTAACGAATATTTCATACTCGATTGTATATATCCTATTTATCCACATTTTTATACGTTTATATTCACTAATAATCGCCGGCCATGAATGGTTATAATCATATTTTTTCCATTCATTTGTTATTTATTTCATTATCCGTAAATTTATCATTTTTCAATAGTCTACATATAATTTCTGTTTTATTTTTTGCAATTATAATATAGTTACACGTATGAAGCGTTTCAGGGTCAATTACATCATATATTTTCAAACTTCTTTTTTAAGATATATCCTCATGCTTCGAAGGAACTTACCTCGCTAAAATTTGTTAATTCTTATGTTGACTATTGAATGTACGTACAAAATTCATGTATGATTAACGGAAGACATTTTCATGTATTCGATAATCTTCGTGTTTGAATTTTGGTCATGTTATTTGTTCACTTACTGCATTTACTGCAATTATGTTATTGAATTTAAGTGATAGAACATCTCTTTTTATGTATAAGGTTTGCATTGTAGCAATTAATATATTGTAAAAGTCATGTAACGTCAGTAACGCCGTAGGTGCCAGGCAAACATAACGATATCTCGTGGCGATATAACGAGAGTTTTTCATAATATCAATGTTTACTCTAGGCATCACAAATTTTAACTACGGTTCTGGATGTTGCACATGTTCAATAATGTTTCTAAATTGTATACATGATTCAAAATAAAATGTGATATTTGACATTTCATTTATACTTTTTAAATCGCTTTTGTTTTTTCATAGTTACGTATTATCATAACTAAAGTATAAAAATAAAAGTTGCAAAAGGCTAATATCTGTAATGCATCTTTGAATTGTTCCCGCCATTTTCGTGTACTTACATCCTGCTTATTGATGTGAACTGTACCTATTTTCCAAAAATGAAAATAAGCCTTTAAGGTAGTTTGCTTTATTCAATAGTGATTCGCTTATCTAGTTTCGTGGTAATCAATGTTTCAGCTAAATAAGGCAAGGGCGGAACAAGTATTTCGCCGGAAAGTGTATGGGGAGGATGATCGAGATAGGTACGAAGGAGGAGGCATTGTACCGATTTACATTGTGAAATTTTTTGAATCCTTATTTAAAACAAGAGAACAGAATAAACATGTCTTATGAAACAAGTAAGTAATCTGGACGTGCTTTAATAATTTGCTGTATTCTTTTTATCATTTATTATTATATATTTCAAGTAAATATCGAGCTTACGAATTTCATTCGGCATATCTCAAGCCGAATCATAACACTTTAAGTGCATCAGTGATTCATGTACTTGATGTTGTGATAAAATAACTGTGAACTTATTTATGTATAAAATACTTATTGTTCAAGAGATCATTCTGATATTTTTTATTATTTTACTTTGTTATCTAAGTTTTTCACGGCATATTGTTAGTAATTTAATTCATATTGTTTTAAACGTATTGTTTTTTTATCCAACCAGAAATAGAGATAACTTATCAGCTATAGCTTGCTATACTTAATTTAACTAATTTTAATATGCAATCTGTAAATAGAGATTGATATTAAAATTAAAAAAAAAAATTTTTTTAAATTAAACTGTATTAAAAATTATTTCAATATTTATATATTTGTAAAAAATACAAAAAACTTTTTTTAAGTAAAAAAAATATACTTTGATATGCAGAAATATGCATTGTAAACTGTTTTGTTGTATAACATATTTATTATAAAAATTTATTTTAATATATTTTAAATGTAAATATATTTACCAGTTGTAAATTTCAATTTGAAGTAAAATCAGATAAAATACGGATATTGAATAATTGTAATTTTGGATCAGCATATAGTTTCTATGCTCAAAATAATTTGAAATATTGTACACTGGACATGTGCCAGATTGTCAAGGAAATATATTTGAGTTCCAGTTACAAAATTCAATTTATTACACAATTTCCTTTTCCAAAATATATGACATAAACTATGTCTTGTAATAGCTTTTCATGTATTTGAATAAATATTTTATATTCTATTTATTTTCAGAGTACATATTTGCCACATTACCCAGAACACAAAGAGGACAACCTCTTGTATTAGGGGGTGATCCTAAAGGGAAAAACTTTTTATACACTAATGGCAATAGTGTGATTATTAGAAATATTGATGTGAGTATAGCAACAGCTTATTTAAACATATACAGCACTCAAACATATTATTCAAATGTTTTTCAATTTTTAGAATCCAGCTATTGCTGACATTTACACAGAACATTCATGCCCAGTTAATGTTGCAAAATATTCTCCAAGTGGATTTTACATAGCATCTGGTGGTATGTAAAAGAACCCAAAGAAATAAGTAATTAACTGAAGACATTTACAATCATTTAATCATTCATTTACAGATCAGTCAGGTAAAGTACGTATTTGGGATACTGTTAACAAAGAACATATTTTGAAGAATGAATTCCATCCTATTGGAGGGCCCATTAAAGATATAGCATGGTCACCTGACAATCAACGCATGGTAGTAGTTGGAGAAGGAAGAGAAAGGTGAGAAACATAATGTTTTTTGAATGTAGCTTCAGGTTTAGTAATTATTTTGTTTCCATAAATAACTTTAGATTTGGTCACGTATTTATGGCGGAAACTGGTACATCTGTAGGTGAAATTTCTGGGCAGAGTAAACCCATCAATTCATGTGACTTTAGACCTGCAAGACCATTTAGATTAATCACTGGAAGTGAAGACAATACTATTGCCGTTTTCGAAGGACCGCCGTTCAAATTTAAGTATGTGTACTGCGTTTATAAATATCTTCATGTGCAGTTTGAAATAATAATTCTTATCGTATATATAGAATGACGAAGCAGGAACATACACGATTTGTTCAAGCTGTGCGTTATTCACCTAGCGGCAATTTGTTTGCATCTGCAGGATTCGATGGAAAAGTGTTTATTTATGACGGTACAAGCTCCGATTTAGTTGGAGAAGTCGGATCTCCCGCTCATCAAGGTGGAGTGTATGGAGTAAGTAATAAATTTTTTCAATAATTAAGTCATTTAGCCAAGTTCCAATAAACATATTTTTCATATTTTTAATCAATTCCATAGGTAGCTTGGAAACCAGATGGAACCCAGTTATTAACTGCTTCTGGTGACAAAACATGTAAACTTTGGGACGTAGAAACTCGCTCGTTGGTCAGCGAATTTAACATGGGATCAACTGTCGATGATCAACAAGTAACTCTTTAATAATATGTTTTAAATTATTATATGTAAATTTAGAAAAATAGAAATATGATTAGTAACAATGATTTTCTTTTAGGTCAGCTGTTTATGGCAAGGAAATCATTTACTGTCTGTATCTCTAAGCGGTTTTATTAATTATCTTGATGTTGACAATCCCGCAAAACCGATTAGAATAATAAAAGTAACATACTTTTAATAGAGGATAAGTATTTTTTTTCGCGTGGAATGGGCTCCTAATTATGATATTTTTTAGGGACATAATAAACCAATAACAGTATTAACTTTAAGCTCTGATAGAAGTACAATTTATACCGGATCTCATGACGGCTATATTACCAACTGGAATGCAACTACTGGGGAAAATGACCGTGTTCAAGGCCATGGTCATGGAAATCAGATTAATGGAATGAAAACTGCAAAGAACATACTTTATACTGTTGGCATTGATGACACTTTAAGATCAGTTGATATCACTACAAACACGTATACAGAAACATGCGTGGTTAAACTAGACTCTCAACCACGGGGTTTAGACATTTACAATGATATAGTTGTAATTGTAACTGTTCGACAGGTAGGTTCATTATCTATTTATCCAAATATAATAAATCATTTATATTAACGATAACTGGATTTTTAGATAACAGTCACACAGGATGGTCGAAAAATATCAAGCGTGCCTATTGATTATGAACCATCTAGTGTATCGATAAACCAAGAAAATGGTGATGTGGCTGTAGGAGCTACATCAGATAATTCAGTATGTTCATTTAATTTACTCATGATGACTCTCACGAAAATATAATATAATAATTTTTTAAATAATTTTTAGATTCATGTTTATACGCTCTCAGGTACCAATCTATCTCCAAAAATTCAATTGGAACATCTAGGTTCAGTAACTGATGTCGCTTATAGTCCTGATAGCAAATACTTGGTGGCTTGTGACACAAATAGAAAAGTGGTTCTTTATACTGTTTCGGAGTACAAGGTAAAAATAATTATTCTTTAAAATTTGGAAAGCATAAAATAACTTTAGAATGTACATCTACCATTTGTATCACGTTGCAAGCAAAATATTTATCGCTTCCGAACTAATCATTGTTATTAAGTAGTTCATATCATTAACAAATTTCACTCCTAACGACCATTATAAATTTATTACATATGCTTTTAATGTATATAGTGCAATTAAATATCCATTATTAGCAAAGCATACATAACTGCTAGTATCTGTGTACATGTGTGTTTTTATGTACAAATTTGTTTGTAAAAATTGCTCCACCTAAACGCTTGTTGGATTTTTAGAGGGTGAGTAACATTTTTCACTTCACATTTGTATCAGTATGTTCATAAAAAATATATAATTTAATAAATCTATTAATAACGAATAATTTTTACAGCTTGCACACAATAGAGAATGGGGTTTTCATAATGCCAGAGTAAATTCCGTGGCGTGGTGTCCTGATTCGACTATGGTCGCAAGTGGTAGTCTTGATACAACGATCATTATTTGGAGCGTAACTAATCCAGCGAAACATACTATCATTAAAAGTATGTTTAAATTATGTAATTTTATATCTAGATTGCTCATCATTTCAATTGATGATCACTGATTAATCATTGGAAATGCTTTGTATTTTTAGATGCCCATCCTCAAAGTCAGATAACACGTTTAGTTTGGCTCGATGAAGAAACGTTGATCTCAGTTGGACAAGATTGCAATACTAAGATATGGCGTATAGAAAAGATTTAATTAATGTTTTAAAAACATATTTCTTTCTCTCGGTTTTAAAGAGCTTAATTTTTTAATATGTATTTTATTTATTTTTTAGTCAAGGAATATTATGTATTATTTTTTAATGCGGTTTTGGAATAAGATTTGAATAGAGTTATATTACAGTCTTTTACATTCGATACAATTGAAATTATGGGAGGACGTACACTTTATAAACGAGATTGCTGTAACATCTTTTTACATTTTCGCGCAGTGTCAATTATAAATAGCATTTTTACACACTACATTTATTTTTTAAATATTTACAACACGATAAAAAAAAATACCTTTTATCTTTTGATTCTGCAATTTTTACTGGGTCATTGTAAAAAGAATTAATTATGAAATGAAATCAAACGGAAATGTCTATTGTCTACTTTGTCTTTATTAAAACAGCATAAAGATAACAAGAAAACAGTAACAATTCGAACACTAAGGGTTTCTAGGAACGTGATCACGCTTTAAGTTATCTGTACATTTAAAAACAAAATAATTGAGGTGTTACTATAGCTTGCCTTATTTTTAATCAGTCGTATACCGAATACTTGGTTTAAAGAAGATGAGGCACATAAGTTCTGTATTGAATAATCTCAATTTTTGTTACATTAGATATTCAATTTTTGTATTTAATTACAATATTTAGTTGTTAAATTAAAGTTGTAAGTGAAAGGATTAGAAAAATTGAAAAGTCGCTATTGTTTCGCTTTTCTTTGATTTCGCTTATGTACACTATATTAAACTTTCTTCAATTTAACTTCCAACGACTGAATGAACTGTAACTGCACAAAGTATACCACTTAAATAAGGGAGCATTTTAATAACTTTATAATAAAAATCAATATACTTTCATATTGATCGATTTCTCCTCAATTAAAATATTTTTTAAACAAATGAAATACTCTAACAATAAATAATGAAAAATCAGGAAATTTATATCTAACTTTTTAAGTTTAAGATTATAATTGCTTTAACTAACAAAATTCTTAGGTTTAAGTTGAGTAACACAATGGTCATCTTTTTTTAACAAAGAGATATCCTAAAACAAGGGCATGATAAAAATCAACATATCTATAAGAATAAGAATTTCTATGGTTTTGGCGTATTGTATCGTGAACGTTTTTGCGGTGTGGCCACTGGATGTCTGTAGGAAACATGTTTCCTAAGTGCATCTCGCGATCTTGACACGTGTGAACAAGCTGTACAACTGTACGAACTATTACTGTGAGTCTCCATATGTACTCGCAGATTGTACTGATTACTTAACTGTTTTCCACAAATAAGGCAAGTGACACTAGATTTGTTATAATTCTGAGAAGTTCTGCCGCTTATCGAGCTTGTAAGAAACTTAAAATTTGCATCCCATACAGGAGGAGGTTTGGTATCTTCTACCGGTGTAATCTGATCTTCTAAAATAGGCGTACTTTCATCCATTCCACCTTCCGAATATCCTTTATCAGAATATTTATTAGACGAAGTATTAACAGAAGGAATACTGACTTTTTCTCTTTGATTTAATTTTGCATTAATTGAATAATACGGCTTAGTTTTTACACAATATGGTATACTCTCTGGATCATTAAATGATTCTTCTAAATTTTCAGTTGCTTCCGTTTCCAAAACTGTTTCTAATGATTCTCCACCGCTCACGATATTGTCTTTATTTTCCTTCTTTATTGGTGTTTCGGATAATATTTTTTCTTGTAATTGGGGCGGTGGAGGCTGAACATACATACCATTATCGTGTCTAGTACTTTTCTGTAAAAGAAAGAAAAAAGAAACGAATCAGATTTGTGAAACTTTGGCGCCCTGATTTTTAAATTAAATTTACAGATATTTCAATATTTTTTATACACATTTTGACTTTTACTTTTCATTAGATATTTAAAATACAATTTTCTGTTCTACCTAGCCTCTGAGATTTCTGAATAGTTTTTAGTATCAAAAGATATTAATAGACACTTATCTTTAAAAGTTTAAGATATTGCATATTTTATAATGTAACTTTAATGTATATATTTCAATATATAACTACATATATTGAAATTGAAACTAAGCCTTTTGACTTTTTAAATATACTTCGATGGTACTTTTTATAACAGTATGTTATTCTTGTGTAACAATTTTCATGCACTGCCTTTTTCAATTTTCTTTTTTTTTCTTTTTTTCTTTTAATGAAAATGAGACTGTTATATATTTATACATCAATTGTAAACATTTGTTATAGGCACTCTCGTCTAGAATATTAAGCATTATTATAATGCAAAATACATATTATTGTAAAAAAGACTTAATTCTTCTAAAAATATCTACTGAAAGTTTAGTCATGTAGAGATTTTTGGAAAAAGCTATTTAGATATACCTGTAAACTCATTCTATGGGGAAAGGTTCCATGGGATGCATCCACTTGCATTTAGTTGCAACACACACAACGATCTTGATCTCGTGGATATCGTTTATATTCATTATCGTTCCTTCGATGCACGCATGAACATACTATGTGTAGTAGGTAATTCCTTTGTGAGATACTTCTTGAGGAACGACAGTGAATGTATTTAAGTGACCTGAACAAAACAACACGATCAGAGGGTAATATAAAGATTAAGAAAGGAAAAAGCGAATAAGTAATTTGTTTTATGCATTACTTTCTTGCAATTCTGAACAAAGGAAATGATAATATTAGATACCTTTTTATTACATTTAATACTTTATGTACAAATTATAAAATGTATCATAACAAATGTGGTAGATAATGAAACTATTTGTTTTAAATTAAAAATGAATTGTAGGTTCCTTAAAAAGATGATTCAATATCATCTTTAGAAATTTTTAAACAAAAATCTTAACATATATAGAAATTTGGATATTTTGCTAGTCAACAAAATGAATTAATAGTGCCATGATTATTGTAAGGGAAAGTGTAATCTGTCAGTATATAAATATGTCTACATGTTTATAGATAGTAGGTTATACAAGGAAACCAATTTTTAGCAAGGAATCGCTAATGTTTACGGCACTGAAGAAAATACATGCTATGTTATATATTCTTTACAATTCACACCGAACAAGCTTCATTGGATAAGGAACAATAGTTTGTTAAATAGAGCTAATTACATTTTGCTTTTCCATAATCAATAAATTATAATAATTAGTATATAATAATTATTTAAGAAGTAGTTCAATTTAACACTATTAATCGAATTACTTATAAATTAACTTGAGAGGGTTTAGTTATGCCATTTAAGTTGTAATTTTCTTCTTCAGTAAAAATTAACTAGTAAGTTTATTTTATAATTTACATTTTATCATAAAAGTATTTCAAATTTTACAAAAAGTTAATTATGTAGGATGTTCTTAAAATGCAATCATGCTTCCTGATGTATAAAGCATTAATGTAAGAGGTTTGGTAGAACAGTTGTAGAAGAAAAACAGATAAAAAATATGTAATTTCACAGTTAAAAGTATGCATCCAAAGAAAATAATAAAGGTATTAGGAAATCCTATGACACGATTAGCTATAATGCAAACTTACCGATCGAAAAGATTCTGTACAACCACTGTGTTTATTATGTTTATTATATTAATCAAAACAGATGAATTTCCTTACCCCAGCAATATCGGCTAGCCCACGAATGTGTAAAGTATCTGCCATGGCCAAAAGTGCAGGTAATTGTTCTTGATAAATATTCACTTCACCATTGTACATAAAAGTGACTAGAGCACATAAATTGGCATATTCCATCCCTGGTAATACAATTACAGGATGTTGCAAAGAACTTAAATCCTAAAAATTAATGTACTTAAATTTTCACTGGTTGCATTTTAACAAAATCACATTTAACCCATGTGCGTTCTTCCATATGACTCAAAGACTTCCAAAACTATGTAATAATTTTTATAATAACATATGAATTTCATTGTAGTTTTATCAATAATTATACTTGTTTCAAGATAAATATCACTATAGTAGGTCCAGAAGATCGCTCAGTGGTTAATAATTTAGAAAATGATCCTATATTTAATACCTTAAATAGTTCTTTAAAATAGTAACTACAAGCAGAAAGTATAATTTTATGTGCGTGTATGTGTCTGCCACCAGCACTCAATGTGACATCCGTTAAATAACCACCATCAAGCAGTTTAGGAAGTGAGCTCAACAATGTATTTTGAAAGTTATGCCATCGTAAACAGAACTGTTGACCCTCCATATTTTTATACTGTAAATCAAAATTATATAATTGTTTTCAAAGTAAAAACATATATCTAATGAATGTTTGTTATTTGCTAATAATGCATGATCAAACTAAAATTTAATTTAAAAAAATTAATGAAATTTCGAATTCATAATAATGAATAATAAAAAAGGGGATATAGGTGAAAGAATCTGAAATATTTACATTGAAAAATTAGTGTTCAAAAACAATTTTTAATCAATTCTCTCTTTATGCACTCAATTTTGTTGCAATAAAATGTTCCATATTTCCTTAATATTGTTAATAGAGTAAAATAAATATTATATTAGTTAAGAAGAGTATATAATATGTACAAAAAACGTGATTCGTAAAAAAATTGTTTGTTTGTACTTAATTGAACAAATAAGATTATCATAACATGTGTACATTCAATTCCGTGGATAACTGTAAAAAGTTAATATAAAAATACTATTTCTTTTTTTACATAATCCTTCATTATAAGTATATTTTGCCAAAAGATATAGAATTACAATACAATAAATTGAACCTTCGAACACATTGCAGTCAATTAAGGTTATGTGTCTAGAACCCTTAATAAAACTGCAAAAAATTTCCTTGCGTTTGATTTCACCTATTTATGCCGGACAGAAGAGTAGTTAGGTTACTGCTGGTAGGAGCAGTTCAAGAGATAGACAATACTATTTATTTAATCAGGCTGCAGGTTCCAGCCAATTCTATTATTGTACCTTCAGGTATGGCTGGAGGAAAAAGCAGATATTGACTCATAATAGAGAAGAAATAAACTCTTACTTTTTTACAAGTAATTTCGATCAGATTAATCAATGTTATAAAGTAGAATTGAAATTCTACTTGCCGTTTGGTCTTACCTCGATAAAATTTGTTTGATACAACCGTTAATGATATTCTTTACACAACACTTCACATCCATCTGGCAAACTTCGCCATAATCATCAGTAACGTAGAGAAAAAGTACAGCACTATATGCAACAACGATGTGCACTGTCACCTGTCGACATATTATCGAAACATTCGAAATATGATCTGCCATTGAATGAGCAGTAAATGGTGGAAATCTATTGAAGTTAGCTAAGTTCCGCAAATTTAGTACGATCTATCGTGGAATGAACAATGTTGCGAGGGAAAATACACATTTTACGCATTTAAGCGAATTTCGGTAGGCTTATTTCCACTTTAGAGTTGTTCTTCTATCATGGGCTTTCGACTAAGAATTGTTTTCCAAATTTTTGTACTTCATAATCACTGCAGTGAAAAGTTATAGTAGAACTTATTATAATTGATATACTGTTTTATAAAGTTTCGTGTAATTTTATTATTTAAGTTTATAAAATTATTTCGCATGAGACAAATTTTATAATTGAAAACGTACAAACAAACAGTATTTGAACGCGTGTAAAAGAATTGATATGTACGAAACATTCGTGAGATGGCGCTAAAATTTGTTTGTTGTACTTCATCAGCCTACAGCCTACAATGATCTGTCGTTGTGTGTTGGACTACCAGTATGTTTTGGATTTTAGTCGAATATTACGATAAAACATCCTAGACATTATTTCATATGAACATCTATTTAAAAATGTTATATTTAATTAATGAGCCATTTCGAACATAAAAAATGATTGGATCAGATTTATGGAAACGAATATGGTTCTGTTCAGTATGTACGATTTTGTTCATATTCCCGCTGATTGACACAAGTCACATAAAACAATTGACGTTTTGCGAACAAAAATCTTCACGCAGGTAATTTTATATACTTTACAATATTTTACTAAAAATTTAACGTCTACAATGGCAGGCTTATAAATGGGAACAAGTACTTTTTGTAGATTTAACTAAATTCATTTTTATTTGATAACAAACTTTAATATATATATGAAAACGATAAAATTATTCAAAAAACAAACTTAAGTAACGTTTTGCATTTTGTTTTGTTCCATTTGTAAACTACACCAGTTTTTAAATGTAATTACATCATTCTTTTTTCAGTCTATTGTTTGTAAGTACTTTGGATGGAAAAATATCTGCTTTGGATGCTAATAATTTAGGAGAGAAACAATGGACATTAGATTTAAATGAAGGACCTATGTTGTCATCAAGCATTCATCGTAGAGAAGTAATAAAATTAAACTGTCATTTTGTTATTTCATTTATTCTAACAATCTCAGTATCTTAATATCCTTTTTAGCTGAATAATAATGGACAATGGATTCGTTTAATTCCATCTTTAAATGGTGGATTATATAAATTTGATGGTGAAAATTTAGAAGCAATACCAGTGTCTGCAAATCAGTTGCTACATTCATCTTTCCGCTATTCAGATGATTTAGTATTTTCAGGTGGTAGAGAAGTTAAATCATATGGTAAATAGTTTTAAATGATAGTAGGTGTAATTATCTACTACATGCATTATAACTGATTTGCATTTTAAACTGATTTGAATTTTTATTAATAGGTATTTCAAGTACAACAGGAAAAATTTTATATGAATGTGGAATTAGTGGTTGTACTAATAACACAGAGAAAGAATCTTATGTTGAACAGGAAGTGCTTGTTGTCCAAAGATTTCAACAAACTGTGAGAGCAGTTGAACCTCAATCTGGTATTGAAAGGTATTTTTTAAACAAATTATTTGAAATTATAAAGTCTAATTTATTGGAAATTATTCATGACAATATATTCAAGAATTTTTATTTAAATAGATGGAACTTTAGCGTTGGACAGCATAATATAATATTGATGCCTCAATCTGATGTTTATTGCCAAAATAAAGTTCCCTTTGATTCTTTAGACATTGAAATTAAAGTAGTAATACCTGATGGTTTGGTGTGGGCTATTAACAAAAACGATCCTACAGTAAAATTATGGCAACAGAAGGTTAGTTTCAGTAAAAAAAATTTTTCTTTTTGCATAAGCTATATACTAATTTTATATTTTTTGTTTATTAGTTTGATTCTCCAATTGTTGCTATATGGCGTGAGGATGCAAATATGAAAACCAGTGAATATAACAATTTAAAAGAAATTAATTTATTTGATAGCAAACAGTGGTCATGGGGTACAGAATTTTCGACTAGCCCAGCTATTTATTTAGGTATGCATGACAGGCAACTATATATACAGGAAAATGAAGAATTACATAAAGCATTAGAAATTTCACAAAAATACATACAACATTCGAAATATCCATGGCAACCTTACCCTGCTGTTGGTGTGTAACTGATTCTTAATTAAAAATACAAATATAACAGTTATTGTTTATCATAAATGATGGCGAAATATGATATATTTCAGATTATGCAGTTAGAAAAGCTCTTTCAAGTTCAGCAGATGATAATGAAGAGAATGCTCTTCTTGAAATAACAGATGCACAAAGCACTACTGCATTGTCAGTTTTGTATAATTCAGAATATGTAAATGGTATAATTCTAGTATAAGTTCAAATATTCCTAATAGAAAACACTGAAGCTGACATTAATGAAAAAATATTTTTTCAGGAAATGGATACTATTTGTATTCTAAAGATCAAATACAGTTAGACAAGAATAAACAATGCAATCATAATAATCCAAACTTACTACATATTAATAAAGAACAGAAAATACATACACCAAATGATACTCATGGAGAAGATGATGATACTCCTGTTCAAATTATAATTGTATCATTGTGGTGTTGGTGGTACGTAAAATTAATAAGCCAAATATAACATAGCATTTTCTGATAGAAAATTTGTTCCAACAGGAAGGAAGTTTTGGTCATTTCAATTACCACTGCAATTTTGGTCAACTTTATGTTAACACAACGTCTATTAAATGCCACAGTAGCTGCTAAGGATGCAGTACTTCCGGTAAAAATATTATAATTCTTCTTGATACTATATTACTATAATTTATGCAAATGAGAATTATTTATTCTTTGTTTATATAGCCTTTAATAGTTGAAAGACACATAGAAACAAATGTAAGCAATACTCAATTGAGTGACAATGGAAAGAATGGTGAAGATTTTAAATCACGTTATCTCACAGATTTCGAGCCTGTGGATTGTTTGGGTAAAGGAGGTTATGGCGTTGTTTTTGAGGCAAAAAATAAAATCGACGATTGCAATTATGCTATTAAACGAATTGCTCTGCCAAACAGGTATGCTTTCATATTTCTGCAATTAAATTTATTAATACACTTCATAAACATTTCTTAATAATAAATCTTATTGTTAATAGTAAATACTCAAGAGAGCGTGTAATGCGAGAAGTGAAAGCATTAGCTAAATTAGATCACCAAAATATTGTGAGATATTTTAATGCATGGCTAGAATGTCCACCTGCAGGATGGCAAGAGAAACATGATCCTCAATGGATGAACAAGTTAATGTCTGCTAGTTCAGACTTTACTGCGGAAACTACTCATTCTGAAACAAAAATGAATAATTCTGTTTGCATTAATGTTAGTCAAACTGATCAATCATCGGTGGATAGTGCTTATGAGGCCTGTGAATTAAATAATTACGATTCAAATGAGGACTCTTTTATAATTTTTGAAAAACCTCAATCAGTGGGTTCAGATGAAAATGTAATTAATATTAGTATTTCCACTGAAAGTTCTAATTCGTCTATTTCAACCAATGCAGTAAAGAAAGAATCACCCACGGCAAGTGATTGTACGCAATCTGAAAGCATCGTATTCGAGGATACTGTTAGTAAACACTCGGAAAAAGAAAATAGAAGAAAACGACAAGCATCGTTTTCTTTAAATCTGAACGACAAATCAAACGTACGTAAGTCCCCAAAAATGTTCCTTTATATACAGATGCAATTGTGCCAAAGGTTAAGTCTTAGGGAGTGGCTCAAAATACAATCAACAAGAAATTATCCTCGCGTATTAAATATATTTCAACAAATAGTTGATGCTGTAGAATATGTTCATTTACAAGGACTTATTCATCGTGATTTGAAGGTAATACTTTATAGTTGTTTTTCATTATTAAAACATAAGTTCTTACTTCACTCTGACAACAAATAATTTACAGCCATCAAATATATTTTTTTCCTTCGATGATAAAATTAAAGTTGGAGATTTTGGACTTGTAACTGCGATGACAGAAGGTTATGACGAAGCTCATACTCCTGCAGAAAACGAAGATATTAGTTTTAAAAACAGTTTACACACCGCGTATGTTGGGACACATCTTTACATGTCTCCCGAACAAATAAATGGACAGGGCTATAATTACAAAGTCGATATTTATTCCTTAGGAATTATTTTATTCGAACTTCTTATTCCATTTGTTACTGAAATGGAGAGAATAACGACTCTTATAAATTTAAGGAAATCAGTATTTCCAGAAAATTTCAATAATGATTATCCATCTGAGGTAAGAAAATAGTGGTCAGAAAAGCGTGGATCTGCTCTTTTCTTTCTTTTAATTATGAATTTTTCTTTCTAGCATAAATTATTAAACATGATGTTGGATGAAAATCCTAGTAAAAGACCAACAACGTTAGGTATCAAGGCCAAACCACCACTATTTAATAATACAGCAAACGGATTTAATACAAACGAAGATACAAGATGGCATTTTGAACTGCCTCAGTTAACAAGACATTCCTCTGTAATTAGTACCAGTAGCAGTGATTCTTAGGAAAACAGTTTAATAGTTATACTTCTGTAATTGATTTAAGTATGTATGAATACATCCTGTTTTTCCATCTTATCCTTTGCAAAATTTATAACATTCTTAATCTTTAACGTTATTTGAACAAGAGTAATTACTCAATTTGTTTTACTATAAAATAACATTTAGTACAAATTTTCTAAATGAAAATGATAAGATTACTTTTAAATTTTGTTACGCAGGATGTCGTTAAAAGGTATAGTATAGAATGTTTGGTTGTGTTGTTTTAAGATATGAATATAAGCTGTCATCGTTGTAAATCGATATATGTATAAATATATTTTTTTCAAATTTCAATTTGCACTGTTCTAAATATTTGTCTGCGTAGATCATCTCGTTTACTATGATCTATTCAAAATTTATATTTTTTTTAAATACGCTATTAAAAATAATTATGTTACAATTGGAATTATAAATCTGCTGTTAATAATAGAACAAAGAAGTAAAAATATTTTATTACTTAGTTTTTAAATAAACTGTATATGTACTAATGTGTATTATTTCTATAACATCATTTCATCTACTTAAAACTTTTACTTATTTTCAACAGTTTCTGATATTATTTCATTTGCAGCTTCTTTACTACCCAGTAAAGTTACTCCACTTTTGGATGAAACAAAACTTATAATAGAAGAGCAGTCATTGTTGAGTGGAAGTCTATAAAATCCATACCTAAAAAATAATTACATATTTTATTTGCAGTCTTTATTTCTATAGTTTGGTATTGTTATTACTACAGTTTACCCATTTTTAGCATCCAATAATATTTCTAATATACACCAGATTATCAAAATTATAAATGATACAATTATGGTTATATAAATGAAATTCCATCTTTTCCAAAATACGCTTTCGAACTCTGCAAACGAACGTTTATAAATAAAATATAGATATATACAATGATAGTGTATCACCTTCTCTTTTGTCTATTGCAGTAATTCCAAAGCTGAAGATGGTCTGACTTGAAGCTTTATCTGACTTAGTTCTGTGATAGAAATGACACGAATAAAAATTTTCGATTGCCTCACGAGTTGAGTAGCTTGCAATGTTAATAGAACTAACACGTCCATCATCTTTCAGATAACAGAAATCATTGCTTAAAAACAAAAGCAAATATTTATTAAACCAGTATATACAATGGAAAATATCAAATATTCATTCTACCTTTCATCATTACATTGTAATAGTTTGTCCATTAATAACCACATAACAAATGTTTTTTTAAAAGATGCATGCCCTTTTTCATAGAAAATTTTATTGTAAAAACACGATAACTTAAGTTCTTGACCTAATAATAATGGTACTTCCTCATAGTAGTCTAATAAATTATGAAGTTATATTTTTAATAAAGTAGTTCGTTTAAAATGCATTACTTGGTAAATGAATAAGTTACCAGATATACTAATAGTGCGACTTGAAAAGTGTTTGCTTGTTGTTTCGAAAACTGGTAATGATAGAAGATCAATTTGGTTTCCATCTATATTTAGAGAGCCAAGAGTAAAACTCATTTGTATCTCCATGCAGTTGGGACATATCTTTTCCTATTTTAAACAATTCACTTATAAGTTCATACAAAAATTGAACCTTTCTAAAGCAATTTACCCTCATTTCATCGCGCATAGCTCCTAAGTATATACTGGCTATAGATGTTATAATCATTTTCTCTGACATTGCAGGTATATATTTCCTCTCATTTCCATTAATTTGCATGTACAGATTTTTACCATTTTGGACAACAATTATTTCAAACCATTCTTTTGTTGAGATATGCTCTGTACTTTCAATTGTAACATGATTATCTCCATGATGATATTTAAGTTTTATTCTTCCTTCATCTAACAGTAGCAAAATAAATTTGTTTAAAGAATTGTCTGGGATAATTGCTATAATACCATTTATATTTTCTGCCTTTAGAACAAGCGTAATCTAATATACAAAACGAATATAATTAAAAGTTACTGTTAAGTAATATACAAGTAATAAAAATTATTACTTCTTACTTGCCAAGATTCCATATTTTCTGGACTTGGTGCAGTAACAGAGTCCGTTAAACCAATATGAATGAAACCCTCTTCATCATCTGCTATTATATATTGTACATTGTTACTACTGTACGGAGTATTTACAAGTTTTTGATTATATTTATCCTATATAACATTTTATGCTTTAAAAACGTTAAAATATTATTTCCGATAAATATAAAAGAAAAAATGAGTGCTAGTAACTTTTAATATATGAAATTTTATGGGTGCAAAATTAATTGCAATTTCTTGTAGTTGACCATGAAATTCTCCCACTTTCATTGCATGATCCAGGTTGTATGATATTGGGATACATGAAAAGATAGCAACTTTGTGATGACCATCATTAACTCGTAACATACCACGTGTCCCATAAATAGCAATTAATATTACATGCCATTGTCCAATCTAAAAAATATTCATTAAACTTCTCTTGCATAGACACATATATATTAGACTTCTCTTACTTCCAATTTATGTTCATAAATTAAACTCAAAGTACAGCCAGAGATTTGAGACAAAAGTACTATTTTTCCATTGTGTAGAAACAGTTTTATAAAATCACATATTGATCCCTTACAATTATTCTCAAACCGATAAATGATAACACCCAAAGGTGAAAGTGGTAAAAATCTTAGATACATATGAAGTAAACGCGAATGTTTTCCATTTATATTGTAAAGAAGACTGCTTTTTTCTGTGAAATATGCTACCTCATGTGATCTAACTTTTAAACAAAGCTTGATTAAAATGATTTCTTAACATTAGTGGTGATAACATTATCTTTCAGATATACCTAAACACGGCTTAGAAAAGCATTGACGAACTTCAGAAGCAGAACCAGAACAAGACATTCCACCACCACTTGGAGAAGGATTGTTACACATCCGATTTCTTAACTGTGTACCTATTCCACAACTTGAACTGCAATGTGTCCAGACTGTCCATGATGACCACATCCCATTTACTGATAAAAACTTATATACAATTTCAATGAAGAAATTAATTTTATTTTAAATAAAGTAATATTCTTACTAAAACAATTATTGATTGAACAACCCTTTATTTCTTTAGTTGAACCTTTACATGAATTTCCTTGCAGATTTTGTGCATCTGAACACGAACGTTTTCTTATTTGAATACCATTACCACATTCTGTGTTGCATGCACTCCATTCACTCCAATTAATCCAAGTTCCTGCTGTTAAAATATAAATAAATATAATTATGCTGCTTCCTTTCTAATGTACATAAAATTTGTAGTAATGTACTTAAATGTTTCTTGCAGTTATATCCCATGCAACTCTTCACTTCAAATGCTGAATCATTACACATCAATTCAGAATTGGAAGGTACTGGACTATTACAATTTCGTATACGATATTTTTGTCCTTTGCCACAAACTGCAGTACATGGTGACCAAGCTTCCCAAGTACTCCATCCTCCAGGCCCTATGAAAAATATTTTTGTATACATCAGAGTTGCAGTATAATATATAATTTCATGTTAGTTGCATACTTGGACATCCAACATCATATTTGACACAGTTCATAGCATTCCAATAAAGCATCTATGAAGGATATATAAAAACATACTTATAAATTCCATGATACATTAAAGTTTATTGTTTTACTTCTTACCGCATTGTTTCCAAGAATCTTTTCTACAATCAAAAAAGTGCAATCAAAAATGAAACACAATTCAATTAAAGCAGGTAATTCTTTATGAAATTCTTTTACAATTTCCATTTCCCTCTTACGTATAGGATGATTGCTTACTACTTCTTCGTAATCATTCATTCTACAACCTACATAGAAACTTATTTATTTAAATTACTTATAAGATTATAGCATATCATTTTATCTATATTTCACTATACCATTAACTTGACAATTTTCAATTTGATAACTAGGACCAATGCACGGAGCTCCATCATTTGAAGGTAATGGGTTATTACAAGTACGATGTCTTGTCCTTTTACCTTTAAATCCACATTTTCCAGAACAAACACTCCAGGAACCCCAAGAAGTCCAACCACCATCTATAGGACATGATTTATCATCTCCTAATCCAAGATCACAGTAAAGATCTTGTATTGTGTTAGATACTTCATCTGTAATAATGGAATAGAGATTATATTAAGTTTATACCATCAATTTATTCATATACCAATAGTTATAAGATAGACTAGAAGAATTAAAAAACACATTGCCATCAAATAATTTTAGGTTTTCATACTGTAATCAAACTTGGATATATTGATTCAATGTTTTATTTTGATACTAACAGTTTATAAACATACTTTCAGTATTTCACTTTTAAATTCAAATAGCTATGTTCACTTTCATTCAAAAAATGAACCAATCAAATTTGTTGTAGTTCTACGCATGTACAACGGATTGTGACAAGTTAAAATTACTTGTATGGCGCGAGCGGCACAAACCTCGTGAAACGAATAGTAGTAGTGAAAATATATAAATAGTAAGAAAATATTGTAGTAAGTGTTTTTTTACCAAATTGTACATATTAAAAATTTTTTAATTCAATTATTCTTTCAAAAAGTATGTTGTTACCGTGTTAGTTTGTGTATTATTTAATGTTTAAGTAGATAAACAAATCTAACCTTTTACCAAAGTACTTTACCGGAATTGCAAAAATTAAAAAATTGTCAATTAATTGTTACAAATAAAAATGGTAAAACAGTGTAACAAGTAATAGGGGATACATTTTCATTTAAATATTTATAAATTGCATTCTACATAATAATTGTTAGATAGAACATCTATATTTTCAAATTTAAATTTAGATATTACAACAGCTAAATAGGTATATGTATAAACATCTATTAGATCTATATGAATCATCATTAAATTATCAGTAATTTAAATTTTATTGTTTTTTACGTAGCACAAAAATGACTCTCACAGAAATGGAACCGCTTAAAATACATTTAGATGCTTTAGAAATGGCAGGAAAAGTGGTAGACACACATATTACTGCAGATAGCAACTTTCCTTCTTTAATTAATCTTATGCGATATAATGTTCAAGGTATGTAATTGCTTTCTTCTATTTAATATTTAATTACAATTCAAATTATTAAACATTGAAATATCATTTTAGGTGGACCAACAGTTAGTGGTCTTGACAGTCATGATTATCCAAATGTAAATGGAATGTCAAAATGTTTTTTAAACATGAATCAAATGAAAGCGCATAGTAAAATTTCTTTACCATCTGAAATAATGGAACATTTTCATCGTATCCTTTTTAATATTAAACATTATAACATGTAACATGTATGTTTTAATATATGAAATATAATTCCTTATTATTTATTTAGACATGCAATGTCATTGTATGATGGGTCTTTTCACAGAAATATCAAAAGCATGGCTTACAATTGATAGCGATATATATGTTTGGTCATATGAGAATGAGTAAATATTTATTTCAAATTTTGTAAAATATATTCTTATAAATGTCAAATAATATTTATAATGCTAATACATTTTCAGGTCTGATGTTGCATATTTTGATGGATTAAATGAAACTATTATAAGTGTAGGTTTAGTGAAACCCAAATCTGGGGTGTTTCAATCTTATGTAAAATACTTATTGATTCTTACAACCACAGTGGAGATAACTATTCTTGGAGTTATGTTAACAGAAACAACTGAAGGTATTAAGATTTTTAAATTACTTTACAAATAAACTTGTCTAAACATTTTGTTTATTTTCTTAATTCTTGATTTAGGTGCTCCCCCTGAAATGCAACTGGTTCCTGAACCAATTTTTACAGTCACTACAGATGGTATTGGTATTACAACAATAGCAAATACTAATAGTGGAAGAATTTTTCTAGGTGGTAGAAATGGTTCTCTTTACGAAATATACTACCAGGTAAAATTAGTTAAACATTCATAAGTTTAATAATATAATAATCAAGTATTATGTTTTGGTTGTATAGGCAGAAAGTAGTTGGTTTGGAAAACGTTGTAAAAAAATAAATCATTCCGAAGGTCCATTATCATTTTTAGTCCCATCATTTGTTACTATTGCTTTGTCAGAAGAAGAAGCAATAATACAAATTTCGGTTGACGATACCCGTAATATTCTGTACACTCTTGGTGATAAGGGAACAATTGCAGTTTGGGATATTGATAATGAAGGTGCATCCAAAATTGCATCTTTATCACAAGCCTCTTTAGTACAAAATGCTGTTCACGTTGTTAAGTATGTTTATAAGTACTAAATAATTTTAAGTAACAACATTACTAATTAATTAAAAGTTTTATTGCTTCTTTCAGAACTTTGGATAGTAATAATTTTCGACCATTGGTGAGCATATCTGCTATTACAGAATCAGAGTCAGTACATTTAAACTTAGTTGTAGTTGCAGCTACTGGAACGCGTTTCTACTTCAGTTGTACTTCAGTTACTAATCCAACAACTAGACCACAAGGTCTTCAGTTAATACATGTTAGACTACCACCAGGCTATGCTGCTAATGCTACAGTAATGAGGCCAAGAAAGGTACAAATGGCACATTACAGAAAAGGTATGTCTTGTGTGTAACACTGAATTACTTTATTAAATAATAAATGTCAGAGTTCTTGTGTAATGCAGTTTATTTATTATAGGAACTTTAATCCTTGTTTGTGGTGGAGATACAGAAACTGCTTTATGTCTAAGTAATGATGCTTACCCATTTACAACTTATTTAGCTGAAACTCAGAGTCCTTTATTACTTGATAGTCCAGTATGGGCCATGGCAGAAATTCTTGTAGAACCAGCTATACGTATTGAAAAACAAAGTACTTCTCAAGGGGAACCTCCTCTTATTGTAAGACAGCACATGGAAGCTCCTCGAAAATTTATATTTCTGACATCCCAGGTACAAATTTGAGTAAGAATTTTTTTTTATTGGACATATTCATTCACTAGTTGTTTTACAGGGCGCTATAATTTTTGTACAAGTTCGTCCAATGGATATATTGAAGCAGCTCCTACTAGAACAACGTGGGCCCGATACTGAAGCGGTTCGGGCATATTTTCAGTCACAAACATTAGAACAAGCATGTGCAACATGTCTTATTTTAGCGACGCTTGAAAGTTCTCAAAATGCCGAGGTATTAATCAGGGTTATATAAAGTTCATTTAGTAAAGAAACTAAATCATAATCACTATTTTGTTATTGTCAGTTGGCAGAGTGGGCAACAAGAGCATTTTTTTTATACGGTAGTCAACCAACGACCAACATTGGACCTGCCATCGATTTACATAATATAAACGCAGGTATTATTGAACTGATGATTTAAATCTTATATTTGTTTTGTTTATATGTATATATATGATACTCTCCAATCTAGGTGATATGCGCACTTCGACACCAAGAGTGCCAAACTATGATTCAAGACTGCAAGGATTTCGACCTCACGCACCACTTGGACTTAATACAGATATTTCTTTACAACAGTTTTCAGCTAAGCACAACGGCTTGTATTTATACGTAGGAAGAATACTTCGACCCATATGGAATATGCGGTGTATTAAGCAAGAAGTTATAAATAATAAAACGCAGGTAAAATAACTTATCATCGATTTCCACTGGTACTGTTATATACGAATGAATTCTATAATTACAGATCTCTAGTACAATTTCAACAAGACAAGTTAGTTGGATTCTAGGTCTCCTTCAAGCATTAAGATCGTTTCTCAATAAAAATACCCATATTACAAAGCAGTACGTATTTCATACTTCGTTTAACTGTAGTGATTACATACATTAAGCTGCTGTTGATTTTCAGGCATGGGACAACCAGAAGTATCTCCGACGGTTTTGAAACAACTATGGGTAGTCATTATCAAGAACCAATAGTCGAAGAAAGAAATTCCTTAGCTGCATTAAAAATCTTTATTATTCATGCCTGCGAAGTTTTAGAACTTTGGAGAATTTTATGTGAAAATAATCTAAATAATATTGTAAACTGTTTATCGAAGGTTATTAGAATGCAAACTACCATTTTTTTTATATAGACTCGGAAAATTTGTAACTAATACATAATCATTTTTATTTATAGGACCAGGTCAATCAATTTTCTACTGCTACATTCCGGGATTTAATTTTAATTGGCCATGAAATTTCTTCGTTGTTAATTATTCATCTTATAGATAGGTAAATTATCTAAAAATGAAATAGAGTATTTCGAAAAATGTCTTTATTCATTTTTTTCTAATACTCCACAGTTATCTTGGAGATAATGCTTCCATTGACATTATTAGTCAAAGATTACGGGAGGTTTGCCCAAATTTATACAGAAGCGAAGATGCTGTTTGTTCTAAGGTATGGAATTATAAATCATTGACCTTCTATAAGAAAAACACAGTTTAATCTTGATAGCTTTGCAAATTATAGGCCAATGAAATCATTTTAAAAGCAAAAAGTTGCACAAACCCAGAAGAAAAGGAATGTTATTTGCAATCTGCCTTAAAGGTAAATATATAAAGCCATCTTAATATTTATATATTATACTCTTCATTCGTTCTACTTACAGCTTTGTAAAGAAGTTGCCCCTATACTAAATTTAAGTGCAGTATGTCAACAATTTGTTGCCTGTCAGTTTTATTCGGGTGTACTGGAGCTATGTCTCTGCTGTGCAGAAAGAGTAGATCACAATAATGCTGCATTACATTATTACAAGAATAATGAACCAATTGAAGATCAAGAAGGACGATTTGCTTATATGAAAAGGTATTCGTTATATTCTGAACAAAGCTTCTTATCATGATGATTTATTAATATAACTGTGTTTAAATACAGGACAGAAATTTATAAAGAATTCATTACACTGCTGGATCATCTTTATAATCAAAGCATTTCAAATCCGTTGACTCCAAGTATACCTAGCAGACCTGGACCTCCCCCTCAAAATGCTTCGACTGCACCTGTTACTCCTGCAAAGGAAATAGTAAGATACAGTTGGTTCTTCGCTTAATTAAGAAACAAGTGTCATCGATTCAATTTTGTTAATAATTCTTTATTTTAGTTACATAAAATGATTAATGACGCATTACATTCCTCATGTGAGATTCTTCACACATCAGTATATACCTGGATGATTGACAGAGGGCTTCACGGCGAACTCGTTGCTTTCGCAGCGCCTTCTTTAGAAGCGTACCTTACACGTTTTGATGCACCAAATTTACTTTGGCAATTTTATGAAAAAAATAAAAATCATGCTGCAGCAGCTAAAATTTTGGACTCTTTAGCTACTAAAGAGTAAGTAGTATCATAAACATGACCGAATATGAAACGTTTTATTTAATACCGCGTTTTACTTCTTATAGATCAAATATTCCATTGTCTCAAAGAGTTGAATATTTAACACGGGCAGTGGTTTGTATGCGAAGTGACCAAGCTGGTTATGCTCCATACCTTGGTATTTTTCTACGTGAATTGGAAGATAAAGTTGAAGTAGCTAGAATTCAACAACAGGTAAATATTTATAAATGATATAACAAAAATGATATACTTTTAATAATATTACGCGTAATTTCATTATTTCATAGATATTAGAGACAATTTACAATCAACATCTGCATGATAGACTTAGCGAAGATGCGCTTAAAGCATTAAAATTTTCGTTACTTGATATCACAAAGGTACGTAAAGATCATTGTATTACTATTTTATGAAACACTTATATTGCACTGGTCAATTAACTTGGGGTAATAATTATAGTTGTATGAAAAATATGCGGATCCTCTTCAATTATGGGAATGCAAATTATCTATAATTCACTGTTCCGGCCATCAAGATGCAATGTTAATTCAAGAAATTTGGACTAATATCATAAACAATGGTATTCGTTTTGTATGCTTCATTTCATCAGTATTATATTTATCGAAAAAGTATTGTAACCTATTGTTTTACAGAATTGAAAGCATCTACTGCATCCAATGCAGATGATAAAATGGCTATTTTAACGAGTAAAATTATATCCCTTGGACAAGAATACTCTGGATCGCCACATTGTTTCCCAGTTGGTAATAATAAAACCTTGACACAAGTTTCATGAGATAATTGTAACATTATATCATGAAATAATGAAATTGCAATAATATGTTTCAGACTTTTTAATAAAACAGCTGGAAATTAAAGCATGTAACTTGAATGTATTAAATACTGGAATTATATCTGGGTTTCTACAGTTAGGAGTTTCAATGGAGGATCTTTTAGATATTTACAAGTACGTTTAAGCTATACAATAAGTTACTTTAATTTGCTTCATCAAACTGAAAAATGATTTGCATATTTTTGTTTCCAGAATGATCGGTAAAGATACTCGAACATGGTTAAATGAAGGAAATGAATTTCATCTTATAGAATCAACAGCAAATTTGGTTAATTATTTTATATCCCATTCTAATGTTACTAATAACTTCATCAGGTGAGTTATTGTAAACAGACCACAAATAAATATTGATTAAATATGTTATTTATATATCTACAGATATTTATGCATTAATGATATATTGAAGTCTACAAAATATATATAAATCATGTAATCAATAGACTGCAGATCTATATTGTGTAGACTTTAATATATCACAATCTGTAGCCTATGCATAACATAACAATTGTTTTATTTTCGTTAATATTCACCAATCTGCTTACAGACGGAAAATAATAACAAAGTGTCAAGATGTCATTTCAAAGTGCTTAACCACTCTATATAGCAAACCACATGGACAGGAATTAATAACAAAACTTAGGTCAATTCAAAGTGTTCTAAATCGTATGTAAAAAGGTATTGTTTTTATAAAGAAATAACATTTTATAAAATTGTATAAATCATTGAATGAAAACATTTTGTAAGAGGATGTTATTGAGTAATATACAATGTAAATAAAAAAGTCACAGTTGCTCAAATACTTTCCATAAATTTGAAAGCGGCAATTTTTGTGTTGCAAACTAAAACTTTTTGAATTAATAAAGATCATTTCAGAAAATCTAATCAGTCATAATTGAAATTCAAGATGAAGTTTCAATATTTCTACTACATCCTTATACCTTCATTTTGCTGATCTTTTATGGGAATAAATTATAAAAAATTGTATTATAAAACATTAATTTTTATGCACTGTAATGAACAGAATTAAGTCAGAAACAAAGAAAATATTAACATATTATAAAATAAAAACCATATAAATAATCATTAATTTTATATTTGTAATTAAATGTTATAAAATTATTGATTCTTTTCTACTTATTACTAATGTTACTTACTAATTACTTTTAAAGAAAAGACGTTAAACAAGAATACAGAAATAGGAAAGGGATAAGTTTGATTAGGAAAAAGGTGAATGATTTGTATTCCCGTGTTGTTCCAACGTAGTACTACGTGGTGGCTCTAAAAAGAGCCATGTTTTATAATAATCTTCGGACTCCAGTATTTTAAACAATCTCCTTGCCGATCGATCACCTGCCTCACTGGATTAGGGGTGAAACTGCACAAGGTGGCGAAACATTTCTGGTTTGCTTCGAACTTCTTTCCAAAGATCCTTCGTGTATACTCAACCAGAGCTGTTTTCGTCTTCTCTATCCGTTTGATCGACAATACTCGACGTTGGAAGTAACGGATCTACGTCCATTTCTTGGATGAGTACTTCTGTTACGTTCTTTGGTTCTGTAGATTTTCTCAAATGTTTTTTTAATTTTCGATGATCTTCTAATGCAGTTTCGCCACCTTCCTGCCACATCCTAACCCAATGCCGTACCGTTTTTTCACTGCAAGGAATTCGGTAACTAATTTCTTCTACGCTAAGTCCTGCATCCCAAAATGCGGTGATTCGCGCTCGTTTAACAATGCTAATATTAGGAGCCATTATACTTTATATAATTTAAAAGTAAGTTCAGAAATACCACTGGCGCGAACAAAATACTAAACTTCGAAGACTGAAGCACGCGAAGTGCGTAGTGAATCAGATAAAAAAGAAATCCCTACCACCGTCGTGAAAAAAAAACAATAATCAGACAAGTGGTGGAAAACTACTGCTTCAACACTTCCCCTTTATAAAGAAAACCTACGACCCGTTTAGCAAGAGAACATGCATGTTTCGCGCAACTTGGCTAACTTCAGCAGGCTTGTTTCTACCTACAACTCGGTCAGTCATATGCATGGTGGACAAAAGTATGAAAAAATATCAGTCAATCACAAAAATGTGATGATGTACGAAGTATAGAAAATGAAAGATCACTGGGTATATAGACGGAGTGCTACACGATCATTAATGCGCGTGCACGTTGCTCTTGATTATTAAGCATTCTTCGGCCAATCAGAAATAACATGTGCAGAATCAACGAAAACTAGTCGACTGTCGAATGTGTTCTCTCGTTGAACGGCCTATAAATACGCTTGCGCGTTGCATTTGGTTATGAAGTGTTGCGCAAAATAAACAGAAACTTTTCGGATGAGAAATGTGACCTCCCGTTGAATGAATAATAGCACTGTTTGAATTTCAAACTACACGCAAAAGCACAACAAATATCTACCTGTGACAAAAATAAAAGAGCAAAAAGAAAGAATTGCAGTTTTTTGTTGGACATTCGTAGACTTCTGCGAAAGAAACGTTGAAACTATTCTTATGTCATGAAACTCCCAGCTACAATCTTCATTCTGACTTGGTAGAATTATAAGATAATTGTAGAGTTGTAAAGCAGTTTTCAATGAGTGAAATTTAATAAAAAATAAGAATATGTCATTGTACTAAGTACTGACTAAACCTTTAAAGGTGGATCTTCGTAAGATGCGTATTAAACACGTGTTTGAGCTGAACATTAACCGCATATGTCTCGTAAATGGAAAAGCATAATTTATCATAACAGATCTAATGAATTTATTACAAACATATTAGAACATTAAAGAATCACAATTTATAAATGGATATTCTGAAAAAAGATTTGGATGACAAAATACGTACAGAAAATTATAATTATATATTTCTTACCTTTTCAAAAATTATATCACAAATAATATTATAGCACTCATTGAATAAAGCAAAGTGACAATTAGTTTACGGTTACATGGAGAAATATGTAATATTCTATATAAAAAGATCATAAATTCGTATAAAGCCACTTGTTGTAACTGAATTTGGTGGCAGCACTTACTCGTAAAAGAGACTGAAAACATCCAAATCCGACTTGAATTTATGTGTGTTGGTATGTATGTACGAACGATAGTTTTGCTGAACGAATGATTTTGAAAAAATTATTTTATATGTATTATGAAACGAAGAAAATTAGTCAGTCCTTAATCATGCAGCATTTATAAATATATAGTTAATATCTTTGTGGTAAGATTACGGTCTTTTGTCAGGCGTATCATTTAATCCCTATGTATATAACCTTTTTCCTTGTCAATATGTAGTACATTAAGATTAGAACATTGAAAATTTATGTACAAAGGAGAATTGCAACCCATCTATGTATGTGTGTAAAAGATAAAAGTTATATGTTTAGATTATAATACATGTTTATTTAATACTTGATACTTAACACATTGAAATTGTTAATGGTCTGTTAATGTTATTGCACCAGTAATACATCTATAACAATTTTATAATATGTGTTATCAAAATAATATTTTGACATGAAAATATAGAAATAAGTTCACATTATTAGAATTGTTTGTAAAATACAAATATTGCTTTTATTATTATTTTATCAATAATATTTTGTTCTATTGTAGATTACAGCCTAACTTGAATAGAGTCTTCTTAATAAGACGGCATGTTTGTAAGAGTCTGGTTGCGAATTCTCACGGGGGATGAATGAGGAAGAATTATTGAAACGGTCTGCTGCAGAGCGAGATAGAATATTTAGCTGCTACGACCGTGGTAGAGAAAATGGAGCAGAAATTGATCCTTGGGAAGATCCAACCTTTGAAGTTTATCATACCACCGACAGATATGGATTCATACAGTAATTACTTTTACAATAATCATAGCAGATGTTCCATTATTTTTTGGTATATAAATTTTTTAATTTTTTAGTGATAAACGTTTACCACAAAAGCCAGACCCAAATGAAATTAAAACTCATCGAGTGGAAATGGAAAGATTGAAAAAATGGGAAAAAATGACAAAGCAATGGGATAGTCCCTCAACTAAAGAAAAGTTAAGGCGCAGAGTATATAAAGGTATTCCTAATAGATTTCGTGGGCAAGTTTGGGCATTGTTGCTAGGTATTAAAAATTTGAAAAAAGAGCAAGCAGGTAAATATGAAGAGATGTTACAACTTGCGCGACAATGGTCCACTGAAATAAGACAAATTGATGCTGATGTGGCTAGACAATATAGAGATCATATCAATTATAGGTACGTAAAATGCAATTATGTATAACTGTAAAAGTATTAGATATTCCAGTGTTTATATATTTTTCTACGTAATTAAAGTAAATTTCTGTTAATAGAGAAAGATATAGCATAAAACAACGATCTATGTTTTACGTCTTGGCTGCCTATAGTATGTACAATATGGAAGTTGGTTATTGTCAAGGAATGTCCGTGTTAGCTGGATTACTTTTATTATACATGGATGAAGAAGATGCATTTTGGGGTCTTTCTGTATTACTTGCAGACAAGAAGTATACCATGCATGGTCTGAATTGGTTTTATAATTATATCATTAAAAATGTTTTAAATTGCTTCTAAATAAATGTTCATATTTTTTTTAGGATTTTATGTTGATGGATTTCCAAAATTAAATCGTTTTATAGAACATCACGATAAAATTATGAATAAATTTTTGCCAAAATTAAAACGAAAACTTGATAAATGTGGTTGCGATTCTATTCTTTATGCATTAAAGTGGTTTTTTGTTGTTTTTCAAGAGAGGGTAAGGGAATATTCTATTACATATTAAGATATTGTAGGACATATATATATTCATATGCGATTATTTGTTTATAATAGACACCAGTAAGTCTTGGTCTTCGGATTTGGGATATATTTTTATTAGATGGCGATCGTATTTTACCAGCTATGGCATATACAGTTATGAAAATGCATAAACGTTTTCTTATGCCAATGGAAAGTTTAGATGAATTTTGTAATTATTTACAAATTAAGTTAGAAAAAGACTTTTGTTTCGACGATGACACAGTGATAAGCACCATGGAACGTAGTATGGAAGAATTAAAACGTTCTAAGCTAGATTACCCAGGCCCTCCCTTGCCACATGAGTTACCACGAATTCCATTTGGTACATTCAAAGAACCTTCATTTGCGAGTAAGGTAATGTGTGCCTATTGATATTAGTCAACGGTGTGATAATAAATGTTAAAGAATTACAATACATTAATTTTATGATTTAACTATATACGTATAGGTTGGTAGGCGTACCGAAGAATTTAGCGAAGCACAACATGTGATGCGTGAGTCTATAACACAGCGCAGAGACATGGTAGTAGTCGCTGACGATGATAGAGAAAGTACAACACCAGTTGAACAAACCAGTTGTGGTCTTGGCGGTGAGTTACGATTTAGTGAAAGTATAGTATATGGTAACACGAATACTCATCTTCTCCATTTGTCACAAGAAAGCATTATTAAAGATGAAAAGGAAAATCAGAATAGAGATTCAGATATTGATATAATGGTTATATACAATACTAGATTGTAAGATAGTTTTCACAGATAAGGTTTCGATGTTAAAAGTATTAAATACAATATTGCTCAATTTTACATACAGAACTTTACAAAAGAATACTATGTAAGATATATTTTGAAAACATTGCTACTACATAATCGTGAACAAACTTACATTGTATCAAAGATTTTCATTTATAACTCTTTTTTAATGCAATGAAATGAAAATGAAGAGTAGCAGAATGTGATTATTCTGTGAAATATCGCACTGTATTGAAATTTTATACATAGCGGTACAAATAATAAGACTATATATAAGTTTAAAAAATCAATACATTAATGCATGTTGTACAATATTTCTTTTTGCATTACATTAGTATGTCAGGTTTAACCGGCATCATTTAGTATTAACAGTTACAACTATATTATTCTTAACATATAAATAAAACATATAACTTGTAAAGGAAGCATTTAAAGATAAAGACTTTTTTAACTTGGATGTATTACACTTACTATGCGAAGTTATTCTGTTGGAATATGTTTGTTTTAATATCCTGTTGTAGTATAATAAAAGTTACATATGTGTGCAGGAAGCAAATTCTCATTTGATCCAAGTCTTGATGATGGGGCCTCTCCCAATGGCTCACGTCGGTCATTGGCAGATACATCAGTTACCTCGACAGCTGATCTTTCTGTATTTAGTTCGGCGACACGGTCTCAAGCGTTAGATAATAGTCTTGATACTCAAAGTAATATTTCTAATGCTAGCTCTGGCAGTGGTGGCTTGCCCACACCCAGAGCGACACCTCATCAACCAAGTCCAGATGTTGTACGAATTTATGTACCATACACTTCACCTATATCTGGTTCGTATAAAGACGATCTTCCGCGTACCCTCCCACGATCTTTAGAAACCAACAGAATCCGCATAAGAGTTGACCCTGATCAAACACCGATAGTAGAAAATCTGAAACCATTTTCTTTAGAAAATCCAGAAATCGAACTAGATTTGAAATAATTAATATAATTATTTTTACCGCGATAGTTATATAAATTATACAAGGAAATTAATTCATGACATTACAATTAGTATTAAAAGTAGATTTAGGTAAACAGAATTCAATCTTTTGTTTTATCTATGTCTATATTGTAATATACGTAGAGACGAGATAGCGAAGAAAAATGGTTATCATATTAAGAACAGTGATAAACAGTAAACATTAAAACAAAACACGTGTACAATTTTCTTTTTCATATAGATAATCACAGAATCGCAGTCAACACATGATGTATCGTGACATTTCCTTTTCGAATGTAAATCAGTATACTGATATGCGTACTAGTCACGAATAATTGTACTAATTCATACCGAACACAAATCATTAGTTGTCCACTATGGCCTAATTTACCTTCATAAACCAATATAAATAATTTAAAACAGACAATATAGAATCATAAATTTTGATCTATTATTAGTCAATCAGTCAACGATATCTTCAACAATGAAACTTGTATATGTTATCAAATACTTTTAAAGATTTGAAACGCTGCATAATACTTGTCATACATCAAGTTATTATTATACGAAGTTATATTTCAAACGATAAGAAGATGGAACTTTATGCAGAATAAAAACGAATTATATGCTAAAGCTAATTATAGTATTTAGTAGTTACTTAAAAATGATAAAATTTCAGATTATTGTATGTATATTAATACATGTATAAGAAATTACGATAACATTATACATATATAGAAATGTAAACGTTAAGAGTAAAGTATACATAATTTCTGTAAAGTATGTTTCCAAATCTCTGCTTCTGATGAACGAGATATACAAAATATTTTGGGATATAGTAAAAATTGGCCATTGTACGTGCATATAGAAATATGAGTCAATTTTCCATAGTACATATAATACTAAAAATTATTTTGATTACTGTAGGTGCATAGGATTTCTTGAATAGTTATGATTATATTTTCAATATTGTGTATATTTCTTCGAAAATTGTTATTGTATACATTATAAAAGAGTATACATAAAGTTCCATACTCTAAGAGTATCTAATGATCAAACAATTTTGTGTTATTTTTTATAATACTAAAAAACAGAAGAAACTTATCTTAACAAAGATTTATATTTCTCATAATTACAAGTAGATAAATATCATAGTACATTGTTTTTCAAGTTAATTTCAAGCGCAACATATTAAATGCTGTCATTTAATTACAAAATCTTACTGCAGAAATTTACGTTTTATATAATAAAATATTTAAAATATGTAGTGATACATTAAATTCTGATTGTTAGAATTGTTAATATATTTAATTATTGGATTGATTTTTTTTTTTTTGAGATTCAGAGTAATTCAGGTGATTTGTTAATTATTTGTTTCTAAAATGAAACTGAGTTGGTTAAATAATCTAATATGATTTCAATAATAGATAAAACTGGGGAAATTTTTAATTGATAGACTATTGTAAGATGATAATCATATCGTTTAAAAAATTACATTCTATTAATGTATTAAGTGCTATACTGCCACTTGTAATGTTAGTACTTTATTTATTTTAAGTTTCATTTTTTTACAACAATTACTAACAAATATATTGCTGTATATACATAGTATTTAAAGAAAGATGGAATCTTTCATTACATAGTATTTGAGAGAAATTCCTAGATCTGAAACGTGCAAGATATTTGTCAGAACCTTTGCCAAGGAATGTGAATATTGAACAGTCCTTTAATATGCTGCATATTTATTGTTTAAATGTACAAAGACATATTTTAGGTCAAAATAACTGTAATGAAAATGTGCTTCATTATTAATTGGTTCTGTTGAACATTCCTGGACATACAGTATTCCTTAATGTATATAGAATATGAAACTTACAACTATTATGGTGATAATATAAACCTGACAGCAATCACTTGTTATATCTAATAGTATAAGGTAATATTTGCTAAATAAATATTAAATGTTAATAGTTTGAACCTTTATCACATTGTAAAGAAGGCTAACCAAACAGTGTACAGTTCTATGATAATCTTTTCCTAATGGTTGCATGACATTAAATCTTTTGAGAAATTGAAATGAAATAGATCAATAAAATTATGCACAAAGTATTGATAAACACGGAATTGTATAGCTGTGAAAGAATTAAAATAAATTAAATAAGTTATATAAATTTACCTTCGATAAGTACATTCCTTTTATTAAAATGAATACATAGTTATTTGTCAATTCATAGAATTATTTACAGTTCAATTATCACTTTAATTGTTTACACAAATATTTATACACGATTTGTTGAAATTATAAGTAATGAATATTTGTTGTTTTAAAAACACCGCAAATATTTACGTGTATTTCGTATTAATAATGTAAAATGTAATACGAAATAAATTCCATAAATTTAAATGTTACGTTTTGATAAAAATTTTGATACTGCATTACTTTATTTTAAATCATGAATATTCAAAATATTTTAGAACCAGATTATTTTAATATACAAAAATAAGTTTGTATAATGTAAACAACAAAATAAATTATAATTTTATTCGCATGTAGATGAATAATGATTTTGACATCAAAGGTAATGCCTAAAGACAAAGAAATGAAACCTTAGGGAGTTAAAATATATGCCCAAGATATTATAATTATAGTATGTAAGATGTATTGTGCTTAGTAATGCACGTTTCTTACATTTATAAGTAGCATTTTATTCCAGTTTAAAATATAATTTTGTGGTACTGTTAAAGCAAAATTACCATGTGTTTATTAAGTTATAAGTAAAGCAGCATTAAACACATTTAAATATTTTCAGTATAAGGTTTTGTTACTTAAATTACTTTTAAAGTATATGTTAAAAAAGAATTGATTGTTTTGTTCATTATTCACATTCGTATACCGTACTATATATCAATTGAAATTCAGATGTAATACTGATGAAACAAATGTAATAATTAAAACTATAGTTCCAGTTCCAGTTGATATTTTTTTTACAGAATTAAAAAATTCGCAACATAGTATAGGCTTCTGTGTATTATTCATAGAATACTTAGACAGATACAATGTAATTAATAATGCAATACTCATGTAATTTCTTTATGCCTGATAAATCATGTTGTAAATTGATTAAAACTATTCAATTAATAAATAATAAAGATGATGAATCAAATGCTTAGTTATTTTCAGAAATTTTACTTTTTTCCATTTAGCATTGATTTGCAAATTGTACTTGTACGAGTGATGTATATGTTGGGATACATTTTTAACTCTGTTCTTTAACAACTAACTTTCAAATCTGCATAAAAGTTACTAAAATACTATCACAGTAAATTTATATTATGTTAATTCTCTACTAAGTTTACTTCCATACATAATTAAAACAATACATGTAACAATTTTGTTCATATTTATGAATTTATTGTATTTATATATATTTATAACAGATTTTCATATAAATTCTACAAAAAATAATTTCGTAAAATAATTAGTTTGCACAAAATTAATGTAGTTTAAAAGAAAACTGGCTTCCTTCCAATTTACATAGTATATACACGAAATATTACATTATGCATTTCAATAGACTTTGAGCAGTTTTTGTTCAACTTGTGAATATTAATTTTTGTACAAGAAAAATATTAAAGGTAATTATTTTATTTGAACAATAATTTAAATGCAGTTACTGGATACAGAAGCAAATGTGGGTTTTGGAAATGATAAATTGTTTATTAATATTTATATTCATTGAATGCTTGTGCGTCAATTAGGTTTCAATGTAAAGTATATTTTTCAATGGTACACAAAACCCAAGAAAAAGTCATTCAATAAATTTAGTGAAGTATTCCAATGCAACAATATACTGTAATAGTAACTTTACAAAAAGAAAATATATATATAAATATATATATATATATATATATATATATAGCAGAGAAGTGTTTTTACTGTTAATCTTTCAAATACAAGTTAATGTAATATTATTACTATGTTGTACTTTGCAACTGGAAATTATATTTATTAAGAGGTATTGGTTTTCCATTAATTATCACTTGTGGTCCTGTGTAATAACGCCATAAAAGACTGTTTCCTCGCTTTAACTGATTGGTGGCAGAAAGATGAGACCAGCAATCTAACCAGTTGTTATAAATTGGCATTTGTGGAGGAAGACCAGCAATTAACCTTAATAAATAAAATTCGATAAATTAATATCTGTTTTGCTTCTTTCAAAGTACATCTTATGTCCATGTAGCACTAGTATTTTAAATGAACTTACCCACAATTATTAACTGCCATACAGTGTGATACCACTAAAAATGGATATGTAATTGTTGTTGCTGCAAACTGGTAAAATATTTGTGATTATTTCATTGTTGGTGTTATATTATGTGTATCATAATTTAATAATTTACTTACTCTCATGATGGAAACTACGAATGGTTTTAATGCACGGTCACTTATAACATATTTATCAATAACATAGGTAGAAGAACTGACTAGTAACAATGCAGCAGCATTTCCAATAAGACGGGGCACTAATCCTGCATAATATCCCATAATTCCATTTTCCTTGTACACTTCCACAAACGATCTAAATAATCCGCTATTAGTGAATAAAAGAAACAAAATAGTTATAGAAATAATGCATCTACAATTAGTATCAGAATGTATGTGTTTCATGTTGTTTAATTAACTATACTTGTATTTTCTTTCTGCGCCAACAAATTGTGCCATCATCCTCAATGCAATAACATCCAGGGGATGACTAAGTATAATTCCAATTGTTCTACTAATTAGATCTCGTATGAATTGATATATGCAGTTTTTACGTTCATGTCTATAAACAAATAAAAAATTTTAATTTATCATGTTTATAGAATTGTTAATTTTAGATATTATGATATACACATATACATATATTTACTCTTCTCTTTGACATTCATCGTAAGTATCTGTATTTTGTTCGTCGTTAAATTTTATAAGCTTGGAGGTTTTTTCAAAAGCTACAGCACTTACAGTGTAGGCACATAATTTTGGCATAAGGCCACAATAACATCCAGTAAATCCATCCACACTTTTTATATACCTAACTGTAAAGTAATAAAATGACAAAAATGTATTGATTAAATATCAAATAAATTGTGCTTCCATGACAAAATAATTTCAACATGTTTTATAATCTGTAATGGTAAGGGCAAAGCAAAGTGTTACAAAGTACTGTACCCATCAAAGAAAAATGAAGACATATTATTATTAAAAATGTGTTTACCGTATTGAAAAATATTAGGTAAAGCTAAAGCCGGTTGTCCAAATAAAGTAGTTGTTGGTCGTGGTGGAATGGGTTCATATCCTATCTATTATATTACAAATAAAAATTATTGACTTACGATAATCCTGTCTTTTTTAAATGGTATATCTACTGTATGTATTTACCTGTATTAAAACTTTAGCATATTCAATTGGATGCGAAACAGTATTTGTTAACATACGAAATGCGATATCGGGCCATAACGGTTCATCTTCCGGGGATATCATATTTAATAAGAATTTATCCTGTTTAAGTATCAGTTACTCTGTAGTATTGTTTATTTAATGATTTTGAAGAACGGTTCCAGTTAAGCTTCAATTAATGCATTGAATATGGTATAGTTCTCCCATTAAGCAAACGCATGCTCGCTACTGTCTTTCGCATTCGGAAACTGTTGGAAACTAGGTAATGTCACCAATATATTCCGAGATAGTAAGTAAAAAGAAATAAATTGTACATTTATAATTTTGCTAGATACGAAACTCAATCATATTTATCAAAAACAAGTGAATGCACTGTATGAATATGTTCAAAGACAGAATACTGTCCAATTAATGTTCTGTACAATTTCATTTTTTTATACATTAAGTTTATGAAATTTATTCGAATATTCTGTTCTATAATAATTTTATGAATGAAGAGACGCGTTAAAAATAGATACAAATTACGTGAATTTTGAAAATTGGACATTACGTTGTATACAGCGCTCTCTACTGAGGAAACTTGGAAAATCATTTTTCTAGATTGTTTCGTCACGAGTTTCTAGTGAGGACTAGTGAGATAAAAAGGCGTACGACGTGAGGGATATCGTGCTGAGCTCATCTTACTATTTATGATTCATCTGTTCTTGCTTCGATGGCAGAACTACGTGCAAAGTAACCGAGTAGTGAATGTGATGTTTTGTGAGGGCTATAACGAGGTAAGTTTTTGGTTATTTCTAACGTTAACGACATTACATTAATTTGACGTATTTTATTGTGACAAACGCGAATATCGTATTTTCAATTCTACATAGAATGGATATTCAATGAATGAGAGAAGTAGCGACAGTAATTAAAAAAAGTTTGATCTAATTGCGTGATTGAAACGATGTGCGTTTGAAACATTTTTTGCGTACTTTTTATATTTATGGAACTTGGCTTTATACTTTAAGGAGTACAAAAAGAAAAAGAAATAATAATCATTGCGTAGAAAACAGTTGATGAGCAAACGTTATAGTTCCGAATAAGTTCGTATCTATAGATAAATATTTTCCAATTGAAGAAAAGGTTTCTCTGTACTTGTTACTAGTTTTACAACATGTTAATCAATAATTTTTCTTAATGTTATTTGTCTATTAAAATTGTTAGATGTAATTACAAAATGCTTTTTAGAATAACGCAATAACGTAATTTTACGTGTTCATTTGTAATTATTAAATAAATATAAGCAAAACATTTTTTAAATGTAAATCATTCATTTTAAATGTTAATATTACATTTTTTTTACAGTTATTGTTGGAAAAAAACAGTATTGCAGAGAATTGTGAAATCAAACAATTGAACATTTTCATGTAATTTTATTGCAGAATGCCAATACAGGCACCTCAGTGGACTGAATTTCTTTCTTGTCCAGTTTGCTGTCATGATTTTGATGTGGCCGTACGGGGCCCAATATCCTTAGGATGTGGTCATACTATATGTCGAACGTGCCTTGCAAATTTACATCGTAAACAATGTCCTTTTGATCAGGTATGTAACATTATTAACAAGTTATTTATAGGACATATACTAATATGTTTTTCTTATATTGTCAGTACAAAGCAATAATGTTTTTAACATATTATCAAGTCAAATCCTAATGCGTATCTTTATTTGGTAGCAAACTAAATGATTGAAAATGATATATAAATGTATATTCACAAAAAGTTGTATATTTGGTATTACTAAAATATATATGTTTTAGAGTGTTATTAATACAGAAATAGAAAGATTACCTGTAAATGAAGCTTTATTACAATTAGTGGGAAATCCTGTTCCCACAAATGTTGCAACAGCTTATCAAAAATTATTACCACCTGAAGATCATGCTAATTACTTGGTTGCTAAACGTTGCATTGAGGAGCTTGCTCTATATCTCAAACCATGTCAAACAAATCCTATTCTAGCTACAGGTAATACCACTATCTATTTCATGTTACTGTTCAATATTTATGTAACTTATACTTGTTTTTTGATGCATAATAGGGGCAGGTCTTGTTTCTCGACCAATGCAAAGAAAGTTAGTAACTTTGGTAGGTTGTCAGTTGGTTGAACCAGAAGGAAGAGCCCGTGCAGTTAGAGCAGCTAGAAGTTTAGGTGAACGGTCAGTTACTGAATTAATACTTCAACATCAAAATCCACAGCAACTTAATGCTAACTTATGGGCTGCTGTACGTGCTCGAGGATGTCAGTTTCTTGGCCCAGGTATATTATAATACAATGAAGTAATTTATATAAAAACATTGAAATGTGTTCATTTTCAAATATATTTTGTTTCTTATTAGCAATGCAGGAAGAGGTACTCAAGCTTGTTCTTTTGGCTTTAGAAGATGGATCAGCTCTTTCTAGAAAAGTGTTAGTTATGTTTGTAGTTCAACGTTTAGAATCACATTTTCCTCAAGCTTCCAAAACAAGCATAGGACATGTTGTACAGTTGTTATACAGGGCAAGTTGTTTCAAGGTAATGTAAATACAACTACTATTTACTCATCATTATTATCAAGAAACAACAAACTTTTAATTGCTTCTTTATAATTAGGTATCCAAGCGGGACGGAGATTCATCATTAATGCAGTTGAAAGAAGAATTCAGAACATATGAAGCTTTAAGAAGGGAGCATGATGCACAGATAGTGCAAATTGCAACAGAAGCTGGCTTAAGAATAGCACCTGATCAGTGGTCTGCATTGCTGTATGGAGATACTAGCCATAAGTCTCACATGCAAAGTATTATAGACAAACTTCAGACTCCACAATCTTTTGCTCAAAGTGTACAAGAATTGGTTATTGCTCTCCAACGTACTCCTGATCCTGGACAATTAAGTAGTTTAAGACCTCAGTTAGAATTATTAGCTGCAATAGACCCTAGCCCAGGTACAGTGTTTCGTGTAAATATGTTATACGAACCGACGAGATGTTTGAAACTTATTGTCTTCTTGCAGAAACTGAACCACCCACGTTAGCGGAATGTCGTGCAGCCTTAGAAGCTGTTAGAACTGTAGTTGCTGCATTAGTAGAATTTATTCAACAACATGGTAACCGGAAAACACAAGATGGTACTCATAGTGTAGGCCCAGGCCAACCAAAATATAAAGTGAGCATGTGTCGAGATCTTGCACTCAGAGGATCTTGTCCTAGATCCACTAATTGCACATTTGCTCATAGCGACATGGAATTGGATAAGTATGTATATATACATCAACTTTTAACTAAAAAATTTAATTGCTTGTATATAATTTTAATCATTTTTTATTTAGATATAGATCAAAAAACCGAAAGTTAAGTATTAGATCAAATCTGCCTGTCACCAATAATGCAGATACGAAAACAGATAAAGTAATTACTGGATCAAATAATAAGACATTTAAGCAAAATGACGAATTGTCTTATCATTCCATAAAATCACACGATAATACTCACAGAGATAGTAAGTATTTTCGTGAAATATATTATACCATACATTAATATTGATCGATTGATTAATAATCGATTGATTCTTTTTAGATTTTAATTCTATAAATAAAGTTAATCCAATGCAACATCACACTCCGACGAATGAAAATAATTTTGTTGGGTCATTGACAAATTACATGTTACCGTCTCCACAAGGAATAATGCCTATAGTACCAACTAAAAATATCGATATGCATTGTTCTCATTACATTATGCCCAATGCACCTATCGAATATGCTGCACCTAATCTTGGTATGTGGGATTCGTCGCAGATCTCTTCTAATGTAACTAATGGAATTTCGAATAGCAAGAAGGTAATACAAAATTATTTGCCATATTTGTTGATAAATACAATTTTTCACGCTATAATTCGAATATTATTTTACGCTAATTAGCAGCGGACAGTGGCCAAAACATTGGCGATGTTACTCCAACGCAGGATGGAAATCTTAAATCAGCTCGAAACAATTGTTAACAAACAAGTGCCGCAAATGAAATCGGTACGATCATTTTGTTATTTTAATCATTATAGATAGTTTGTTCATGTTTTGTTTTGTTTACAGAATTATGATATACAAGGAGATGCGTTGTCATCAAATTTTTCTATATGGGCAAATACACAAAGTAGTCCTATAATTCCCCCATCAAATATGAATTGTAACAACAATTTCCCGTGTACAGATTCTATTCTATTTGATGATGAATTTGTGCCATTTGATGCATCATCTAGTAATAAATATGGACCAATTTCTAAATTACCTAAAAATTTAATCAGGTAATAGTTCAAAACATTTGCGTAATAAAAGATTTATTACATGTAGCATTACATTGGAACTTAATAACCTTTTGTTTTAGATCCAGCAATGGTGTACAGCCCGCTACTTTTTATGGAGAAGGAGGCACACCTCCTGCAATGTCTGCCTATCGTCCTATGCCAACTACAAACTCAGTTACATCTTGGTTTTATGGCAATCATCAACGTAAATATAATATGAAAAGTAGATATTCAAAAGTAAGATCAAATAAAAATGTATAATAATTGCAGCTTATGCTACTATCGGTGCAAATGGAGGAATACAATCTATTAATAATTCTGGTTTCGAAGACAGTTACATTACTTTTGGTCGTAATATACAAGAATCAACTACGCACACACAATTTGCGCGATCAGAGTGCATGTCGAAAGAGTAAGTTAATTAGTTAAAAGTATGATAAGATTAAAATATAACATAAATAAATTATTTCAGCTTGATTTTGGAATCACAGAAAGTGAAACAACAATTGAAGCATCTCGAAAAGAAAATTAACGATTTAAAGGTATTAATAAATATCATATCTTTTTTTATAAAGGATTTCATGCAATAACATTACAAAAAAATGTCTCTAGCTCGCTACTCAAGGAGCCACCTTTACGGCTGGAGAAAGGTTAACACAGGAGTTACAAATGATTGAAGCTGGAATTAGAGAAAAAGAAAAAGACGTACGAAATTGGAGTCCGTACGGTACTGTTCCTTGGATTCAGTCGTCGAATAACATGCTTGGTACTCAAAATTTTAATCAAGACTATAAACCTGAAGAGGTAAATTACATAAAATGAAATATAATATGCGGTATATTTTCTGCTCATTGCGAGGTTGTTACTAAAATTTTATATAAAATTTTGACCTAAATCTTAGGAAGACACGTATGAGGCTGGTATCGCAAATGATATGCGCGAGCTAGAATTGCGATGGGAATTTGAACTGCAAGAGCAAGAATTACAAGAACTACAACATTGGTCGAGCGAAGAGGACAATTCTAAAAAATAATAGTAAGACGTTGTAATCTTACTGAAGTTCTTCATTTAGATCTGACCATTATTTGTTTTACAAAACATACATGTTTTTTTGACATGTACAAGTAATCTTTCATGCGAACTTCCATGCATCATCGTGTTTCAATTTTTCTAATGGAATAACTGAAAGTAAATGGAATTTGTACTCTTTGCATAAGAAGAATTTAAATTTCAATGAAACAACACCGGATGATGACGCTTCAGGAAATCTCGGTAAATAGAATTTATTATTCTAACTTGAATAAGCGTGCAAATTTTTGGTATTGGTATAGTATGACATAAAGTGGATTGAATACTTTCCCATGTACTATGCCTTTACAAATCTTGGTATATAATCTTGTTTTTTCAACTGTGAAAACGTACTTTTCCTGGAGTTATTATCAGTATGTAAAGATTAGGTGTATGTATGTGATATTTCGACACAAATTTGTTAAAACGCATCAAATCCTTCATGACGATAGTAACTTATATTTAGTTATGCAGGAAGTCGCGTCGTTTTAATTTTTACTAGCCGCAGTAGAAATTTATTATTATAGAAATTAATGTAAAAAGTGAGAGTTAGCTGCCGCATTAAAATTAACATTTATAGAACCGGTGAAGGGTTGATTGGTGTTCCGTTATGAATACCATAATAGGGACATTCTTTAACAAACAGATTAAACAGATAAGAGCAGATTTGTTAAAATTTAACAGAAATTAATGTCAGTGTTTTATAAACATGACTGGATGTAGTATATTTTGTTTATATGTTTGCACAATGAAGCAAAGAATATTATATTACTGATACATTCGGAAAGAATGCTATTTAACCTGCAACAAGGTTACATGATAAAAAATATACGAATACATATAGGTGTTATACATACATAAAATTAACATATTCTGTTAAAATTTTACATAATTAAGATATATATCGTGTTTAATTAAATATATATATATATATCTTAATTATATCATATATATAATATATATAGGGTAATTGATTTTTAGCTGATAAAGCAAAATTTTTTAAAATACAGTGGAGTCTCGCTATATGACCCTGGACGTGATGAATGTAAGAGTAAAAAGCTGTAAAATAAGAGTAGAACTTTTCACGTAATATTTAATTGTCAATAAATTCAAGAATTCTATATTGTTAATCTATTTGTCAATCATGAATTCTAAATTTTTTTAATTTCTAAATTTGGAAATTTAAATATGTATGACTTCCATTTAAAGGAGAGTCATGTAGCGAGACTGCACTGTAGTAGTTTTCGTATTGTGCTCCGTTTTACGATTCATGTTTTCATATTTGAAAATATGTTTTCGAATAAAATACGGTAATTTATATATGCTATCGTACTTTGTTTAATGTTTACATACTTCACGTATTGTTTTTTGGTTTTAAGTCTATTTTCTAATATGATTTCTTGTTTAAAATATTTTTAATTCATTATTTCTTTTTGACAATCATTCATGAATGTTTCTCAAAATCAACGCAACTTATTGAAAGTTGCTAAATAAGATTATAAATACGAATGTTAAGAAAGTGATTTTCTTGTGGTCGTTAATTCTTTTATAACATTAAAAAGTTTCCATTTTTGTTTTTTTTTTTTTCTTCTTTTTTGATAAATTATCAATATTATGGACGCATTTGACATTTTAAGTACATAATGTTTCAATTTCAAATACTTAAAATTTTAAAGGGAATAAAGTAAGGAAAATTTTGATGACGCGTATAAAATTTTCCTTTATTTTGACAATATATAATAAAAAATTAACTATAGATTCCATTTGTGCCTGGTGAAAAAGAACATTGCATTTTATCTTATTTACTGTAATTATTTGAATAATTTTCAGACAGCAGTTTTCAATCGATGATGCATAATGTCAAAATCGGAAGTCTTCATATGATAAATCATAAAGTGTGTTTCTTCAATTTTTATAGTTCTGTAATTATTTCACTTTTTGTTTTGTTTATTCTTTTCTTCTCTTTTTGTACAAATTTCTTATAGCATAGAGTGTTGCGAGTCACTGACTTAAAACTATATTTTACTGAAAAGTAAAAGATATGAAGTGAACAGACTGTTATGCGAGCTGCAGCTCTCACGTTTGTAAACATGTTCGATTTACGGACTTACGAGAAACCGAAACAGTCACATTGGCTTCCTCTTAACTATTACTTTAATTTCATATGATAAACATGATCTAATATATTTAACGTTATTGGCATTAGATTTTGTTCTTATTTCGGTATAACGAAAACAACAATTTACATTTCTCACAAGAAAAATTTAATGAGATACATATAGTTGATTCTGTAGGCAAGATATGTAACTTTTTGATGACTATTTTCTGCATTTGATACAATATCTCTGTTACTTGAAAACTTTTGTTCCTTTATTGAGACATTGACTCGATCAGTCGAGTGATTTGGTATCAATTATACTTTATAAATGTGATACAAAATTTGATCAAACCATGTACATTAATCAAGTTACATCCTCTTTACTAATATAGCGATCTATGCATTGCAATAGTTTTTTGGTTCTATTTTTTATGAAATGATATATAGCATAGATATTAATAATTCCAGTTTTAGTGGAAGCGACAGATTTTTATGAAATGTAGAGATCAAAGAAAGTTGATCTTTCTATCTTTCTCATTAAAGATATTGTTTTACCTTACTGTACAGAACTAGGTATGTTCAAGTAGAATATTTCTTTCAATCTAAAATGTGCCTTTAAATCATGCAGCAACAGAATAAAACTTTGTAAAAGCACTTTACAGTTGCGCAGATTAATTTCAGTATTTTCTAATTTTGCAATACGAGGCACATTATCCTGAGCTGTGGAAAGAAATGTAACCTCAGAACATAACTAGTTTCTTGTGAAAATTATGAACAATGGTGCAATTTTATTTGTTTTATCGTATACTAATACAAATTTCTTTTGTTTGTCATGGAATACTATGAAATATAAAATAATATATGTGTAAAAATTGTATGGAGAATTAATGTTTTTTTTTTTTCAGTGTACATAATTGATTTTAATTTCACATGCAATTATGTTTATATTTAATCGCACGAAGCAATAACAGATTTTCTTGTACAACTTTATGGATGTTTTCATATTTCAATCAATAATATTTCCATTACAGACGTAGCACATACCATAAATACTTAATGATTTGTTCTACATTGGTGATATAACATTGGCGTTGATTATGTTTAGATTCAAGACTATATTTATATATTTGAGAAATGCGTTAATATCTTTATTTATTTTGTTACTAGTTTCGCGATAAAACTATGAGGTCTTTAAAATTTAAGTACCTGTCACAAAATTTGATTTTAGTATTTCAAACACAGTTGGCCATTGTACTGAAAAAGAAAAAAAAAACAAAAATGTGACAATATTACAGAAAGGGGCCATCTTTTAATTTTGCATATGAAATAAAATAGTCTTAACATATGACATAAAAATTTTTGTTGAAATAATTTTTAAACATAAAGATAAAAGATTCTTTTCTTGTACTCAATTGAGAATTAAATCATAATAGTTTCACAAATTCAATAAAAATTTCTATATGAATTTTTTAAGTTTCTATTTAAATTATGTTAGATATTTTAATTCAAGCACAAAATTAAATGTTCCTTTCTGTAAATAAATACCATACATATAGTCAATTCTGACATGAAATATATGTTTATATGATTAATAATTCTATTAACTTTTGCTTCAAACTACTTTTTATGTTTTAAGCTATCTGCAAGATTAAAAACCTTGTAATCTTTTAAATGTTCTTATTATTTGAAACAGTTATAATCAATGTATCTTTCTAGAGATCCATTTAACAAACGTTGCCCTTCATTTTCTCTTTTTTGTTTTTATTTGTAGTATGACTCGTTAATAAATATAGAGTAAATGTGAAGAGGGCTGTGTACACTGGGAAGTAATAAGCGCAACAAATACTGTTTGTGCAAGCTTCAGATTAATTGCATGTTAAACATGTCACTATGTGTATAATAATACACACCTACCTATGTTAATGGTATGAAGCCACATACAATCTATTATTAACGTTCTTTGTTTGAACATATAAAACAATAATAATTATATACATATCGGTATATAATGCATATAGTCAGCAAGCACTTGGCACTTAGCAGTACGAATAGTACTTTCTGAACATTTATGTTAAATTAATTTCTGATTGTAAGATTTTTGTTACTTTATTCATAAACATAATGGGCAATGTATATGTGCATATACATCCAGAACTTCTGTAATTAAAAGTTACCTAGATCTTTTGGAATAAAATGAAAAATGTTATGATGTGTGTTTTGCTAAATTTCTTTAGTACATACTAGGTGATGTTTACATATCTATATTGCCTATTATGTTCAATGTAATGTTAGTCTGGCATTTTTAATGTATTTTTCTAAAATAAATAACAATGGAAAAAGTCACATAATAATATAAACATGTGATACATTAGTAGTAAAATTTATTACCCCATTTATTGTTCCAAGTACAGGAAGAGTATAACATATAAAAAATTTATACTGTTTATTAACCTGTATCATATTAATGTGTAGTTACAATTGTAAATTTCATTTGTGCAAGCGTCTAAGTCTACATTAAAGAACATCTTTCAAAACCTGTAAGAACAATGTTTGATCATTATATTTCTCTTTATTAATACACACAAGCACAAAGAAAATTTGACAATAGAAATATACTTATTAAAAGACAATATTGCACCTATCTACATTAAATTTTTCAAATACTTTGTACTCGTCTATAAGCATTCACGAAGTTGATTGCATTTTGTAAAAAATATGTTTATTAAGAGTAAAAACGTAATATATCTATCTATTGCGTATAAAAAAAAATGTCCAGTTAGTTTATAATTGAAATACTAATACTTGTTCACTGAATAAATAAACATTAATAAAAAGTTGAAAATTCTATAAAATTTTTCATAATCGCAATTAAAAACAGCGCCGGTGAAGAAATTGTCTTTATCGATGAAAATTATCCGCAGAATATACGCTCGTTTAATGCACGATTCCTGGATTTTGTTACGAATAAATAAATAGAGATGCAGATTTTCACAATATTTGTAAATTAATAATATCGTGTTTTTGAAATGTTTGTGATCTACGAATATTTGGGAATTAAGAATATTTCCATCTGAATATTGGAATCTAGGAATATCAGAATTTAGAGATTTGGAGATATGTGAAAGGTAATTATATTTCGTTTTTTATAGTACAAATGTTTTTCAAGTTTTCCGTTAGATGACTCCACTAATCAATGACGCGACCGGAGCAGGACGTTCCAGCAGTGCTGGACTTAGTTGTGCGCAGACAGTTGTTCGGTTACGAGCATAGGAAACGGTGTTGTAATTTCATTATATGTGGCAGATGTAAAATCGGTAGAAGTGAATTTATGCGACAGAGAAAAGGCGTGGAGGCTTCAAATTGTATTCCCAATTACTGTTAATACTCGTACAGGTGGTATTTTATGAAAAATTTAATCATGCATTATGTACGTAGCGTTTCATTGTCTCGTTGCGAAAAGTACGCGAACAGTTGGAAAATCGATGTACGTTGTTTAGTAGCCACCACGTGTATGCAGTTATGAGTTCTCTTCTAGGCGTGTGTAACGATCGAAACACTACATATATTAACAAAAAGGCAGCAAGTGGTCCGCGGGGCGTGTGTGTTCAAGAAATAAAGAGAAAAAGAGAACATCCGTGAACAATAACGCGTGTGAATGGTAAAAACAGTATATTTCGATAGTTTGCCATATAGAAAGTGAGGGAAAAATGCCTGACAGTCGAGCAAGCGTAGTGCATGGCGTAATGCCACCACACTACCTGCACGAGTTGCCGGCTGAAGACGAAGAAAGACTGGAAAAAATATTCCAGAAACTGGATTTGGACGGAAACGGACGAATCGATGTGAAAGATTTATCCAAAGCGCTTCGTGAAGTTGGAGTGGATAAATCTTATGCCGAGGTACCTGTAATTCCTGTAATTTATATTTTACTTTGAAACACACCTATGTGTTACAGTTGAACTATAGGCGGATGTTTCGTACCGGTTTTAAGCGTAAACTTTAAATTAAGAACGGTATGACATTTGATCATTTCTTTCTATAACAATTGTATTTAATTTTTTAAAATACTGTTCTGATATTCATGTGTCTCACTTCGTTCGAACTTACACGCATAATAGATACGTATCATAGACGTTACATGCAAATTACATGTTCATGAATAAAATTGGTATGTATGACTTTTGAATGTTTCGAGTAATAAAATGAAAATTTTATAGTGTTAAAAATATGAATAACAATTTTCCCATAAAATAGATGTATATAAAGTAACTTTCACTACGCTTAACCCGTGATATTTGTGCAAAGTTCATGATGAACTTTAAACCCTTAAACTTTATACGCTTTATGAAATGTTTAATCACAATTTTAATTAATCAATTGTTTTTTATTCTTTACTGCAGAACATTAAAATACTAGAAACCTTGGACTTATCGTTTAGTAACACTGATTTCAGATTATTTAATCTATACTATTTAATTTGAGGAAGGTTACTGTTAATATCTATTCTTCCGACAGAACTACACACATAGCGGCACGTTTTGCGGTTAATACAATTTATTTTGATTTCATTACCGTTAACACACATCTTTGCTCTACTTTCCGCAATCGAAAAAAATGACATTTTAACATGTAAATGCATAATATTTTTTGACTTATATTTAACGATATGTGAATAACTATTGGAAATAATATTTAGCTGATTTATTATATATCCTAATATTTTTTTCAGAAATTTTTAGCGAGCTCAGACAGCACTAAAAGTGGCGATATAACTTTAGCGGAATTCATACATTATGTCCGCGAACACGAAAAAAATCTGCGACTGCAGTTTTCTCATCTCGACAAAAATAAGGATGGTCAGTACATGTACGACAAAATTTTTAATTACCTAACAAGTTTAAAGTGGAAATGGAAAGTGTCCACACCTATTGGCCAGTCCACATAAAATTATTATCTGAAATAATTTTTGTAAAAATCGATCGTTTAAAAATTCACGAAAACATTAATATACGATTTTTTTCATATTTTCACAACTGAATTTTGCCTTTACAGGAAAAATCGATCTGGAAGAATTAATAAAAGCATTCGAAGAGTTGGGCATAAAAATGGATTATAATGAGGCGAAAAAATTGCTGCAGCGGTAAGTTTAATACAAAATAAAACGCAGATTTTCAAAATAAAAATTTAAGCAGGTGTAATAATATAAAATATACTCGTAGAATGGACAAAGACGAAAGTCTTACAATCAGTTTCAACGAATGGCGAGATTTTTTACTTTACGCACCGAGCACCGATCTTCTGGGTCTCATTGAATATTGGCATCATACAAACGTAAGTATTATCAATATGTTACAGATTTAATTATAACCTAACTCGGCCCGGACCTAACTTAACCTAATATAATCACTCATGGAACTAACCTAATCCTGACCGTACAAGTACTTTTATGGGTACTTATAAAAATTTTTGGCATTCTAAATTTGAAGCGTTCCAATTTCGTAGCGTTCCGAGTTCGATACGTTTCCTTTTGGAATTGTTCCAAATTCAAGTTACCAAATTTTCCGAGATTATAGCTGGCTGGAAACGTACATATACGTTTTTGTTGTCTGCGCACCATCTTGGAACCCGGCCCCATAAACGTTCGTGCTAGCCCTGCTTATGCATCATTAATTTTGAATCGAGGAAATTGCAACAAGACTCAGATATCATTCGTTAAAAAGGAATCCAATTTGTTTCGATGACAATTTTTTGTAGAAAATTATTCGATTGCAAGGTTTACTCGTAACAAAGCGCAAGCGTAGCAGTTGAGTGTATAGGTTCAAGTATCTGAATTCTGTATAACAGTTGTACGATGAACTCGAGGGTGTAGTTTGCATGCATACCAGAAACGATCGAGTCCATTCGAAGCTGTGATTCGTTGACGGAGGAGGCTCGACCGGAGGTGTGACGTAGAGTAGTTGTCATTCAAAATGACCTTGATAGTTTCCCAGCTGTTTCCAGCACCTCTCCCCACTGTAACGCAGCCCCTTCCCGAACTGCTTGATTTATCTACACATGCGCGATAAGAGCCAATAATTTTCCGACGCATGCGTTGTGCAGATTTCCCTTTGCACAGTCGATTTCGCATTGCAGACAAAAAAGTTACGAATTATGCGATAGTTCGTGATGATGGCATTGAATTTATTGTTTCGTTGTTACTCGTCCTTTCGCAACACGACGTATTTAAAACAGTGAAAAAGTTCGTTGCGATGAATGTGATTTAGAATGTAGATATTTCGGTTAATACTTGTGGATATTACCTTCGGTAATAATTTCAACGATAGACATCTTTCTATGCTCTCTCGAAGCTTTTATGCAACATTCTTATACAGTATACAAATATTTTCGACTTTGCTACCGGTAAATTGAAAACAGTAACCAGATTAATTTACGTCACTGTTGTAATTCTTGTCCGGTAATATAATATCGCTGTTTACGAGATTTGTACAAGAATATTACACAAGTTTGTCGGAATTTGCAACCATAAACAAGATGTAAATGTAAATCAGTGACAAACGAAAACAATATTTAAAGATAAGAATTTCGGTCGTGGTACACAACATGTTTCAATTTTTTTCTGTTTGGTTTAACATAATTAGTAGTATTAATTACTAATGTATGAAACACTGTATTAAATCACTTGTATCATGTTATTATAATTTTCTTATTATATTTAATTATACTTTTAATCTCTATCAGACACCATTTTACATTTCAATTCTATCCTTAAGTTCCTCTTTTATTCTTTACACACTAAAACCGTGATTACGTTACTTAATTACAATTTTAAATACATTTGTGTAAAAAATAATGACTGAGAAAAAAATATTGCATAGATAACTTTGAATAATACTTGACGGAAGACGACGTCGTATTTTTACAATCTTGGGATTTAAAATTAATTGTAAAACAATAGGTTTTTTAAAATGTTGAAATATCTCGCAACATTTCGTCAGCCATTCGCTAACAGTGTGAGGTCAGCGTCTGTTGATCAGGAGTACAGAATACGGTAGTGCTGTACCACGAATCTTCAAAGCCCTTGGACCTAAATTAAAATTTGTGGAATTTAGTATTAGGCCGGACCACAGGTTATGCTTGCAAACGGTTTCCGTAACGGTTCACTATACATACTTAATGTAGATCGTTCCTGGAAGCCAAATGTTTGGCATTCGTTATTAACGTCTGCCGTTTTGTCTGTCGGTTTTTTTATGCGATGACGCAGTGCATTGTTCTCTCATATATCTACAACGTTGTAATTGTGTTTACGTACGTAACAGACGCAAATACAGCCGGTCAATTGACGTAGCATAAACAGAATTTCATTTTTTTAATATTCGGTTTCATTGCTTTCAACCTTATTTGAGAACGATACCTCTGTAACAGACGAAAAAATAGAATTACCACGTGTGACTAAGCATACTTTGCCTGTTACGGTATTCGATCCAGGGCCGGACAAATATTTACGGCGCCAAGTCCTTAAAATATGCAGGAACAAAAGCGATGTATTTATTGTGTAATGAATGCATTTAAATCCGGGTCCCTAACTTAGAACACCTGAACTTCGGAACATTTGAAACACGGAACGCTCGAAACTCGGAACGTTTGAAACACGGAACGCTTCAAACGCGGGACATTTGAAACGCACCACTTTCCAAATTTGAAACGATGGAACGCACCATGTTTCGAATTTAGAACGCACGAAACACGTGGAATACGGAATTCATGAATCTACGAACGCTTCAACTTTGCAGTAATTATATATTTTATAACTACCCACACACATACGACAATGCACTTAAAAATTGATGACGAACTCCTCATGAATCGTAAGGCTATATTCTGAGGTACATTCTAAACCCACCTCATGCCGGCCCTGATTCGATTTCTGCGTACCGGAATAGTTAACTTTCACATGAAAAGAGGCCACACGGTAAAATATGCTCCTCAAATGTGTCAACGTACTGACTGAAGCATATGATTCTTCTATGTTAATACGGACTTTCGATATTAATAATAGACATTTAATATTGTTATATTTTTATCTAATAATCGTTAACACAGGTGTAAACTCTATTGAACTATAAATGACTTCGTTAACACGAGATTATGACACGTGTTATTTTACACTTTTATTCTGTTTTCTGATACAGACATATATATGATATTGAATAAATAATTAGATTATTTGCCTCTGGAGGGTAAAAAATCGAAGCCAGATTGTAACAGGTATTTTCTTTGACGAAATGCGTTAGGCAATGAGTAATGTAACTAGACTATAGTATGCAACGTAGACGTTACAAAAACATGGTGGGGGTTTCCCCGACTAAATATCGGTTTTAACTCCATTGCCGTTTCTTGGCGCTCTTCAGTCTTGAGATCGGACTCCGAGCTCTCATATCGTTGGCTCATGGCGAGGCTCGTTTTACATACTTTTGGTGTACATTTTATCAAATCGTTATTAATTGCCGTTGTTTTTTATTTGTTACGTCGCCTCGGATCTAATGAATGTACAAACCGATTTTTGTTAAGTTTTAACCACGCTTTCTGTACACGAGATCAAACTTTAGCAAACACAGTTGTTGTTACATTCAGAAACAATGTACTCATTTAAAAAATCGGGACTGTTGAAGAACGAATGCGTTTCTTCCACCTGTCAGGTTTGCGAAGAATTCCTTCAGAATTACCATGAACTTTTGCAACGGGTGAGTGTCTCTTCTCCTGTAGTAGCAGGGTAACTATTTATGGACACTAAAAGGACTAACAAGTAGAAATGCTATTAAGAATTTTGCTTTAGTCTTGATCTATTACAAACTTCGATAGCAGTTCTTATTCTCCGGGGAGAAAATGTTTTTAAAAAGTACAATTCCGTGTTATCCTTTAAAATTTATTTGCGAATTATAACTTGCAAATAGTAGTAAATAAAATTTATTAGTAAGATACATTGACTAATTAAATCGGGAACATTTTTGTATTGATAATGATATCCGTGAGAGGTTATACAGTCGCATAGAGGTTATGGCTGGCAGATGTGTCACGTGGTAGACGGAGAAAGCGAAAGTTCAAGAATCTGGCTTTACGCTTTCTTATAAACTATTTCTAAAGTGAAATCTTTCAAAATTACAAATTTTTCAATAATGAGTCTGAACGTATATCCGATAAGATAAGCAGTAATATTTTTTAATGTTCAGTATAAGTCATGACAGTTACGTTAAGATTTTATGGACCGAAACATACGAACCTTCATTACTCTTAATATGGTAATAAAACAGAATCAAAGGTATAATTAATGTTGACATAAATAGAATTATTAAATTGCGGCAACTCGTGAAATGAATATCAGTTTATAAGAAAATTAATTATTCATGCAGAATTATTACATGATCAATGATTTTTTAACTTATTATGTTTGCACAAGTATTTAAAAAACATGAATGAATCACTATGCGTGCGAAATTGTAATTGAGGGTACGTTGACAAAGCGTGTACGTTTGAATAGCGATCGAGTAAAACAATGATTCATCGCGAATACGAATGTAAATCTGTTCCCTTCTCTAATTTGTTCGAGATTGTTCCTCTCTGTTCCCATAAAGAACCTCCTAGGAAAATGCTAGTTCTACGTATAGGTGTCGATTATATCAATGATTTTATTAGCCATCACAATTCGATCCGTGTTAAATAATGAATAAACGAATTGCCGATAAAACCTCCATTATTCTAGTAATACATATTCCATATTGATTAGTGTTGCGATAAAAATTTGATTTGACAGTTATACGAACTTTATTCTAAAAACATATAGCAAGTCATTAAATGACGCTTCAGAAATACTTATCAGTTTATACATTCCAATAATTTGATTGTTGAATATCATGATTGTAAGTTGCTAAAATATTGTGACCTAACCTAACCACAATCTTAACTCAATCATAACCTAACTTAACTTTAATCTAACCTAATCCCAAACCTTAACACACCCTGATATAATTTAATAATGATCTGTTTTGACGTAGAACTAATCCACTCTTGATCTGCCCTAATCCTGACCTAACTTAACTTCTATTTTACAATGCAACACATGCACTTGCGCGTACACACACACATACGCTAATGAGTTTGCTCAAGCGTTAGATCAGATTTTAAACGAACAGATTTTCTATATATAATACTACGATAATGTTCACGCATTTATAAATATAAAAAATATAAATATGTATTATTACGTGTATCATTCAAACAGTAGCTACTTCAATGTTCTGAGGTTTCTACTGTAAAACAAAATAAAAACTTCGCATCGAAAATTTCTAGGGAATAGTATTTTTATATTTTTTTTTCCTTTAAAGATAACGATCATTAGAAATATTTATGGAAGTGTCGCGAAGAAAATTTCCGTACATAACTAAGAGAAGTACAATGCTTCGACGTGTAGTATTATAACTGGTGACCGGGCGATTGTTATCTGACACTTGAGTCCCGATATCGATTTCCTCGTAATTTTCAGCCGTCGTTATTTCCATTCGTATTTTATAAATGATAAATTAGACGTTTAAACACAGACACAATTCTGTGCTTTGTTCTATTAAGTCTTAACAACCGTATTACGTAGATCGAAAAAATTTCGAGAAAAACTGTACTGTAAAAGATTAAAATGCGATTAAAATGGCGGGAACTTTAAATGCTTTACAAATAAATATTTGACTTTTTGCAACTATTTATATAGCGTGAAATTTGACTTCGTACCTAAATATAATTAAAAATATTCACTTATTTAACTTTCTTGTTAATAATTGTTTGACATCGTTTTTATTTTTTACGGAACAAAAATTAATGTTCGGTCGATATAAAGTGCGCCAAAATTTGAATTAGCTATAGTCGGTTTCAATCTAGTTCCTGGGTGTCTGGCCAGCCAGGATCAAAATAATCGGCGCGTCTCGTGACCACGAGTATCTTCGCATTAGAAACAGAATATTGGTCGATTCAAAAGAAATTTTAAAGTTGACATTGGGCGAAACCCCAGCTGCATTGTTGGCTTTTAGCCAGACTTAATGAAATAAAGCCTGTACATTTATCCTTTCATTTTAGTAGTGCCGTGAATTTATTCGATTTTAACGGAGTGTCTTCCGAAGTTTTGTATATTTCACTTTTCAAGATCAAACGTGCGTGCTACTTACCGAACAATGGATAGTCTGGATTTCGATACAGATATCATCTTTCAGCTTCAAGTAAAGTTAAGTACCATTGATTTGATGTCGAGTACCTCACTTTGACAACGACTATGTTGTGTTAGAAAATAGTCGTGGGTTTTGTAATTCAAAGACTACCTGCACGATTAAAAAATGTATTAAATCGATTTTTTGCTTTTCTACGTAAGAGATATCGGTAAAAACTGCTTGTGTAATCAATCGAAGATGTACAAGCTCGAAATCTAATTCATTGAAACCTGCCAACTTCAAGGCTTTGTCGAACTTATTTCCGTCTTTTGTGTCTGATATTCTCCCGCGCACGGAAAAATTCGAAAGTGCGATTTTTTATTTTCATCTCGATACTGTAGTTTCGCCTTGTACCAAGGTGAACAACTCTGTTCGATATTCTTGGTGAAGTACTCATTTCACTTGCTTTATAATTTCATTGACACTTGAATGTGATCGAATTCGGAACTAAATTAGGCGAAACATTTTTCATTTGGTGCGCGCATCTCGAATGTATAGTGTCAGTGACTGGCGTCTAACTTTAAACAGCGATATATCGATAAATAGAATGTTCTATGAACGCGACGGTTAATAAATTTTCTTTCCCTTACAATGTGTGCAAAATTTTTGACTATATGAACAAATGCATTTTGCATTTAAATTTTGTCGAAATAGGGAAAAAGATGAGTATTCACTAATTTATTTTAAATGCACCCTTAAAATATCTTACTGACGTTAATTTACCATAGAATTATCGTGACTGTATTTACCTGGCCTTGTCTGTCCATTATTACATGTTAACGTATTTATAAAAAAGCTCACTAATTGTCTTTTCTTGTACTTAAACATTTAGATTTATTAGTGTGCAGAATATTTAATAAAGTGAAAGAGTTTAGCTACCAAACTTTTACCGATTGTTTAAAACCCAATTGACTCGAAGGTCAGATTACTTTCCGCGTTGCACGTAACAGTCTCGAATTTAATCAATTGCAGCTGTTTAAACATTAGTCGTGTTATACGGTGTGAATTGCATCCGTTCAGATTATAAACAAAATAAATTACCTGCGAATTGCAAGAGTTAGTGAGAAAAGGTTTTTAAGTGATCGAAGCAGAAAAATGTGACACGTGATACTTCGACCAGCGGATCAAGTGAAACATATCCAGCTATGTATTCGGTTAAATTGAAGATATAACCAGTGAATACTGGTTCCGAATATACAGGCAGATAATATCTTGCGAGAAATCTTTCATTTGTCTAAGAACGTTTTGTATTAGTTAACTACTTTAACTGTGTGGGATCTTATCGGATCTCTGAAGTTATGGCATAGTAGACCATAGTTCGCTCTATCATAAACGCGTAAAACGAATAAACTGAACCAAGAAAGGCAATAAATAAATTTATGAATTCCCTTTAAACTGCACATTTTAAATTATTTCTGTCGAAAGTTAAATAAAAGTTAAGAGCATCGCAATCAGTTTCGAATACTATGTACATATTTGAATTATGAGAAATGCAAACAATCAAGATGTGTTCTTTCATGTGTATGTATGTATATGTATATCGTTGAAAGAAAAGTACGATGCACACATGTATAGAGAGTAGCCAGATGTCAAAGTTTCTGAACATGAGGTGTAAAATAAGGTTAATTAATAAAAGATTAATCATGCACGAGTTACCGAGATTTATTTCATTATTTCGCGGCATGATTTGTATCAACGTGCAAAACGGCGTCTGTGTGTCGGTGCGGTTACAAGAAAATTTACGTTGAAACGGTATAAGAACATTCGGAACCGATAATCATGTTCGTCGCATATTGTATTTTCAGTATATGGACATTGGGGAAGATATCGGTGTTCCCGAGGATTTCACGACTAGTGAAATGGTCTCTGGAATGTGGTGGCGACATTTGGTCTCTGGTGGTGTAGCAGGTGCCGTCTCGCGCACGTGTACTGCGCCTTTGGATCGTATTAAAGTCTATCTACAGGTGGGTTTATAAAATAAATAGTAGCTTCGTTTGTATGGCCCTTTCCACAGATTTATCCGCTCTTACAGCCCCATCGAAGGCCGTATAGCGAGACTGCAGTCTACATATAATTTAAGTCAGTGACGGATTTACGCACAGGCGGTGAAGGCGGTCGTCCCGAGCCCCGTAATACAATATAAATCTATATCATGTAATAACTTCAATTTAATATTTGGTGGCCGGTATATAATTTTTACTTCTATATTTACGATTATAACCGATTTTGGAGAGTACATTTTGTTCTTATTTTAATTAGGAATATAGGAATCTGGGGATATAGAAAGTTATAGAGATCTAATATAGAAATATGTGTGTATCTTATATAAATACACTGAAATTTAGGAAATATAGAATTTAGGAATATGGGGATATAGATATTTAGGAAGAAGATTATAGATGGGGCCCCAAAAATTTAAAACGCCTCTGGTCCCTCAATGATAAATCCGCCAGTGAGCTCAGTAATAGATATTATAATGAAGATGGGCTTGATTTGCTTGATTTACAATAGTAAATGCTTTCAGGTACATGGAACACGGCACTGTAAAATCAGAAGTTGCTGCAGGTATATGTTTCAAGAGGGTGGATCAACCAGTTTTTGGCGAGGGAACGGTATCAATGTACTTAAAATTGGACCAGAAAGCGCTTTAAAATTTATGGCTTATGAACAAATTAAAAGAGCTATTAAAGGAGACGATGTTAGAGAGCTTGGTCTTTATGAAAGATTGCTGGCTGGATCTTTAGCTGGCGGAATTAGTCAGTCAGCTATATATCCACTGGAGGTATAAAATAAACAAAAAAAATCATGCTGGTATGTTATCTTAATATTATATAAATGTAGTAATATATTGCAGGTACTCAAGACCAGATTTGCTCTTAGAAAAACAGGAGAGTTTTCGGGTTTAGTTGATGCTACAAGAAAGATATACAGGCAAGGAGGCCTGAAATCTTTTTACAGAGGCTATGTTCCTAATTTAATGGGAATAATTCCATATGCTGGTATTGATCTGGCTGTGTATGAAGTAAATATAAAATTGAAACACGTAATTTCATATTTTATTTAATACCGTTCATTGTTCATTAATTTAATATTTTTATTGTAGACTTTGAAAAATAGGTATTTACGAACACATGATAAAAACGAACCACCACCATTTTGGATATTACTGTTATGTGGGACAACGTCTAGCACAGCTGGTCAAGTATGTTCATATCCACTAGCACTAGTCAGAACACGGTTGCAAGCTAATATATCGCCGGACAAGTCTCCTAATACAATGATAGGTGTTTTTAAAGATATTCTTAGAAATGAAGGATTCCGTGGTTTGTATAGAGGTTTAACTCCAAACTTTCTGAAGGTATGAAATATATTACATAATAAGGCAATAATAATATAAATAAATTTCATAAATCAAAGTATATATTATTTACATTTTAGGTGGCGCCAGCTGTATCAATTAGTTACATAGTATATGAAAACTTCAGGGAACTTTTAGGTGTTAATATGACGTGATGATTATTTATTTTAGGTGATACTAATTTAATTAAATTATTCTTTAATTACGTTTTAAGGTGTATAATAAATTAGCCGGTCATTGGCTAATATAATAAGCAATTTGGCATGCTCTGCCTTTTGTTAAATGTAATATCGCTTATTTATTGTTAACTCGAAGCTTCCACGTTTATTTAAACATCTATCATTCTATTTTTCGAATGTATCATGATATTGATATATAATAAGAACATACGTTTATAAAATATTTCAAGAGAGAGATTAAGTAAAACAGTGGCCAGCATTAATGATTCGAATTAACTTATAACAATTTTATATTTATAATACACTTTGTGTATGTGTTTAATATGTTGTATTAATAATTTAGTGCTACTCCCAGTTGTGACTTGCATTCATATTTTACTTCCATGAAGCAAAACTAAAACATAGATCCATAATTTAAAAATAGTAACGATAGTACAAAGATATTGTTAAAAAGAAGGTATTATAATTTAATGTTTGTTTTTTTTTTCTTTTTTTTTAAGGGAAGGTAATTAATTGTATCGGATAGTTACAATTATTCTAGCAAGACAGTTCTTTATACTATTTAAAAAAATGTTCTTTAAACAAGTAATACACCTATAAGATGTAATTTTATCAAGTTATGAACTAATGTATTATTTCAGAATACATTACATAAAATTACAAGTTCTGAAAATAGGGAGGATCGAGTTATATTGATACTGTGATATATATGATTATAAGCTATAATGAGAAGGTAATTCAATGCATAACGTCTTATTAACTCAAAAATTGATGTAATTATCATTGTCCTCCATTATCATGATGTTGTGCTATGAATTACATCACAGACTGCACGTTTCATTAATCCTTTTTATTATTTATACATTAAATTTGTTTCATAGATGGATATCCTTAATATTGTTTTTACATGTATGTTCCCAATATCAGTTCTTCAACGAATGAACCTTGAGAACAACTTATGTATATCATGTATATTATAAATATGTAAATTTAGGCTTGCAGTAGTACATCGCAAAATAGTATTGTATGCTTATTTATTTACTTTTTTCTTTACACTAATTGCAAAAGGAATTACGAGTGTTGGTGGTAAAAAGAACGAACACTTCAACAATTTTCTTTTTGATAAACGTTAAAGGTTTTATCTGTAATACAGATCTTTGAAATCGAAAGTATCCTATAGCATTTTCATCGTTTTTCATGCAATAAAAACTCGACGTAAACAAAGCAATTAAAATTAAAAACAATCCATTTTTGAGGTGATTGCAGCATTTACATCCTAAATACATTGTACAAAGATATGGCAGATCAAAAAATTGATTTATGTTTTATATGTTGTATAAAATTATAATATTTCAAAAATTATTTTGTAAATAACGCTTATGAATATGAAAAATATGAAAAACTGTACGAGATTAATGTTATTACGTTTTACGAAAGTAAAAATTATTTCACAGCATAGTATGATTACAAAACTATGATAAAACCGACAAGTCATAAAAAAGCGATATGAAACCGATAATTTTTTAATTCTTTTTATGGATATCCATGCATACGTAAGATATTTGTAAAAAGAAATAAATATAATTTATTGTAAAAATTTAGTTCTTAAGTAAATAATTATCATTGGTTATTAAATGTAACTGATGAGGTATCACGTGTTAAGCATGTAGTCACAAAATGATATTCCTGCCTCGAGTAATACACATCTTAACGTGACGAATTTCGCTTATGAATATAAAAAAAGAACATACGCGTTATATATAACTAATCATTTTTTGCTGTATATCTATTTATCCATATTTATTAATTTTATGTAAATTACCAAAGAGTATCTTACAATCTGCCAGACACATTTTTTATTGCATTATACTTGATATGTCTACTTCTGTATACAAATGACGATAACTATGATATTTAATCTTGAAAATAAATTAATTATATGAAAATTTTTAATTATTTTCACATTGTATTTATTTAAATGCGGTATTGAATAGTAATCGTTATTTTTATTAATACCAAGATGATCACAAAAATATATTTGCTTGTGTCTTTTCGTTATATTTAAATAAAAATAAATATTACTTTGGAGATATACTTGCTTATGGAATGTCTACACAATTTTTGTTTAGTACGTGTTCATAAGCTTATTAAGATAATTTATTGAACATAATAAAATTGCAATTTTATAATGATAAAAAATAAGTTATACAATTGAGAAAACGTATTATTTTATATTTTGTACTTATTTTACGTATACAAATATAAATGAAAAAATAAAATATCCAGAAATTATCATATTAAAATACATAAACAGAATAACAAAATAGTTTTAATGATACTAGTGTCATAATAAACAAATATCATTTTTGAGCAATAGTTCACAAAAAATGTTTTCATTTAATTGTTTCTCTATTAGACATTTTAAGTAAGATGCACACATATGTATACAAAAGTATGCCTGAGATATTTGTTGAGCATCAGAACAAGATATTAACATAGAATGTTATAGTCAAATGCAATGGAATAAGTTATTTAGGCTGTTTGTAATAATTTTGCTGCAGCTTCATCTAAGATCCAATATAATTCTCCACTGTGCGGTTGTACACGAGCAGCTGGCAAATTTTCTTTATCTTGCAAAATTTTCTGTGAGATATTAAATATTAATAGCAAAATTTATGTTTATAAGGTAAAAATTATTCTTTTAAATCCTTAGCAAAATAATCACCTTCACAATTTCTGCTTTGCTAGATCCAACAACAGCAAATATGCATAGTTTTGCATTATTTATTACAGGAAGAGTAAGAGTAATACGAGATGGAGGTGGTTTAGGAGAATCATTGATAGGACAAACCCATAGACTTCCTTCATTCAAAAGTTTATGATCAGGAAAGAGTGAACATGTATGCCCATCTGGACCTAATCCCAAAAGCAGCACGTCAAAACATGGTACACGATCAGGAGGGAAAAATACGGACATCTTCTTAATATAATCTTTTGCAGCATCTTCAGCTATAAGTAGGACAATGAGTGGTTATAAAATTGTTATTTAAAATGGACTAGGTATTAAAATTTAAACATGTTATTTTACCAGATAAATCGGGATTAATTTTTATAAATTGTTCTTCAGTTACTGGTATTTTTCCAATCAATTTTGATTTATATTCTCCGTAAGTGGAGTCATTACTATCAAATGGAACAACTCTTTCATCACAGAAGAAAAAATACCATTTGCTCCAATCAGTTAATATATTAGGTAAACTTTGTGCTAATAAGGAAACCACAGACCCCCCTAATAAAAAAAAAAAGGATTTCATGTTTCATTATGAAATATGTACTTTAACATAAACGATCCTTATGTTAAAGATTATATATGTATTTGATAAATATTAAGCAAAAGTTAAAAACTAAACCGAAAGTGAAAAGTATTAAATGTGCATACAGTTATAAGTAAATAAAAAAATTTATCTAAAACTCTAATGATATAAATTTTTATGTACTCCATAACCTACAACTATACTTTCAGTACAAATTATACTGTAAGTTTTCATTTAAAATATATTTCATACCTTTGCAAAAGTTTAACGCATAATAGTAATATTTTTAAATACGTAATTCAAATTGATATTTATTTGTAACATGTCACCTGATAATCCAACTTTAAATGTATCACCGCTAGCAAGTGCCTCTTCAGCACTCGTTTCAAGAAGGTTAGACAAACATGACACTACGGAACCGTCCCGGGGCTCGATTAGTATTTTCTCCATTATTTGTGAATAAATTTTAAACGGCGCTTAAATATAATAAGCGACAAATTAACCAAAAACCCGATATGGAGAATGGAACTTGTGCCGAATGTAGAGTTGCAAGGTAGTATTAGTTATATAGCCTCAGTTAACAGTAATCAGGATACAGCATTGGACATTTACAATGACACGTGATAAACTCATGATAACTATCTTGTAAACGTTACTATGATTACGCTTACGGTTTATTTGCATATGAACCTATTTTTCGTGTATATGAAAACGCGATATAAAACACATATTTCGTTGAAAGAAATTTTGTTTACACTTATCGATGGCACATTTATTAATATAACCTATATGTTCAAATTGTTAAAATGTTGATTCATAATCAATTGAAATTGAAATTTTACTATTCGTTGTTATGTAAACTGCGATTTAATAAATTTATTTACTAAGCGAAACACATGTATTTATTAGTTTAATAAAAGTCGCGTATATGAAATGAATTGCGATACAAATTTTAGGTTACAAAATTGTTCATACTAACTTATTATGATCAAATAAAAATGCATAACATTATATGTTTAATAAATATAGAAATGCATTAGATGAATGTTAATCAATTTTTTGGAAGAACTACACAACAACCATGTCATTTTGTGTGCGACTTGCTCGCAGCAAACCTATTCGTTTGTTAGGAGGTATTGCAATGAAATGTTGGGCATTCTCTGGGACTTACATACTTGCCTGTTTTCTCTTATATTGGTTATATGGTGGAATTTCTGCCTTTTTTCTCCTTTGTTTTGCAACTACAGGTATACATATTAAGTAAATGTACTCATACTTTAATTTAATAATTTTAACAGTGTTAAATTTATGTACATTCTAATCTATTTTTATAGGTATATTGTATCATAGAGAAGATCAACTTGTATATCGTCCAGAATGGCCAGCTAATTCTAGAGTTTATGTTCCTGCACCTTCAATATTTAATTTACCTTATCAAAGCATATATACTAGATCAAAGGATGGTACCATGTTACATATGTTCTTTATTTCTCAACCAGAAGATAAAGCAAAAAAGGTGCCTACATTATTATTTCTTCATGGCAATGCTGGTAATATGGGACATAGGTCAATATCCTTTGATTATATTTCCTTTGTTTATCTTAATTTTAACTTGAGTTATAGATTAAAACTTAGAATTTATTTTAGACTTCAGAATGCGGTTGGATTATACCACAATATTCAATGCAATATTTTAATGCTAGAATATAGAGGCTATGGATTATCGCAAGGTTCACCATCTGAGGAGGGTTTGTACATGGATGCTTGTGCTGGAATTGATTATTTGTCCAGTAGAACTGATATAAATACAAGTGAAATAGTTGTGTTTGGTAGATCATTGGGTAATATATATTTATAATGAATTATTGCTAATTTTATATTCATTTTATATTTCCATAGATGTGTTATTTCACTTATTCTGCTTTTTATAGGCGGAGCAGTAGCCATCAATTTAGCTACAAGACTAGAAAATTTTCAAAGAATTTGGTGCCTTATCATTGAAAATACTTTTACCAGTATTCCTGATATGGCAGCTTTGCTTTTTGGGGTAAAATTTGTACAGTATTTGCCACTCTTTCTGTATAAAAATAAGGTAATTTATTCTTATTTATTATATTTCATGTAGTTTATTAATTTTTTACATAATGAAAAAATTAACTAACTGTTAATAAATTTATAGTATTTGTCAATTCTCAAAATACGATCAGTAACGGTACCTACATTATTTATTTCTGGTCTGGCGGATACATTGGTGCCACCGCGTATGATGCAAGATCTTTATAAAAATTGCAAAAGTTCGTGTAAAAAAATACTCTCAATTTCCGGGGGTACTCACAATGAAACATGGTGTCAGCCAGGATACTATCAAAATATATGTAATTTCTTAAATGAGTTAAGAGAAAATCCTGTTCAAGTAACATCCAGTCATTGGCAAATAGATGACATATAGTCATACAGCTCATTTTGCGTCCAAAGCGATAATTATATTTTAAAAATCATCTACTACTAACTTGATATATCTTTAGAATTAAAAAATTTAGTTTAGTGTATTTGAACATATTGTCGATCTCTATTGTGATCATTAATTTAATTACAAACATAATTTAGCTCATAATTAATAACGGGGATCAATATTTTATCGAAATATTTTTAGCGATATTGAAAAAATATGATGCTTGAAAACATTAAATTACTATATCACTCGAATTTCACATAATATTTATTTGGAAAAAATATGTGAACAATGAAATAAATACTTACGTCCTTCCATTTAAAGTATCTTGTTAAGGTTGTCAGTAGATTAAAAATATGCAAATAGTTTTGAAATAACTATTTTCATCGAAAGTGGGCTGTTTTTATATTTTAAAGCGTATTATATATAATTACAGAAGTGATAATGCATGTGTGTGTGTGAATGTAAGAATAGAGTATATATATGTACATATATTTATTTTAACTTTTTTTTAAAAGACTATAACATCTTCATAAATATACGCATATGTATGTATTTATATTTACATTGTGTATTAAAAATATTTTATTTAATCTTATGTTTAAATAATATTTATAATATATGTTGAAAAACAAAATCAATTAAATACGTACAAAATAGTATATTTTAAAAAAATAATTTACCGCCGGTCATTTTTATTATGAAAGCGAAAACGATGTCATAATTGTTTTAAAAGAACAGTCTCATTAAATATAAAAATATTAATAACTAAAAAATGTTGTTAAATTAAAATGAATATAAAGGACAGCTGAATTTATATAATAAAAAGTAATAAATTTTAAAATCTCCTATTAACTCTCCTCTTTTTCATAGACAACTTTTGTGCCCATATAATGCCTATTATTATTAAACATGATAATACAGTTATAGCTATTCCTAAAACAATTAGTAAACCACGACTAGAATCAAGTTTGACAGTCTGACTGTTCGCTACTTTAGGGACTTGAATTATAATATTTTCATTAAAGTGTGATGTATTACTACAAAAAATTTCTTCTTCCCATCCATACCAATGTATCATCCTCATGCTTGATATTTGCAAAGGCCAAGCACATCTAGCAAAAGTATAAGATATTGATTAATACCTGTGCCTGTTACTTTAGAGAAGTAATAATTCAATTATTTGTTAAAATACCTTAGATTGTCTAGAAGATCGGCTCGTCTGGAGTACAGATTTGGTACTAAATAACTTAGTATCCATTGTAAAGAACAATTACATTTAAATGGATTTCCTTGTAAATTGATATCATTTATCACAAAAGTATTATTCCTCAACACTAACTTCTGTGATATATAGGAAAATCTATTGTTGCTCAGGTCCAACTAACAATAAAAATATTTATTATTTTTTTGTCAAATAATATTTTGAGTTAATATTTGAAATAAGATAAAACTTACAGAACATAAATTTAAGTGTGCCAAAGTATCTTCATGAATGAAAGATAAGATTTTATTGTTAGATATAGTAAGATTCAGACAATGTGATGAATATGTCATCAACTTTGCAAATGCCTCTTTGCTGATTGTTTCCAAAGTGCTAATATTATTTGCAATAAATGAATCTAATTTTAAATCCGAATAGAACGTTAAGTTTTGAATAGGATTTTTGCTAATGTTAAATTCAGCCAATAATGGAAAATTTTCAATAGTCAGTGTTTTAGGAATACGAATAAATTTATTATCAGACATATCTAAAGTTTTTAAATTTTCAAGTTTAATATTTGGGAAATCTGATAACATATTAGCACCAATATTTAAATATTTTAAATTCTCTAATTTTGTTAAATTTGTATTAATCTTAGAAATGTTGTTATGCTGAATGTTTAATGTTTGCAGTTGAGATGATTCATAAAATATTTCTGTAATTTGATTATATCCGGCATGCAGTTCAACTAAAGACTTAGGATATATTTGCATTTGCAGCAAAGTAAGGAAATTATTGTTTATGTAGATTACTTTCAAAGAACTTAGATGTTTTAGATCATAATCCATCAAAGAATGAATTTTATTAAATGACAAGTCTAGATATTCCAGATTTGGTACCAGTTCAAAAAACGTTTTAGATAAATTGTATATATTATTATGAGAAAAATCAAGAGAAAAAATTTTCGATGTATATTTGTCTGGTACACTCTGTACTGTGTGAATATTATTGTAACTAACATTTAATGTCAATAGTGTAGGAAGCACTTTTAACAATGAATCATCAAAGACTGTTAATATATTTTTAGAGAGATTTAAATCTTCAAGACTATTCAAATTCATATATGTACTTGAATATATATTTTCTATAAGATTTTTAGATAAATCTAGACTTTTCATAGGTTTTAATCTCTTCAGTAAATATCCAGGAACATTAATTATATTGTTTTGCGACAAAATAAGTTTGTCAATGGATTGATATTCATTTAATGTTAGTAAGTCAGGAATTAACATGTTATTATCTTCAAAATTTTGTCCATGACAATCAATAATAGATTCTTCATTTCCTGAAATATACCAAATACATGTAATATTTAATTATAAAACCATTTAATTTCATAATTGAAAACTCGCAACTATATTTAATCAATGATCTAATAGAAATTGTTACTGATAAATATAAAATAATTTAACTTACTTGTATTTGAACACAAACACATTGTACATATATCACACACACAATACTGTATGATACATAAAATATAAATTCCAATTAAACATAAATAACTAAACATTATGTTAGTTCTAAGTGTATATACACTAAATGGTTGAAACAGTTACAGTATGATTACTATTACTCATATTTTGGGTGTAGCATGTATTTAGCTTCAGGCATGATAAGATATCTGATAATAATGTTGAGTAAGTATAGTAATATCTAGTTCATACTTGGAATCAGATAATTTCAGCTTAAAGATAAAATATACAAGCAATGTTTATTTAATAAATTTATAAAATAGTAACTTTATTGATACTTTATGTGCAATAACATTATTTTAAAATTCAAAATATGCATATTGTAAATTATAAACTGATAAAATATGTTACATTTTTTTAAAAAAGCTTGTTATAGCTGCTTGTTTATTATTTTTTTTCTCTTTTGATTTTGGTGGTGTAGATTTCTTTGGTTCTACAATTTCTGGTTCCTCCTCAGAACAACTTTCATAAACATGTACCTTTTTTGTTACTAGAAAACCATCTTCTTCAAACGTTTTATCTACTGTTTTCAAAACTTTACGTTTGTTATTTTCAACTTTGATTCGTGGTGGAGAATCATTTTGTACTTTTACAGGAGAAACATGTTCAGGAGAGGATTCCACTATTCTTCTTTGTTCTTCATCAGAAGTCAAGTCTTCATTTCCTTCATTTTCATCTGTATCACTAGAATCATCCTGAATTGTAATGCGTTTTCGCCTTTTTGCAGCAGAAGTAGTATCTTTGCTTCGATTACGTTTTTTCCCTTGTGTCTTTTTCTTCTGTTGTTTGTTATTATTTGGAACAACTTCCTTCTCTGTTTTTTCTTTTATCACTAACTCTGTATCTTTCTTAATTTCTGAAGCTACTGTATTTTTAACTTCTTCATTTTTGGTTGGTTGAAGGAAACTACTAAGCCCACCTTGGGTAGGCTTTTTTGATGATTTGGATGTATCTCCTTTTTTTGTTGCTTGAGTAGAATCTGCTTTTTTTGCATCAGATAATGTTGAAATACTTTTCTGCTTATTAGTGACTTTTCCAAAAAGATTATCAAAACCTTTTTTCTGACCAACTTTCTTTTTGTCATCTACTTTGTTTTTTGGACTTGTTTCTTCTTTAACTTCTTTAACTTTTATTGGTTCAGATTTGCAGTCTACTTTTTCTTCAGAAGCAGGCTGTACTTCATTTGATAATGTTCCCCAACGTAACATATGCATTTCATCATTGCTACGTTCATTATTTTCAATACATTTAATAGCACTGTATTTTATATCTCCATTTTCAGCCATTTCAAGTAATTGTATATTAGGTAATACCTTTTGGAGACTATAAATATGTTCAGATAAAACTTTTTCATATTTTTCTTTAGCTGATTCCAAATCTTTTTCTTTAACAACTTCAACTCGCATGCCATCATCAGGTAAAATGCCCATTAATAAAAGAGTACAATCAAAACTTTTCTCTTTCTTGTATTTCTGCCAGAATTTCCACAAAATTTGTTTCGCTATATCAACATGTACCTCCAACTCTTTACTCAACCATTTGTAAGTTACCTAAAATTATTTTAAATATTAACACCTTATAACTTCTAAACTTATAAAATCTAAAAGATGATCAACCAGAAAAATGTTAAAAATACTCACTAATTTATCATCATCAAATATATATCCAGCCACAGTTTCTAAATATTCATCTAGCGATTCTATAATCATGTTTGATTAAATTTTTAATTAATGTAAATAATAGTTAATTAATCCAAGTATAAAGGTTATGTCTTTTGTTAATAATTTCGTGCAACTGGTTTAAAGTTTTCAATATTACCAATTATTAAAAAATTACTATAGCAGAAACTCTGTATTTTTCAAAATTTAAATTTCAGAAACGGTTATGAACGATTTGTATTTTTTTTTAAATTCAAAATTACTTTATTATTTACTCAATGGAAAATCATAATCAAATCGCGCAACACAGTCAGCATAAGTTTTTCATTCCATCGATAATATACTCAGTGGACAAAAATATGTTAATAAGAGGTAGAGGTTATGATGTACAAAATATATAAACTATAAGATCACTAGGTATATATATTTGGCGTAACGAAAATCACCAAGCGCATGCACGTTGCTCTTGGTTACCAACGTGGTTCAACCAATCAGAATTGACATGCGCAGAATGAAGAAAAACTCATCGTTTAATAAGTATGATCTCTCGTTGAATAAATAATATAAATAATTACAAATAACAGAATACGTTTACTCATAGTATATTCATTCATCTTATTAATATATCGATGTATTATTAGATAACAATATGTATTGTTCTAATGTGATACTGAGGTATTTATATGTTCGCGTAAGAGGATTTGAAAATTTATATTTATTTTACTAGATATTATAGTACAATAGTTATATTATTGTGGTAATACTATGTTGGTGAAAATTTTTTCAGAACGCAAATTTTGTCAATTAGAAGAGCGAGCGGTCTTATAACAAACAAAGTCAATTGTTGGATTGACGGTTCCTCGTGGTAATCCATTAATGGCGACGGAATTATTTTAAGTGATTACTATAATAATTTGATGAAAATTGAAAAAAAAGAAATATGGTCTCGGTAATGCAGCCATTCATGGTGAGTGGACAACATTGAAAAGACAAAATGCGTTACCGGTTTTTCTTCTGCTTTTGACAATGGCAACTTATTTTCTTATTTCCATTGTAACATTCTGAAACATAAATAACTAATTATATCACAGGATGTTGAGAGCTCGAGAAGTTATATCGATGAACTATACTCCTTGGATCCACAAAAATGCTTAGAAGCAATTATGTGAGTAAAAATCGTACTTAACCTCTTAATTTGTTTACTAAAAATGGTTACTTATTGAAGTCATTATAATAATCTTAATAATAATGTTCTTTACTTTAATGGTCAATTTTATTAATCTTTTATCCTGATTTTTAGATGTCTTAAAAACTCTGTGATTGGAAGTAATAGACAAAAAGGTTCTGTAATTGCTCAAGGTGTAGTACCTCGTTTATTACAACTTCTTGGCGATTCATCAGATAGAATTGGAGATAATATAAGATTAGAGGCTGCTGTAACATTAGGTTCTTTGGCCAAAGGAACAGATCAACATGTATTGGCACTTATAGACCTCGGTGTAGTGCCGTTACTTTTTCAGGTCATATTATCTACACCTGTCTCAGAAATACCTTTAGAAGGGAAACCAAAAGTAACAGATTTGTTAAATGAAGCATGCTTACGTTGTTTACGTACTGTATTTCAACATCCAGCCGCTCCAGTTCATTCAATATATCAGGACCCTGCATTGGTACCAAGATTAGTATCATTAGCAAATCAGTCTGTTACATGTCAGATTTGTGTAGCAACAATTTTAACGACAGCATGCAAGGTAAAGGTAGGCTAAAGTTGTAACAGTTGAATATTAGATGATCAGCAATAATAATTTATATTATTTTTATTAGACAACAGAAGATCAGAATGCATTATCAAAAGGTGGAGCAGTAGAAACACTAGCAATGCAGTTGGATTCACCATTACCTGATGTACAGTTATCAGCTTTGGCTTGTTTGGCAAATATGTGTTATAAAAATTATAGGGTATGTCTTATGGTTGCTTCCGCGACTACAAGTAATACACCACATGGTAGACTTGTACCTGTAGCATTAGGACAATTAATGGGTCGTGAAAAAAGCTCCTTAATTCAACTTGAAGCTGCAAGATGCGTCACATATATGCATAGAACTGGGGTTTTATTGTATAAAGATCCGAGAATTATATATTGGGCTTTACCTTGTTTAGTGAGACTCTGTCACAGAGACCATCCTCCTCGTGAAAGAATAGCCGCGGCTGAAACTTTAGCTTTTCTTACCGAAGTTAATACTGAATTACAACGCCTAGCTTCCATCAGTAATCATTTAATTCCTACACTCGCAGAATTACTACGACCTCATCCACACGTAAGTGTAATGTATTTATTAGTGTATCTATTTGTCTGCTTAACGTTATTACTTTCTTTAGGTACAAGATGCAACGTTAACGCAAGACATGCGACAAGCCGCGTTCAGAGCATTTGCATCTCTAGGTGCAAATGATGAAGATATTAGAAAACGTATTATCGAGACAGAAAGTCTTATGGAACAGGTAGTAGCAGGTCTGCAGGATCCTGGAGGTTCTCATGTACGTTTAGCAGCAGTTAGATGTTTGCATTCTCTCTCTAGAAGTGTTCAACAACTCAGAACAACTTTTCAAGATCATGCCGTTTGGAGACCACTGATGCAACTGTTACATGGTGCAGATAAAGGATTAGAGGGTAAAACATGATAGTGTTTTTACTCAATAAGAGATACATGTATCTATTAGCAATTATTATTAGAATAATATAATTTCAACAAGATTGTAAAATATCTCAGTTGCACAAAATCTGTTTATATCAAACATTTATGAAAATATCAATACTTATCCATAATTATTATTAATCATATTATTAACGATATTTATTATTAGTAATTAATGTGGTTTTATTACATAGGTAGAGGCGAAAGCGAAATTGATTTATTAACTGTTGCTTCAAGTACTTTATGTAACTTATTATTGGAATTTAGTCCGAGCAAAGAACCAATTCTCGAATCTGGTGGAATAGAATTGTTATGTTCGCTTACAAAACGATGTACACCAGCGTTGCGATTAAATGGAATTTGGGCTTTAATGAACGTGGCTTTCCAAGCTGAACAGCAAGTGAAATTGCAGATTTTACAATGTTTGGGAACTGATCAAATTTTTTGTCTTCTGGCGGATCAAGATATACCAGTGTTAATGAAAACGTTAGGTTTATTACGAAACTTGCTCTCCACAAAAGCACATATAGATCGTATAATGGGAGAACATGCGGCGCACGTTATGCAAGCTGTCATATTAGTTTTAGAAGATCCAAGACATCCAGCAGATGTAAAAGAACAAGCTTTGTGTATTTTAGCAAATGTAGCTGACGGTATTCGAGCAAAAGATCATATTATGGCTAATGAAGATGTGCTTAAAAAACTTATGGATTATATGGTGTGTGAAAATATTGTTTTTATCTTTTATGTTCAATTTTATTTTTTATATTTTCGTTTTGCTTATTCGAATAATAGAATATATGTTTTTCTGTTTTATGATTTTCATAAGCCATACTGATTATTCTTCAATAATATTTTATCAAAGTAACGATAAAAATTTATAGTCTCTTATAATAATTCAGATGCATAGTAACGTGAAGCTGCAGGTTGCTGCAGTCTTTTGTGTGTGCAATCTAGTCTGGCGAGAAGAGCCTGGTGCTGCGCAAAGGCAAGCGCGTTTAAAAGAATTGGGTTTTTATCGTATTCTGCAACAGTTACGTCAAAGCAAGGATCTTCAATTATATGATAAGTATGACGAATAATTTCATCCTAAAATTTCTTTTCATTTTTTGGCATGGTTTTACAAGGTTTTCAGTTATAATATTATGAAAATATTTCTGATTTTTTACGTTCATTTTGTTTCAGAGTTAGAACTGCCGTGACCCAATTTTACGACGCATAAATTTCAAACGTATTACCGATTAAAATTAAATTTTGATTTAAAATTCTTTGAAGCGTGAATTACAATGATATTTTGGTGTTAACACTGTGATCCTGTACTTTCTTAATGCATAAGCATTTTATATTTATATAGAAAAGATATAAAGCAATATCCCTGGCGATGTAATGTGCTTATGTTGTATTTATTTAATTTAAAAAAAGAAAAGAAAGCAGAATATGATATTTCAGTATATTGAAAAAAGGTATGCGTTACATTTACAAGATAATTGTATCATAAATTTTCTAAACGTGAATTGTTTTATACAGTGATAATATTAAAGAAGTTATTTGAAAAGATATAAACTATGAAGTAATAATGAATTGCAGTTTTAATATGATAATATAATTTTAACTTGATGAAAAAATGATTATAAATGCAAATAAGAAAGTTATGAAGAAAAAATGGCAAAAAATATTTTTAATGTATTTAAGAAAAAGTACTTGACTAGCATATTTATAAAGTAACAGATCTTATTTCTTTGGTGCGAAACTAAAAAGATACCAAATTTAAATATTTTTGATTATTATCTTACATTGTTTAGGTTTCCGTGAAACTTTAGAAACTGGGAATGTTAAGTTTTAAATAATAAATACGAAATATTAGTACAAACGCAATAAATGAATGATGTCTGAACATTGCATTGTTTGAAACAATAAAAACGTATGCTCTGACTGTTTCTATAAACTGCAACTAAGTATAAATAATAATAATAATAATAATACATTTTAACTGCTTTAAAAAATTAAGCAGAGGCATTGCTGTCGTTGGAAAGATTTTCCATTGGGTTATTAGCTAATGGATCCAATTCAGCAAATAAGTCCAACCAAGAATTACCCTTTTGCTTTCCAGTCTTACTCGATTTCTAAAACAAACAATTTGTTAATTATGCTATTATACTATCAACTAATTTTCAGTAAAGTGCTATTTTTTGAAATACGATAATCTGGATAAAAGATAACGTTTAACAATCAATAAATATTAATTTCTACTTACTTTGTCACCAGTATTCATAGTCAAAGTACTCTTTTGTCCAATACCAAGTGCCGCGTCGCCTAAACTTTGTTTCAAAATATTTGGTGGTAAAAAAGTATCAGTAGACATGGCTGCCTCCCATTCATTTTCAGTACTCTGTTTATCACTGAAAAGATCATTTAATAGAACAATATTTTCAGATGTGAGAGAGTGCAAAGATTGTTCCCCTTGATTTTGTACTTCTAAAGAAGAAAAGTTAGTCAAATTAAAATTGGTGTCAGATCTATCAAATATGTCCATTCCTAAACTTTGATCATCAAAGCTTTTATCAAGTTGAATTTGATTTCCTTCTTGCATATCGTTGGTTGATTGTTTATTATTATGACACGTATTATCTAAAGATAAACTTTTAAAAAGTTGATCAACATCATCTTTATGTTCTAAGTTAGAAGTGGATTCTGTGATTCCATTTTTCGAAGAACTAGAATTTATATCTAATCCTTCAAATTCTAATATGTCCTTTGTGTCACATTCAATATCCAGCAATTTTTCATCCTCTTTATTATTTTCAACTGTATTTGCTGTAGTAGGTTGAACTTCTTCTGCTTCCTCAATATTATCATGAAAATCCATATCAAAGAATGATAATCTACAGCAGAAAATATTATTATTATTATTATTATTTTAGTTACTGATAGTTTTTTTTTAACTTATAACTTACTTGTCTTTATCATCAAGATCATCATCACCCCCCGTTTCCTGAGCTAGTTTACTCGAAGGTTCGGCGAGTTCTCTTACAACCATAAAATCGTATCGTTGATATCCTTTAAAACTGCTTGCTATCGTTGAATATGCTTGTGCAGATTTTTTGGTGAAATTTAGAAGCGTGCTCTGATATAAAACTAGGGCATGACTGAACATGTTACATCTTGCTGCTGCTAACAGGTCTACTTTTTGGAGACAATCCAAAGCTAAATTATCAAAAGCTATCTTGCCCCTGTATTCAAATTATTATGTAAATATGTACTATAAGTTAAGTATAACTGTTAGTATATGCATATATTATACTCACTGTCTAACACGTGTTTGAACTTTGCGAAATCTTTCCAGCTGTTTTGATGTATCAGGATCTAATTCTTGAGAAACATTTTTCATCCATGATAGAGCTGCTCTATATTCTGTACGAGCTTTCTCCATTGCTTGAACCTTTTGCAGTGTATCTTCAATAGCTCTTTGTCTAAATGTTTCTACTTCTTGATACAATCGACCAAGTGGTGCTCTCAGTGCTAGTCTTTGTTGACCAGAATAAGATAATGATTTTCCAACTGCTGACATCATCTTGCCAGCTCTAGTTTTGTCTTGTTTACCGGCATCTTTAAGAAATCTACCCATTGCATTTTCTTCCTGTGCAAGGTCTATGCAAAATTTTTAGCTATAATTATTTTTGCTATTTGTCAGTTCTTTCATTTCTTGAATAATTCTGCACTTACCACATAATCTTTCTTGATATTTATCAATAATTCTTTGCAAATAAGAGCAGGATTCTTGAATACTGCGAAATAATTCTAGTTTAGCATCTAGTTCTGCATCAGATGCTACTATACATTCATCTTCTTTTTTTCCCAATTTTCTTGATAAAGCTTGCTTCGTAACCCAGAACTGATGTTGCATTTTTGTTATGGCAGAATCATCGTGCATGTTAGTTCTTTGTACCCAACAATCGAAAGCATTTCCTGATACACCTGATCCATTTTTGTTACTAAAATATAACAATAGATAAATATTATGAAAACTTTTTCAAACTATAATAAGAACCAAAAACATAATAGGTCAAATTTTAAATCTGTAAGCAGATGATACCTTTTTATGAACACTCTGAGATCATATATTGTTTAAAGTATACATAATACTTTAATCACTATAAACTTCATTGAGCAACAACAATTTCATAATAAACATACTTACTATGTATTCATCATGAAGATATTGGTTTAAAATTCGAATTGTAGTAAATGTTCACAAATCAAAGTTATAAAAGTGATTTTAAAATGTTATTTGAAATGACAAATTGCTTGTAAATATCATATTTGTTTAACACACATATTTAATACGTTCAAGTTAATTAAAATAGGTTGTTTAGACTTTAATACTGATAAGAATACAGACACATCCTTTTCCTGTCAACTTGACAGCAGAAGATAACAGGCAGTACACTGGTGAGCATGGCAGGTTTCTCTAGGGAAAATGGCAACGTAGGGGAAAAAGGATTCAACCTCATTGCTTATTGGTTGCTAAACTTTTAAATTTTAAATTTTGGAAATTTGGGAATTCGCAAATTTTAAAATTTGAAAAATTAAAAATTTAAATTTAAAGATTTAAAAAGTCTTAATTGTAGTTATTTTCTATGCAGTGGTAATTTGTGATCAGTTGATAAATATTTTTCGTAGGAAAATGGAATCATTTCTTTAGTAAAAATATAAAAAAAGATATTATTTATTTATTTTTTTTCTCTATGTATCGACGATAGCATTCGAAGTTACAAACCTCCTCTACCGTCAAACTATACTGAAGTTAACCACGTTGCGCAGATTGAGTATGTTCTCCCACTGTGCAAAATATAAATATGATACATAAACCAATGTTTGTGTGTAACATATTAACTATTAACGCATTAATGATATGTAATATAAGTATGTATATTTATTTGTAAACAATTACGATCTTACTGTATAAATGTTTTAAGCAACATGACTCCAGAAGTGTCTAAAAAAATTATAAATCATAAAATGGACGATTCTGTAGAGAACCTTTACGAACTGGAAAAGTGTAGTAAATGGATTGACGAGTGTAATTTAAATAAGGTTTGAATATTTCATTTATGTAATAAATGTCTTGTAAATTATAATTAATCGAATTATAGCAGAAGACTTATTCTGTAATTTTCATTTTGATGTATTGTAGAGGTTATTCTGTTCATCATAACACTTGTACTTATTAGAATTTTATAAATATTTCTTAAGAGTTACATATGATGTTAATGAAATGTAAATAAACATATCATGACCAAAGTAAAAAACATAATTGTATTTATAGATATGAAATATTTTTAGGTATGCCTACAATTTCCTGATGACCTTTTACCAGATTCAGTAGAAATTGCATTACACTTAGAGAGACGTATTAATAAGAAAGTATACATTTTGGGAGATACCACTTGTGGTAGTTGCTGTGTTGATGAAATTGCAGCTGAACATATTAATGGTGATAGTATAATACATTTTGGTCATACTTGTCTAAGTCCTAGTATACGTCTACCTGTATTTCATGTTTTACCAAAAAAAGAAATTGATATAGTAGAATTAATTAACAAATTTAAATCCAATTTCGAAAATAAGTCTGAAAAAATCTTGTTTTTCTATGATGTTGCTTATGCACATAAAATTGGTAAGTTTTTTAAAATCAATATAATAAAATTTAATTTAATCAATTTATTTATTCTGTAAATGTTTTAATTGTAGAGAGTATACATCAAATTTTGAGTCCTATTTATGAAAATTTAATCTTTACTTCATTAAATTGTACCTGTAATGTGGAATTTGTACAAACAAAAAATAGTTCACCTATAAGTATCTTAGGTAGAAGTTTTAAATTAGAAGAAGAATGCAAAATAGAAGATTACATAGCATTTTTCTTGGGAAGTGATGGGAAAACATTTGCTGCATTAGCACTGACAATTCCTGTAAAAAACTGGTATTATTATGAAAATAATACTATTATTGAATATGAAGCTTTGAACACACCATGGTTAAAGAGAAGAAGATTCTTAGTTGAAAAATTAAAAGATGCTAAAGTTGTTGGTATAGTTGTAGCAACGCTTGGTATTAAAGATTATCTTAAAGTAATAACAATGATGAAGGATATTTTAAAGCAAAAGAATAAAAAGTCTTACATTTTGAGTATTGGTAAAATTAATCCAGTTAAACTTGCTAATTTTCCAGAAGTACGTTCAAATAGTACTACTACAATTATTATTTAAAATTAATTTTGATATTAATGAAATTACAATGTATATTTGCAGATTGATGCTTTTGTTGTAATAACATGTCCTGAAAATGAAGTGTTCGATTCTAGAGAATTCTTAAAACCAATACTTATGCCTTATGAAGTAGAATTGGCATTTAATAGTTCAAGGGAATCTTACACGCAATATTGTATGGATTTCAGACAAATACTTCCTACAGGGATGAATTATGTTGATTTTAAAGCATCAACAAATTCAGATATTTCTTTAATTACTGGTGAACTTAGAAATTGTGACTCAGAAAACAAACCATGTACAGATAAAATGAATGCTTTAGCAATTAATAACACTGCAGGTATTTGTACAATATAACACAAATTAAGAAATAATATTGAATTACGCTTCATTTTATACTCATTGACTTAATCAAATTAGGTATTGTTGCAATTGGAAAAGCAGGAGCAGAATATTTATATAATAGATCTTGGAAAGGGGTTGAACAAAGGTTGGGCAAAGATGCAGTGCACTCAGCAGAGGTTGGTCGTTGTGGTTTACCAAGTAGTTATGAAAATGAACCTATTTCTGTAGAAAAAGATAAGAAATAAATATAACAAATATAAAAATTTTTATATTTTAGTATACAATTTTTCTATAAAATTTATTTAATATATTTTTATAAATATTTATTGATATATTAAAATAATTTGTTTGATTTTTCTTTATTTCTTGTTATTTATTTCAAATTATAAAGACGAAAGTGTTAATTTGCTTATCATAGCAGAAATTTTTTTTTCCTTGGTTAAAACACGTGGACTGTTGCTGACGCAAATACGTAGCGACATATCGAAATATTCCACACGATCAGCTGTATTTATTCATACCGTTTTCGAGAATCGAAAGAATCATTCAATTGTTGCGTGATAATGTGAAAGTAATTTAAAAATGAATTTGTATTCAGTTAATCAACTTTTATACAAAAGTGTTGTTATTAGTGTAATATTTTTTATTTTTGGTGTACTGACAACAACTTCATATGCACAAGAAGCTTCTAACCTCAAACATGAAGCTGTCACGGAAAGCAATAAAAAGATCACGCAACCAATTCTTATACCGACAAATTTGACTACTGTTACTCCGACAGAATTAAACACTCCAAATACTTCTGATAATAATAAAGCGAAAGAAAACGTCACAACGTCAAGCATAGTAAATACAGAATCTCACCATACATCTTCAAGTACAATTCGATCAGATCATGACAGTAACAATCAAAGTACTGAGAAAGTTGCTACAGTATCTACAAATACTGTTAATGATAAAAATGGAAATAATATGTCAGATTTTACAATTCCATCGCAGAGTTCAGATATCAGTAACTCAACGAATACAAGTACAACAACAGTTACGCCAGCAGAACCAGTATTACCTGACAAAGGATCTGCAGAAGAAGAACATAATAGTTCTATGTCTATATTTTTTGTCCTCTGTGTTCTAGCTTTAGGCATTTTACTTATACATATTATGTTAGAAACCAATTTCCAATATCTACCAGAATCTGTAGTTATTGTATTTTTGGGAGGAGCTATCGGTATGATCATAAATCTTATGTCAAATCAAAATATAGCTAATTGGAGGAAAGAGGAAGCCTTCTCTCCAACAGCCTTTTTTCTTGTACTTCTTCCACCTATTATATTTGAATCAGGATATAATTTACACAAGGGAAATTTCTTCCAAAACATTGGCAGTATTTTAGTTTTTGCAATATTTGGAACAGCAATATCAGCATTTGTTATAGGAGCTGGAATTTATTTATTGGGATTAGCTCAGGTAGCATATAAACTTAGTTTTGTTGAGAGTTTCGCGTTTGGATCATTAATATCAGCAGTAGATCCTGTCGCTACAGTAGCAATATTTCATGCCTTGGATGTAGATCCAGTATTGAATATGTTGGTTTTTGGAGAATCCATTTTAAATGATGCTATTTCTATTGTACTAACTACATCAGTATTGGAGTCCAATAATGCAACAACCACTAGTGAAGCCATTATTCTTGGCTTAAACAGATTTTGTCTAATGTTTTTTGCTTCTGCTGGCATTGGAGTTGTCTTTGCTCTTATAAGTGCATTACTATTAAAACATGTAGATCTCAGAAAAAATCCTTCTCTTGAATTTGGACTTATGCTGGTATTTACATATGCACCATATGTTCTGGCAGAAGGCATTCAACTGTCTGGTATGAATCTCATTATTTGATACTGTTTTAGTACAATAAGGAAAGTACTAAAGATGTAAATTATTTCAGGTATTATGGCAATTTTATTTAATGGAATTGTAATGTCACATTACACACATTTTAATTTATCAACTGTAACTCAAATTACAATGCAACAAACAATGAGGACTTTAGCATTTATTGCTGAAACTTGTGTGTTTGCATATTTAGGATTAGCTTTGTTCAGCTTTAGACATCGGGTAAAGTAATATTCAAATCCACTTGATGCAATATTATATTCATAATTAATATTATTTGTTTCAATTGCAGTTTGAACCAGCACTTGTTATATGGTCTATTATTCTGTGTTTGATTGGAAGAGCTGCAAACATCTTTCCTTTAGCTTTCCTTGTCAATCGTTTTCGAGAACATCAAATTACTAGAAAGATGATGTTTATAATGTGGTTTAGTGGCTTAAGAGGCGCTATTTCTTATGCTTTGTCACTGCACTTAGATTTCAGTGATGAAACACGACATGTGATCATTACTACCACGTTAATCATTGTATTATTTACAACATTAGTATTTGGTGGTTCTACAATGCCATTATTAAAGTTTTTAAGGGCAGAAAAGAAACAAAAAAGTAATAGCAGAAGGAAAAGGAAAGATAAAGAGATTTCACTCAGTAAAACTAGGGAATGGGTAAGCTTATACATCTATGTACATGTACCTACATAATAGAAATACATGTATTTTATGAACTGTATTTTTATCTCAGGGACAAACAATAGATTCTGAACATCTGTCAGAACTTACAGAAGAAGAAATTGAAGTATCTTTTCTTCAATCCCGAATCCGTGGTTTTGCAAGATGGGATCTGAAATTCTTCATTCCATTCTTTACTAGAAGGTTCACCCAACAGGAATTAAAAGATTGTAAATCTCAAATGACAGATTTAACGAATCAATGGTATCAAGCGATTCGAATCAGTCCTATGGAATCAGACGATGAAGTAACTACGGCGTCAACGGCGCAATTAACTATAAATCTATCAGCAGAGAACCAGGGTCAAGTACGTGGGAAACAAACCAAAGGACGTCCAAGTCACGGGTCTATATTAAGTATATAATTTATTTTTGTGTGCTGTGCTAAATTTGCTGTTAATGCTATGCTTACCAGCGAATGTATACAAACTTTTATAAGCACGTAAATAGGAATTAAAAAAAAGATATTTTCTGTGATTGCTATATGAAATATAGTCTTGATTTCCATTATGCAATGTATACAGTACATATTTTCAATGTTCAAAATCATAAACTGTTTAATTTGTTTTGTACTAAAATGAAATAATATTTCATATGACAATAAGGTGTTGTTAAAAGGAAGCAAAAACTAAAACATTAATCAAAAATAATTATTTGTTAGCTTCAGCAAATAGTTTACTATTGCGATTTAGCTAGAAAAACAATTTTCATGTAGATCATTTGATCGTGATTGGTGATGAACATTTGCTTTGCTCTCAAAGCTTCTTGGTGGTGAAGGGTTGTACTTGATACACATAAAATTTGGAAGTATTAATAAGTTTTAAATTAATTTACAGAGACGTCGAGGATTGGTCTGATTAATAATCAAGTTTATATAGCTAAAATTGTGGAATTATTTCGTCAGTTAAAAATATTATAGTATTGAAATATATGTATTATATATATTATATTACAGAAATTGGCATAACAATCTTAGTACCGGACTTGTCTATAAATAACAAGTTCATACATTGTGCTACGTACAATAGTACATAATTGACCATGTAATTCAAATTTTAGAACGTTATAGTATTTAACAAGGTATAGTGTATAGTGATATGAACAAACATGTGATACTTTAAAAATATTTAATTTCTGCACAAAAGGTTATATACATTATGAAATGTCTATGTTGTATATTATGTGTTAAGATATTTATATAATACTACAAATTTCATATGGCACTAAAATATACTTAATAGCAAATAATTTATTAAGTACTTTAGATTTATGGATACATAAATATATTGAAATAATTATGTGTCAAATTAAGTTCAACAATTTATATATATATCAAATTATTTGATTATATAAAATGGCAGAAGACATTTTGAATAAAATTTAATTTCTATATCCAATTAGCGCAGTTTGGTAAAATTGATATTTTTACTATATAATCTAAATATGAAAGTTCTTGTTGTTGATCTTGTTATCCTATTTTTAGTATTATGTATATTGTATTAAACTATTGTTGTATAGAATTATCATATTTTATATGTATTATATGTTCACTGTATAATATTTTAATTTTCATAATATGACAGATGTATTTTCATTTAAATATCTTACTGCAATTAGTTCTGGTTCAGATTCACATTTTAAATATCTCTATTTTAACTCAAAATATCAAGTTCTTATGGATTTTTTTAGTACACAAATTTTTAATTTCTTTTTAATTTAAATTGAATTCAAATGAAAGTAAAAACATTATATAATCAATATAAATAGTATCTAAATGAAAATTCATCTGAAAGGAATGTTTCTGAAATGTAGTTTCTAATTTTAATAATGACAATTTTACATATGTACAGAACACAAATAACATCAATTTGTACAATAAATCACTGGTACCAAAAAAGAAATGATTCATTTATTAAATTCGAAGATTATACGGGAGGATAGAAGAATATGTACAAGAAATTTTATTTTAATGTGAATTTATTTTTAATATCATATATCATATACCGATCTCGGGAGGTGGGTACATCATCTTATTTTTTTGAGGCAGGGCACATAACGGAGGCAGCGTCTAAACATCAAATCCGTTTATTTATTCGATTTGTTATCGCTACTTTATTATGTTCTACGGTTTTTTATGCCTCATCTGGTCGTACATCGAGTGACTGGAGCATGAGGCATTACTTTTTGAAAAATTATGTAAGTTGCCTTTCAACTTCTTAATGCACTTGCTAGTTGAATCTTCTTTTAAGATATTTCCTTGTTTCAATCGCAAAGTGCAATGGTATGACGTGGAAGTACACCCGGATGTAGGCTTCTTTTAGATAACGATAAGTGTAAGAGGAAGAACCGCTCACCATTTCTCTTCGACTTCAGGGAATTGAATGTGCAAAATTGAAAATGTTTAAGTCCCCAAATTCAAAAATTTCTAAAACAGTAAATTCTTAAATTTACCAACCGAAAATTGAATGGAGGGGTCGCCTTTTCCCTGCACTCCCATTGTTCCTAAAGAAGCCTAACACGTTTGCTAGTGTACAATATAAAAATGTACACATTCTGATTTCATGATAAATTGTTTCTCGTTCGATGCAAAAATATAATAAATACAGGAAATATCGTAACGAATTTCGCGCGCAAATTTGAACCCAATATAAGACGTTCTTTTTTTAGCACGATTTTCACGATTATCCCCTTACAAACGGGAAACATTTTTAGCCGTTTCATTTATATACGTCTTTCATTCGACGTTGACGATAGTTGAAATTCTATGCAGTCAACTTCAATAAACCATCCTCGCTATAACATTGAAGTATTGTCTAAAAGCATGGCTAACCACACTTGCCTCCCTTTTTTTATGTCGATGCTCCAGTCATTTAGTTATACGTATTATCTGCTCAAATATTATTCACGCACTGGATAATCATCCAATAAATTTCTAAAAATGTTCGTATATCACGAGCATCTCTATATGCACTTTTTATCGATATAGTTATATTCTTATAATTGCTGCTCAGTACGGTACATGTGTGTATGTACAACATCGAGCAATCGGCTAAGCATGCAGAGTTAAATGATTCTACAAACGCTATGACCAGTATGACTATATATACCAATCCGTTAGATTACAATACGTCATACCTCGATTTCACCCATTTATTACAGAAAAAGTTCCAAGGGATTATAATTCGGTTAAAGTAGTCGTTTACAGGTCACAATATAATCCGTTGGGATTGGGTTCCTCAGCATTTCCTAACGTTATCGATTTATAATGCAGACGCGTTCGGTCTAAAAATGTGTAAAACCCCCAATTACATTTCAATATTTACATTATCGCATAGACGCGTGTTACACACGCCACAATTTACATAATACAACTTGGGGTTCACTTGAAACCATTATTTTTTTTGCAAACATTCGACTTTTTTGCTTCGTTTCTATAATACAGTGATGGGCAGATGCCCGACGAAATTTCGACGCGGGCAGAGATGAATTGATATGCAAATTCACAAATTTGCAAACCTTGAAATTTTCAAATGTACGAAGTAAGGAATTTTTAAATTCACAAATTTTTAAATTAAGGAATTTACAAATTTACAAAATCACAAATTCTGGAATTTACAAATTTTCAAATTTGCGAATTTTCAGACGTCGGAGGATCTCTTTCTATATTGCCAATTACTACAGTTCTGTGGCAATATAATGAGAATCGTTACCCATATTTGTAACTTTTATGTCCGCAGTTGCCCATCACTGAATCTAACAGGTTCATCCGTCCGTCAAACCCTCATTTTTGAACATTGTAATATTACAAAAATCACACATTGTATTTTCTAGAGATTCTTGTATCTCTCATTTTTACACGCGCTTCCTTGGTACTGATTATCACTGGTTGTTCTCCGGTGCGTTAATAAGTGTTTCCTTAAATTCGTAGCACGCTATCTTTTCAAGTTTCGCTTGAACGAGAGCAGCCTGAAAGAAAAGAAACGACAACGAAGCTTTCTCAAAGACCCGGTTCTATCGAATTGAAGAGAATAAAATGAACCTCCTCATCGTATCTCGACGATTCCAATTTTTCAACGGATACACGATTCGTGATCAGACCTCTATCAATTGGAACATAGATCTCTGAAGAAGTTTCAAATTTGGGTCCCTATAATAGTTTCCTCGACTTCGTTCGACTCTTCACTGGTCTTTAAATTCTATACGTATAGATATCGCCTTCTTATTGTTGAGAGAGAAACAAAACGTTTCGAGCCTTAAAACTTTTAATATGAATACAATGACTTGCTCGAACTTCAGAAGGAAAGGGAGACTCTCGTACATCAAGCTATACACATGTTTTCTTTTTTTACTATTAATGTCTGTTAATTTTCATCCTAACTATCCTAGCGCCAAGCAGCGAATCACACCTACGTAAACTGTCATTCGATTTATTTCTATGTATATATGTATATGTTTTTTGTATTTGTATATAATATATATATATATATATTTTCGGTATGTTTATACATGTGCGGCTACGCGATTAAATCACACGTCCTTTGAATTCGTTAAACCGCTGTTAAAGAGACCGATCATCCGTTTGTTCCATAAGAGAGTACTTGTACATTTTAGAAACTATTGTTTGTTTACAGCGATGTGGGGCTATTGACCACATCGGTCAACGCCCGTAATTTCAAACAATTAATTTACAGTGATGATCTTCGTCCAGCAATGTCACATCGTATTATACACTCTCTGGTTAAAGCATTGATTTTATTGTTAAAGTACAATCGCATGGCGATCGGTATCAGCGATAAGGACGGTCAAGGTAGAAACTAGAGATGTATTTAACTTGAAGACATTTCCTTTTTTGTGTCTTTAATATTTACTGATGCAATCATTCTGTTCGCATTTTATTGGCCGCACTTCACTGGATAATACCGGTTATACATAATATACATATATATCTACTAATAACCTCAGTTGTCATACTGTACAAATTCAACAGGATTGCTATCATCAGTCCCAAGGTTGTAACTACAGTGGGATCGCATGATTGTGAGGAAAAGAAGTTGAGACGAGTTTTACTTCGAAACGAAGACTTGTCTAAATTCATAAGATGATATAGTGTCACGTTGAACTTGAAATTGAATCTTATGAATCACAGCAAGGGTAGAAAAGAGGTGTCCATTTAAGGATACAGATACAAATGAAATAAGATCAAACGTCCCATTATGATTTTGGTCGTTGTGTGTCTGTACACATTGTGAAAGCTAACATTTACTCCCTCGATGCATTCGTTTTACGTTCAAAATGAATTTGTATCAAATGATGGATGGACCTCTAAATTGTATCAAAATCATATTTACTTACTGAATTCGTTCAACGACAACCAATGTAATTTAATCAAAATGTGTAAAACGATTTCTGTTCAAATCATCACTGCTCCTCTTTCACCCAGAAGAAACGTGTGCAGTTCCCATTTTAATACAAACTTAATTCGTAAATATCCTTCCCATATACGTCTCCACCTGTGTTGTACAAAATGCTTTTAATTAATCACACTTGTTCTTTTTTTTGTTTTAATCGAATGATCTTAATATTGGCAGATAAAGCGAAACAGAACATTCGTTTGGAAGCATAAACAGAATTCAACGACACAAAATATGCTTGTTGCGTTGAATATCCAGTTGAGTTGCACTGTTTCGCTTTCTTCGTTATAAAATAGAAGACAACTTATCGGCAGAGAGCTCAATAATCAGTCAATAGCTCAAAGTAAAGAAGGTCGCACAGAACTTAACATTGTATATCCTTTGCCACAAATATTTCACCAAAATATCAGTCATGATGCAGAAACTCGTCTTCTTTCTTCAGCATTTTACATTATACACATATATATATATACATATATATGATATACATTGTAACAATACATAGAGTAAGTTAGCCAACTTAACTGTTCAAAATTATCCATAAACTATTTGTTATATGAAAATATTTCGCTAAAGAATCATACAGCATAGATCCTTCTTTTTCATCCGAGTTGAGTGTTACTTAATAATTAATTATTGAAATGTACATCCTCCTTATCATATGACTTTTGTCTGAAACATAATTTTCAATTAATAAACAATTTACGAGTAATTTAAAAGGATCAAGATGGCTAACTCGCCCTACGTTAAAAAAATGTATAATGAATCGAACATAAATGTGTGCCATAACCACTGAATCTATTCGGTCATGATTCGAAATTGGACAGTGTATATGTCACTATATCAAGTTTATTACGAATCGCTTATTTTTTTTAGAATTACAAAGTTATTGTATAATGTAGTTAAATTTTATACAAGTCCAACATGTTTAACCGCCTTCTGGTTTATTTTCTAGGATTTAGTAAGGTATTCACTGTCTTATTCCGAATTATATCGATCACCGTACCAAGAATCTGGCGACCAACTCTTAATTATATTAATGATACACGTATTTCTGCATTCATTGAATTTGTACAAAGGTTCAGTTCCTTAAACACACGTTCCGGCGTATGTGTAATGAGTATTTTTTTCTAAAGCAGTATCAAGACTATGATAATAATCATGATTACTATATCTTTCAGAACATTAATTAAGCACAAGGAGAGATCACAGTAAAAAAAAATCTACTATCGAAAAATTTCGAATAATAAATGTAAAGAAAAACGAAGTATATGATTATGAAGATTTCAATATTCATTATAGCACAACAATGGGCCTGCCCTTTTCTAAAGTACATTATGAGTAGGTCCCATGACTCTTGGGATATTTGATAAATTAAGTGACAAGTATAAAGGATAGTATAACGATAATCGTGTAAAGTAATAAATTACTACGAAATTTTAATTTAAGATATCATTACTAAATGAAAAACATGATTTAACAAATTTATAAATACACAAGTAGGCAGCCACTGTCGAGAGTGTTACAATGAAAAGCACACCCAACTGTTAAAAATATTGGAATTTGGTGGAATGTCATAGGCTTTCTTTTCCGATTATTCGAATTTTTCATGTTTGCTTTGCTTTTGAAATTATTCAGAGGCGTATGGATGTCAATGATGATTATAAAATTATTAATAGCTAAAAATTGTAAAACGTTTCTAAATTATAATTTACAAGATACAATCATAATAATTTTGTATTGTATAACAATATATATATGTATATATATTACATTAAATATTAAATAATCTTATAGTGTGCGTTTTTTATAATAATGCACTTGTTACGTGAAAATAAAATATTGTATATAATATGAAAGGATCCGACTATTATCGGTCGTTGCTTTTTGTTACACTCTCGACTTATGATTACATCAAGATGGTAGAGTTTGGAGTTGAAAAATTTAAAGATAAAATGATAAAAAATACGATCACTTTTTGATTTGCAGCCACGGATGCTTCAGGCACTCTGCTGCTGTAGCTCGCATACTCGGGTCAAACTCGAGCATCGGAGTTAGGAACTCTTCAAACTCACGTGCTTCTCTTGGTGACCAATCATATTTTTCCGTAAGCACCTCGTACAGTCCCCAAGGTTTTAATCCAGTAATACGTCTCAGCTCTCCTTTCTTATTGAAATATGCTTTCGAGTTTTTGCCAGAAAGAGCAATGTGCCTTGGTATTTCTCCAAGCAATTCAATAATATGTGCTAAGTGATCTTCGTCTCTGAAATGGAAAACAGAACATACATTGCAATAATACTTATTATAAATACAATTTAAAAATAAAATTGATAATCTTACCTGCAATAATAATTGCCACTGTGTGGTTCAAAGAGATAATCACCAGTTGCTAATTCGAATGCCATACAGGCAGTGGACCATATATCTGCAGATGTATCGTAACCAGATCCTAGTAACACTTCTAACGATCTGTATTGACGAGTTTGAATATCGTCTGTGAATTTTTTGTGGACCCAACACGCGTTACCAAGGTCTGCTATTTTCACTTCAACATCACATTCCACTAAGGCAGGTTCTAAGGGCGCTACAGATGCTCTTTTTAATTGTTTACTTTCAGGTGGTTGTAAAGTACGACCTGTAAAATAATATGAATAAAATAAATAAAAATTAATTTCAAACAGATTCTGCTATTTTCTATTTATTTTACCCTCACTACATTCGTCTACATCTTCATGATCAGCTGATAATGCACCTTCGCCACAATTTTTCTCTACATCACATAGGTTTGCATTATCCATCTTCTCTGGCTGTTGAGGTAATTGATTTTCTACTTTTTCTCCACCTGCTAAACTATCTACGCCATTTATATGTAATGAAGGTGCAGATGGTTCTGAAATATCAGGTGAGCCTTTGCTTTCTGTATTATCTTCTATACTTTCTGTATTTATATCCTGATCTGGACTATTTGTTTCTAATTCTCCATTCTCTCTTGTGCTATTTGCAAGTTTATTTTGCTCCTCAAGTTCTTCGATTTGTTCCATTTGCTTTTTCAATAATTCATTTTGACGTTTAGCTTTCTTTTTAAGTTTTTTCTTTTTATTTTTTGACATCTTAGAGTTTGGAGTAGGTTCTTGAAATTCCTTTGGTGCAGTTGAAATTAAGGAGACTGGTAATTTCATTCCAAGAGAATGCAATTCAGTAGCTTCACAAGCTAACTTTCTTATATAAGCTTCATCAACGCAAACAAGGACATTTTCAGGTTTAATGTCTGTATGAATAATTTTACCTGAAAAAAGGTATTACATAGTAAAAAATTAATTTTAATATATTTTCAATATCAAAACTATCATTTCTAAAATTTAATTTCAGTGCTTTTAAATTTATATTGCATTAAATATTAATATAAAATAATTTATTCATGTAAATCGATATATTCTACTAAAGCAACATCCAATACCATATAAGTTTATTAATATCTTACATTTATTATGAAGATAATCAAGACCTTCTAGAACTTGTCTGATGATACGTTTAACATTGTTTCTTGGAATTCCTCTATAGTTGGATTTGATGATCAATTTAAGAAGATTATGTCCAAGCACTTCAAATACCATGCAAACATGCAGACCATTAATACCACTGATCTTGAAGTCATTGAGCAACTGGACGGTTTTATTGCGTTTAGGATCACTAGGATCTGTATCACGCACATCTTTTAATAATTTAATTTCATCCAATGCAGTTTCAGTAAAATGAGACGCAGATTTGACCACTTTAAGTGCCACAAATCGTTTATCCTGTACAAAATATTTCAAAACATTCCCCTCCTAAACTTAATAAGCAGAAAAACAAATATGGACTTCAGTCAAATACATACCTGCAAATCCCAGCAGAGCCAAACAGTTGAAAAGTGACCCCAACCAAGTTTACGAGTTACATGGTAACGATTTAAGAATAAATCTCCTATTTTTACAGGATGGTATCCTCCTTTACAATAATCAGTGCTATCTTCCTGTTCCTCATCTTCACTACTGTATACTTCGTCATCGTCCTCTATCGTTTCATTACTTGAGCTGTGGCATGGTTCCAATCTATAAGTTACAGTTTAAAAAACGAAAGGTGGGGAAGAAGAACGCGAATCACAAATAACAAATGGAACATCAAGTTTAAAATCTTTAACTGACATATGGAAACAAACCTTAATACTGTATAAACTTTTAGAATGAAATAACACTAAATAGAAATATATACACTGACTTACATTAATATTCGGATACCTTAGGGTATAAATTAACCAATTAATCACTTTTTAATGTATTACAGTGAAAATTGTGCTTTATGAAAACATCAAACTGCATCAAATAAAGGAATATCTTTTTACCAACTGTAATATTCATTTTAATACGTTAATGTATCCATTACTACCATGGAAAAAGAAAATTATTCTGCATAATTTAAATATCAAATTTTTTAATAATTTTACATGATATGTTGTTAGGTACATCAGCATCAACTACTCAATATCACAGATATATGACACTAAGGCCTCGATAGCTTCTACAGTACCACACATGTGACGCATGCTAGCAAACATGTGAAAGAAACAATGAATTCATAAGCATTATTATAAATAAATACATACAACAATAATACTTAATATCTCATATACCAAGGTGTACGAATATTAATGCGGGTTACTATATTTATTAAATATTTCTTACTGTTCACTAAACTATTCAAAGTCACGATTTATTATCGTTACATTACGAAAAGAAATTAATAGAAAGTTCGATATCGGGGCTACCACGTGAAAGGGATCTATTTGAATTACACGCAAAGAGGACATCAACGTAACAAAATAAAATAACATATTATCACAGATAGCCAGATACCTGTTTCCATTGTCGCTGGAATATGGTCTCTGTGCAGAGGCATCCTGATAGAAACCCGATCCTTGTCCTTGCCGAGCAGCCGGTGCTTTCGAGCACTGGGCACCCGACGTATCCGATTCGCCCTGAGAATTGCCCTTCCCTTTTCGTTTGCTTGGCTTGTGCCTCTTTTTTTTAGCTTGAATCGCTAGGACCCGCCTGTTCACGTCCGTCTTTGTACTCATACCGTTCCCTGCGCCTCGATTCGTCGAGCCGCTTTCCTCTCTTTCTCTATGCGTCCCACACTTCCGTTTTCACTTTTCTTCAGGATCCTTTCTTTTATGTGTCAACGGAGATACTTACACCCGTTACCTTATCCCCGGGCTTATGAACAATATAACACGATTTATTATCGTCTCATTATCCTGTACAAAATATTTCAAAACATTCCCCTCCTAAACTTAATAAGCAGAAAAACAAATATGGACTTCAGTCAAATACATACCTGCAAATCCCAGCAGAGCCAAACAGTTGAAAAGTGACCCCAACCAAGTTTACGAGTTACATGGTAACGATTTAAGAATAAATCTCCTATTTTTACAGGATGGTATCCTCCTTTACAATAATCAGTGCTATCTTCCTGTTCCTCATCTTCACTACTGTATACTTCGTCATCGTCCTCTATCGTTTCATTACTTGAGCTGTGGCATGGTTCCAATCTATAAGTTACAGTTTAAAAAACGAAAGGTGGGGAAGAAGAACGCGAATCACAAATAACAAATGGAACATCAAGTTTAAAATCTTTAACTGACATATGGAAACAAACCTTAATACTGTATAAACTTTTAGAATGAAATAACACTAAATAGAAATATATACACTGACTTACATTAATATTCGGATACCTTAGGGTATAAATTAACCAATTAATCACTTTTTAATGTATTACAGTGAAAATTGTGCTTTATGAAAACATCAAACTGCATCAAATAAAGGAATATCTTTTTACCAACTGTAATATTCATTTTAATACGTTAATGTATCCATTACTACCATGGAAAAAGAAAATTATTCTGCATAATTTAAATATCAAATTTTTTAATAATTTTACATGATATGTTGTTAGGTACATCAGCATCAACTACTCAATATCACAGATATATGACACTAAGGCCTCGATAGCTTCTACAGTACCACACATGTGACGCATGCTAGCAAACATGTGAAAGAAACAATGAATTCATAAGCATTATTATAAATAAATACATACAACAATAATACTTAATATCTCATATACCAAGGTGTACGAATATTAATGCGGGTTACTATATTTATTAAATATTTCTTACTGTTCACTAAACTATTCAAAGTCACGATTTATTATCGTTACATTACGAAAAGAAATTAATAGAAAGTTCGATATCGGGGCTACCACGTGAAAGGGATCTATTTGAATTACACGCAAAGAGGACATCAACGTAACAAAATAAAATAACATATTATCACAGATAGCCAGATACCTGTTTCCATTGTCGCTGGAATATGGTCTCTGTGCAGAGGCATCCTGATAGAAACCCGATCCTTGTCCTTGCCGAGCAGCCGGTGCTTTCGAGCACTGGGCACCCGACGTATCCGATTCGCCCTGAGAATTGCCCTTCCCTTTTCGTTTGCTTGGCTTGTGCCTCTTTTTTTTAGCTTGAATCGCTAGGACCCGCCTGTTCACGTCCGTCTTTGTACTCATACCGTTCCCTGCGCCTCGATTCGTCGAGCCGCTTTCCTCTCTTTCTCTATGCGTCCCACACTTCCGTTTTCACTTTTCTTCAGGATCCTTTCTTTTATGTGTCAACGGAGATACTTACACCCGTTACCTTATCCCCGGGCTTATGAACAATATAACACGATTTATTATCGTCTCATTTCTGCGCTGTGCCGCGCACTTCGCTCGGCGGTTGTTTGAGTATGGCCGCCCCCGCCGTCACCGTGTCCCCGTCTCGCGTTTCGAGCAAAGCAGGTGTTTTGCTACAGGTCGTCGACGCCGTCGTGCTTGCCGATACACTTCAACCTTTTGCCCGAGTTACGTATTTACGTCAACAGTACACTTGCCAATACAAAGTCCTTCCTTTCCGGTACACTCGCGATTTCCTTCTTCTACCTCTTAGTACTTGCTACTCAATAGTTGATGTCTTTTTCTATGCCGTGGTAGCAGACGAGGCTCAAATTCGGTTAAAACCTTTAAATAATAATTCTGTAGTTTTCGATGCTTCATGTAACGTAAAGTCGCTATTCGATGTAATTTGTAGAATATTTTATATGTGGCTTAAGGAATTCTTCGAAAGATTGCAGTAATTAAACGCTTTCGGTCCTCCTGCGCATCTCTGTTCGATTCTACACATTCTATAATCTATGATGCTGCGTATGCGCTCTTATGACCATTATGTCTCTAAAAGTGCAATGTACTCAGTGAACAGAAAGTTTCATGATTTGTTAACTTTTGTTGATTGCAATGTATTTGCTTATTAGGCGAAATGTATTATGCTCTTTCTTCCTTTACGTTTATACCTCTAAAAGATTGAACATATTTCTTTATTTTATACGTATGTATAAATGTTTATACATCACGTTTTTGCTATTCGTTTATATTTCTCCACTATGTATGTGATCACGAAGATAGAACAGTCTGTAGAGGGACCTTTTTATGACTGAAAATTTCCCTAGATATTTCCTATGCATCAAGCAACGCCATGCGCCGCCTATCGTTGATCTTTTCTCTTATATAATTTTATTTCGACCAATTACTATTTAGCTGATATGAATATGTGACTTCATAAATAAAATGCTATAAAGGAATAATTTCATAATACATACATATTATTTTTGGTATAATTAATTTATATAATTATTTCTTTGACATTTATATTCTTTCATCATATGGTACTTATAACAATACTACCTATTTTGCAAATTGATATTTTTGAGAAATATTTTTAATTGAATACTCATAATAATGCTTATGTTAATATTATTTTAAATTAAAAACATGCGTGATAATTGCAAAATTTGTTACAAGATGGCAATACTAGGTACATGAATTACAAAATTGAAAAGTACCGCTAACTGCATATGACATATTTCTAGTTATAACCAAAAAATATTTTTGTGGGTGACGTTTGATTATAGAATCTTTTAAGATTATTCGACATATGATTTCGTTGTTACTTAATATTTACATGCTTCTTGCATTACCTTAAAATAGTACTACAAAAATGGATACCATATTTCACGAAAAGGTAAGTAATAATATATGCGAAATTTGTAATGTTTTCTTTTTGCGCGTAAATTATTAACGGTATTATTTATTGTAGCAAGAAGGCTTTTTGTGCGCACAACATTGTTTAAATGCTCTTTTACAAGGACCATATTTCAATGCTGTAGACCTTGCAAATTTTGGCCAACAAATGGATGAAGAGGAAAGGATAAGAATGGCAGAATCTGGTGTTGACAGTGAAGATTACAAACTTTTTTTAGAGGTGAATCTATGCATTATACCTTTCCAATATTCTCTATTAGCATTATAGATGCATTTATATTATGATAAATTATAATTCTTAATAACTCTTTTCTATATACAGTGAAGTTTGTTCAAGTGTTCATAGCTTAAGCCTTATTTGAACATTTATTTAGAAAACTAAATAAATTTTAGAATTCAAATAGATGGAGAAGGAAGATTAAATGTATGTGAGGTACCAGTATTTGACACGGGAACATGATCTCAAATGGTTGCTTATAAAAAGGATAACAACGGATGCTATATCAGAAAAATATGTGGACACGTAACCAGGCTTCACTGTTTATATATATGTACCTAAAAGATTTATTTAAAATACTAATATTTACTAATAATATTATGTGTGGTAAAGGGCATTAATTGTTTTGCTTAGCAACCATCAGGAAACATGGATGACAGTGGATACTTCTCCGTTCAAGTTATTAGTAGTGCATTAAAAGTTTGGGGATTAGAATTAATTCCATATAATAGTACAGAACCAGCAGCGATAATGGCACAAAATGATCCTATGTATGTTTATTCTTCTTTAAATTCTTCTTAATATATTGTATGATCAGCAAAAAGTGATTAAATTATTTAAACAAATTTTCCAAATTACATTCATTATCATCATTGAAATAATAAAAGCTTATTATGTATTATGATATATATCATTTTAAAAAAGATATCATTTTCAGACAGATGAAAGCATATATTTGTAATTATAAAGGTCACTGGTTTACTATAAGGAAAATTGGGAAGCAATGGTTTAATTTAAATTCAGTATTAAGTGGGCCAGAACTTATATCAGATACTTACCTTTCGATGTATTTAGCCCAATTATTACAAGAAGGTAAGCATTTTAATGATGTCCATTCAAGTAAAAACTATAAGTACAAAATTATAAGTTTCTTTATAGGTTATTCTATTTTTATTGTTATTGGAATATTTCCTCAATGTCCTGCAGACGATATTCTTACAAGAAATCCAATAGAACCTGTATCAAAAGGACAATCATCGTTAAAACCAGAAATAAAAGGTTATCATCTGAATATTAAAAAAGAAGATAAACTCCTAAATATTACCCTTATAATAGAAGAAGTTGCAGTATTTCGTATACTTACAGTGATACATTTACTTCTAATTCACTTAGGACATCTGTTTTTACAGGTTTAACTAATAACATAGCATCAAATATATTTGCCAGAACATTATTAAGTAAAGAGAAAACAATAACGAGTAAGTCACAAGAAAAAATAATTCCCATAAAAATTGAGAAAGGTGAAGACGAAGAAGACGATGAAAACACAGAACTACAAAGAGCGCTTCAATTAAGTTTTGAAGAAAATAAAAAAAATGATATTGATAAGTACCTGAAACTGAGTTTGGATTTTCACGATTATAACAAAAAAACATGTGCAAACGACGATACAGAGGAAGATGATGATTTAAGGAGGGCTCTTCAGTTGAGTTTAGAATGTGCTACTGCTCCCCCAACACCAGAATCTGAAGATTTACATTGGCGTCAGCTAAATCATTTTGGTGCATATTCGAGGACATCAAGTGGAGAGACTTCTCAAAAACTGAATATTTCATAATATATACAAAAAATATTTTTAATATTATCATTAATATAAATTTTATTTGTAAATTATAAATAATTAGTTACTTTGTGTAGTATCAATAAGTATTTCAAAAAATAAATGTATAAATAAAAGATCTGTATACATTAAAATTTTTACTTTATTAAGTTATTTGTTTATTTGGAACTTAACAGTATTTCATTTATACCTTCGCTTATCCTTATAAAATATATTTGTTTTATGCTTTTAAATATATTAAATATCTCTCTATAACTATGTCAAAACTGAATGTAACATTTGTTCATGAATATATTCTGAAAAAGTTATATTTATAATATGTACTTGTTTTCGGCTATATTCTAATCCCTGTATTTAGAACATTATAATCAAAAAGTTATTTATTATGTCTATGAGTTATTAAATATTGACCTTTGAATTTTTTCATACGTAGCAGGACAAGCGAATAATTGTTGATGTTACAATATTACCAGATTGCTATGAACTGAAATTTGTTAACTGTAATCACTCCGCAGTTGCTCCTGTTTTGTATGTGAATGCTGGAATGTTGACATTCAACATGGCGGCATGTCGTCAGTGCTGTGCTGTGTCGTGGTGAGTTTTATAAATCTTTCTAAAGCTATTTGGTTACGAGCTTTGTAATGAAACCTTTACGATCCGCAGAATTATTCGATTCCCGACAATCGTATCCATATTTCATAAGCACACGAAAGCTCAATAAATCTTTACGATATCGAAAGAAACGAGTGACCTCATAAAAAATTAGAATCTCGTAACTGGCGAGTACGTACAATATTTCGGATTTTTGTTTTGAACTCGTCCTTTTGGTATAGTCGTTGTCACTTTGAATTCAAAGTTAGCCATACCAAATTTCGTTTAGGATAACGAACACTTATTTACTTTTCAAAGAACTTAAAATGACTGTATTATTACATACATTTAAACGTTTTCATGTGGGTGTCCAAGTATTGTGTCCCTTTTGTAGTAAAGTTCGAGAATTATGATTTATATAGAAAATTAATGGAAACGATGTCTTGACTACTTGTGTAATATCAATTAACGAAATTTAGAACACAAGTAAAATCTGGATAAACAAGTAGAAAACATTGAAAAAGTAATACCAGTTGGAGCATAAAAAGTCAATGTCAAACTGGCAGTCAATTATTGTGAATATCTAATTTATCCCGTGTATAACCACTAATAGAATACACAAAATATGTTGTAAACTGCCATATATATTTGAATATTCCTATAATGTGGAGCGAAAAATATATAATAACCTATATGTACAAATGAGATACTACCTCTGGTAAAAGTATATTTTTTATTTTATTTATTTAAGGTAAAGTTTAACATACGAATATATAGAATATAATACAAGTATTATTCGTTTATAATTCGTAAAATTGTATTTAGTCTTTATAACTGCTAAAATTTTGATAATTATTTATTGAACATAATAATTTTTTGAAAAATTAATTAAGCTTAATCATTGAGATAATTTTTTCAAATATTTTGTTTGAGATACAGAAATTTTAGTCAAAAACATATTTTCTTTTTTTTTTGTAAATAAGGAGTAGCTGTATCATTGCAAAGTTTTGGAGTATCATGAAAGATAATCTGTATCTGCATTAGTTCTATTTTTAAATTTTTTGTGAATGAAGCTCGTAATCATTATGACATGAGTGTTTATTTTGAAAGATATTAATTTAATCAATATTTTGTTTTTATTTCAGCTTGTGTAATTGTTAGTTTAGGACATTTTTGAAACCAAGGCTCACTGTAAATTCCATAATTAAATGCTGAAGAAAGAAACGCTAACATAGAAATATTGGAACAACACAATCACACTCAGCACGCATTGAAGACATCTGAGGATTTTCAAGTCAACATTTATCTTTTAAATCTTCTATGTTTTTTGATTTACTCCTTTTATAAAGGATGACTGTTGTTTAAAAGGAACACGGTTATTCTAGAGTATGCTGAATTGAGTACATATATCAAACAGTTGTTATAACACTCGTGCATACGTATGTGGAAAGTATCAATGGTCTATGATGTGCTAAGAATTTTGTACTTGTATTAATTCGTAAAACAATATTAACTATATTGTTCATTTGTATATTATGTACACAAGCT